GAATATTTATTATCTTTGTTATTCTGTTGTCACACGCGCACGTCTATTTGAGATTGTGGCTCTTCTAATCTCTTTAATTTGTATTTCTCCGTAAACCCTTTTCAAAAGCCGTGTGTCGGTGCTGCGAGGACAGGTCATCACGTCGCAAGGATTAGGCATTGTCGGCGTTCGTGTATCGGTCGATAGAGATTCACGTTTTGGTTTTACCTTAACCAGACAAGGCGGATGGTGAGGAATAATAAATTATTATTTCAAGCAAATCATTGTACACTGATGTTATGTTTATGAAAATATTTTCTCTGTTCTTCATCTTCTTCGTCTCATTCCACCACTGAATTAATCTCTACGTAACATCACAACATAAGGTTTGACGTGTTGGTTAACGGGGGTGGTGCGATTACTTTGCAATTTCAACGCTCACCATTCAGACCCATGACAAGAACTGTTTTCGTTCCATGGAATCAAGTAAATAACCAACATTACAAGAGCATTAATAATATTTATGACGAGAATAGGGAAAATTCGTTTGCAATTCAGGATGAATTAGCTTACTTGCCGCTTTTTTTATCCATCTGGTTGCTGCGTACTTTTCCCTGTTTTCCTCCAACTCTTTTTATTCATTCGACATCGACACATTATTGGTTTTTCGATTACATTAAATATATATTTACAGATGATTGTTCTTCCCCCTTTGTTGATGCATTTGGTGGATGAAGATAACAGCGTTAAGCCAAAATTGGGACGAAATCTTGCTTACAGCTTTTTGAATTCTGTCGCTTATGTGTTTAATGACAAAAATTCAACAATCAGAGAAAAATCGATGTGCACTGATCACGATCATGAAATTTTAATGCCACATTTAACAAGCACATGGATGCCAAATGCCATTGGTTCATTATCAGGAAAATCTGTTGTGTTTCCTGAAGCTGAGGTATTGAATGCAGAAAATAATCTCGAAATATTTTACGTAACAATTTCCATTGCTTTCTCATTCTCTCTCTCATTCATTTAGATCATTCAAGAAAGTATTCAAATTCCTGGCTCAAGTTTATATCTTACATATCAGTCATCAAAAGTTCCCGGATACTCAAGCATTGTACGAATGAAATTAACTGGAGATTTCATTCCATCTACTTTGATTCTTGTCCATGTTGGTGTGGAAATTGAGGGTTCATTGCATGTCAAAACATACGAAGCTGATCCAAATATTGTACACACATTTGCTTGGAACAAACGAAACGTTTATAAACAAAAGGTTTATGGTGCAGCCATTGCCAGAATATCAATTGGTTACGAGCACTCAACATGTGATAAAATTGTTTGGGAGACACAAACTGCCAAGTTACAAGGATTTGACGTTGATATCTCAGATATTGGTGGTTGGGGTTTGAATATTCATCACCAATACAATTTCAATGAGGGAATATTGCAAAAAGGAGATGGAGCGACTTTGCATCTGAAAGTTTATCCTCGGGTCGTGCGCACTGTAATGGGTAATGGACAACAAAGATCTCTTAATTGCAAAGACAAATGTAATGGTCTGGCAAAGGACAGTAAACTTTTAACTCCGGTTGCACTTTCGGCTGGACCTGATGGCAGTCTTTATGTGGGTGATTTTAATCTTGTTCGAAGAATTCTGAGTAATGGAACAGTTATTACGATAGCGCAACTCAGTGCAACACAAGTTTCATATCAATACTATCTTTGCGTGTCACCAGCCGATGGACATCTTTATATATCTGACCCAGAAAAACATCAAGTATTGAAAGTGCTTTATCTGGAAAATGTCGCTGACCCTGCAACAAATATGGAGCCAGTGGTTGGAAGTGGCCAACGTTGTATACCTGGTGATGATGAAAATTGTGGCGATGGTGGCTTGGCTAAAAATGCGAGATTGTCACATCCTAAAGGCATCACAATTGCATCAGATAAAACGATGTATATTGCCGACGGAACAAATATACGAGCTGTTGATAACAAAGGAATAATTCACACATTAATTGGACATCATGGTCATCACAATCATTGGAGTCCAATTCCATGTCAAGGTGCAATGACCGTTGATCAAATACAACTTCAATGGCCAACAGGTTTAGCTTTGAGTCCACTTGATGGTTCACTTCATTTCACTGATGACAGATTGGTATTGAAACTTACAGCGGATATGAAAATCAAAGTTGTTGCCGGTACGCCATTACATTGCAATACAAATGTTAGTTACGATGAGAGTGCTTTGGGAACTGTCTTAGCGATGACTTTTTCACCCACTGGTGATTTATTTATTGCTGACAGCGATTCGAGACGAGTCAATCTGATAAGAATGGTCGATGCTGCAGGGAATTCGAAAATATTTGCTGGTCAACCTGATTCACTGTAAGTTATTAGATGATCTCGAAATATTTGCAACAATTTTAATGGCATTGGACATTTTCTCATTTATTTCAGTATTCCCGGATGTAAATGTGCAACTCCTAAGAAGCAGGGTGGCAATTTGAACAGCGGTCAGGCTCCATGTTCATGCATGAATCTTAAGACATCTGACATTAAAAGCAATATTTCTATCATGTCGAGTAACACCAAATTCTTGGCGATTTCAGCAATGGCAGTGACACAAGACAACGTTTTAAATGTTGCAGACAAAACATCTTTACAAATCTTGGCACTTGAACATTATCTTCCAAGTCCAGATAAGAGTTCTGAATATCACATTCCATATCCATCTTGCAATGAAATATATGTTTTTAATCGATTTGGACAACATATAGCAACAAAAGATATCTCAACAGGAAAAACAATCTACACATTTTTGTATTCGAAAAATACAAGCTTTGGAAAGCTTTCGACAGTCACCGATAGTATGGGGAATAAGATTCAATTCCTTCGTGATTACAGCAATTTAGTAACGTCTATTGAAAACTTAAGCTCTGCTTTGTAGTCTTGTGTGTTTTCAATAGACGTTACTAAATTGCTGTAATCACGAAGGAATTGAATCTTATTCCCCATACTATCGGTGACTGTCGAAAGCTTTCCAAAGCTTGTATTTTTNGCTTTGGAAAGCTTTCGACAGTCACCGATAGTATGGGGAATAAGATTCAATTCCTTCGTGATTACAGCAATTTAGTAACGTCTATTGAAAACACACAAGACTACAAAGCAGAGCTTAAGTTTTCACCAAATGGATTTCTAACGAGAATCACTGAGAAGGGAAAATCACAAATCTCTTTCGATTATGATGAACATGGATTGATGTTAAGCCGTTCAGGAAATGGTGAAACTTTTATTTATCAGTACAATGAACTGGGACGTGTCAAGGGAATTATTTTACCAAGTGGCGAAACATTACAACTTGAATCGAAATTAAACACTGAATATGGTTTGGAAGTTGATATAAGAACAAAAATTCCATCACTCTTTTCACAAACACCATCTAATGTTACATCTCTCAAATTAAGTGGAGAAATCAAAACATTGAAGATGAATAAAGGCAAACAAGTCTTAAAAGCGTCCATTAATGTTAACAACAATACATTCAGTATAATAGAGAATAAAAATATCGTCTTTGAATCATCAGCTGTTGCTCGACATCCATCTTTGGAAAAGACAATGACAATTGAAGCAGAAATGTTGCCAATGTGGTCACATCAGATTTTGGCAATGGATAAATACTCGAATAAAATGCATATGACATACAGTCTTACCGTTGAACATCCAAGAAACCCACAACAAGTGCTTACAAGTGAGATTTGGGTGAATAATTCAAGATCTTTAGGTCTTAAATATTTTCAAAACAAAAACTACGAGCAATTCTATGACAAGGATATGACAACAGTATTAACCGTTTTTTACAATAATTTGGGACTAGTGACAGCCTATCAACCTGCAAGTGCTTTTCCTTTCAACATCACGTATGACAGATTTAATCGAATGGAAGGGTGGATATGGGGACCATCTGAACTAAGGTTTATGTATGAACGTCACGGACTTTTGTCAGAAATTTCATCACAACAAGATGGAATTATTTCATTTATTTACAATGACAACAATCTCCTATCCGAAATTGGACTAGCAAGTCAAAGAAAATTCCGTCTTGATTATGATAACGACGGTGGTCTTCGATCAATTCAACTACCGACAGGGACCAAACATATTTTCGATCTTCAGCGATCAATTGGATTCATAAGATTCACTTATACACCACCTGGAAGCACGAAACCTTACTTACAACATTTCTCATATTCTGGTGCTTTACTTCAAACGATTTACCCCGGTGAAGGTGCAAGAATTATTTACCGATATAATGCACAGGAAATGATATCAGAAATTGTTCATGGTGAGGGAAAAACAACTTTCAGCTTCGATGAAGAGACAGGAATGGTTGAATCCGTAATTCACATTGAACGTGATCTCGAATATCGTTGGGATTTTGATTATAATGGCATGTTGTTAACTGAAGAACGAATTGATTTCAATGCAAAGACTGGATTAAGCAATGCTAAATTTACCTACGAATATGATTCAAACTTCCGATTGTTGACAACACAAGGAAGAATTGGAGGGCAAAATTTACCACTCATATCATTTGCATATAGTTCAAAGACCGGTGACTTTGAACAGATTTCACAATTCAAAGTTTCACACCCTAAACCGAACATGACAAATATTTATGATGGAACTGCAACATTCACACGAACTGTTGACGGAAGGTTTCTCGAAACGGAAATGACTGTTTACATTCATCGCATGCAAGTCTTTAAAATGGAATTCTTCCACGACATGCATGGCAGAATAACACAGACGAGAACATTCTCTCGAAGCGTGGGCGTAACAAATTTCTCGAATGTTAAGAATTTTACGTGGGATTGTGATGGCCAATTGACAGGTGTTGACGCACAAGAACCATGGGCATTCAGATACGATGACAATGGAAATATGCTTGCATTATCTTATCGTGGTAACAACATTCCAATGGAATATAATTCAATGGATCGAATAACAAAATTCGGAGAAAACTTTTACAAATACGACGAAAGAGGTCACACAGTTCAAAATGCTCGTGAAGAGAAATTCCATTACAGCACGCAAGGACTTCTTATCAGAGCTACGAAGAAGAGTCGATACGATGTTCGTTATTTTTATGATCATAAGAATCGTCTTGTTGTGAGAAAAGATAATTCCAATAATGTCACGCAATTCTTTTACAATAACCAGAAACGCCCTAATGAAGTTTCTCACATTTATTCGCCCAGAGATAACAAACTAATGTCGCTTATCTACGATGACCGCGGACATCTTATTCTTGTTCAAGCTTTTCGTAATAAATATTATGTTGCCACTGACCAATCAGGAACACCTGTCATGGTTTTCAATCAATATGGTGAAGGAATTCGTGAGATGATGAGGTCACCATTTGGTCATATTGTCTACGATTCAAATCCTTATCTTTATCTGCCAATTGATTTCTGTGGTGGAATTCTCGATCCAGTAAGTTTATTTATTTTAAATATTTCTTATTTTCTTATTGTTTCCTTCTTTAATTACTTATCACAGGTTACATCATTGGTTCACATGCCAAATGGAAAAGTTTATGATCCTTTGCTTGGTTTGTATATGACACCAAATTGGGAGAATACAATTGATCGAATTGAAACGCCAACAAAACTTCATCAATATCGATTTAATGGTAATGATCCCGTTAATGCAATGTTGAATCGATTACCACCAAAAGTAAGCGAAGACTGGTTGAGATTGGTTGGATATAAGATGGAAAGTATGGCACCGCAATTGAATAAGAATCTTTGGAATATTCTTCAGCCTTGGGGCAGTGTAACATCTAAAAATAGTTACATACAACAGAATATTCTGAAGGTTGAATCTGGTTTCTTATCTCATCTAAATGAACGACGATTGAATGTTCAAAGCAAATGGGAGACTTCAAAAATGTCAGAATTACGTTCTGATTCATCACCATTCAGTCAATTAAGGATTGGATCTGCTACAGATCCACCATTTGGACAAGGAATTGTAGTTTCACGAACTGTGGAGGGTCAAGCAATTGTGTCAAGTGTACCAGCAGCAAATGCAATCTATCGTGATGTTTACACTTCCGTGTTCAATCAAACACTTTTAATGCCATTTGCGTTTGTTGTTCATAGTTCGCTTCATGATGTTTTCCATTTTGTAAAAGAAGATTCGTGGCGATCAAGTGAAGACCGACAACAATTAAAACGATTACAAGGACAAGTCAACACAACGTTTCATGATGTTCCAAATAAAGATAATTCAAATGGAAGCAATTATTTGGATGTAAAAATTCATGGAACGCATGCAATTATAAATTTACGTTATGGAACAACAATTGAGAAGGAGAAGCAACGATTAATGCATCATGCGAAGTTGCAAGCAGCACGAAAAGCATGGACAAGAGAGAAAGATTTACTCGCTGATGGACTTTTAACAGCAACAGAATGGAATCAGGCAGATATGGATGAAATACTCAAACAAGGATATTCTAATTATTACGATTGTCAATATATTCACGATGTTAACAAATACCCTGAACTTGCTGAAGATCCCTTCAACATTAAATTTGTAAAGAAAAAAACAAATCAAACAAGACGAAAACGTCAAGAATCAAAAAATAATATAAATGAGATAGAATCAATCGAATTTGAAAGTTGAAGGATAGAAGAGAATTCAACAAGCCCAATTTAATTAACAAATTTATTTGTCTTAAAGCTATTTACGATGAAAAAAAAAACATAAATAAACAAAGTTACATTTGATATTTTTTATTTAATAAACGCTTAATGAATGTCATATTGATCTTACCATAAATATCTCAATAAGCGAAGAAGGCTTAAAATTTGTGCTCATCATTTTCTTGATATAATTATGAATAATTATGTAAATGTGTAGTAGGTTCTATTGTCATTTGTCATTCAAAAGAGGAAAAAGAAAGAAAGAATGGAAGAAAGTAAAGTAAAACACAAATAGCTATTGTCCTTCATTTTTTACACTTCATGACATTTTGTATTTGGTTTAAAGGTTTAAAGGAAGGTATCATTAAAATATTTATGAAAATTAACATTCATGATTGCTGTTAACTCTGTGTTCCCTTTATGAATGATATAATAAAGTAAATAAAAGGATGAGAGATTTTTTTCCAAATAAAAAAGGATAAGTAAGGGACGGTAATGACAAAAAATATGAATTAATTAAACAACAAGGGAAAAAAAATCAAATTCTATCAAATTATCTTTCCATTCCGTGAAACATTCCAAATAAATTTAAGGCAAGCTTTAAAGCATAAATAAATGGAAAGTAGTTATAGAAATATGAGAAGAACAAGAAACATGATTAAATATTTCTATGAAACATAACTTGCTGGCTAGTATAGAACATAATCTATCAAATAAATTATATTTAGTCGCATGTCTTCGTTATATTTTCAGAATTAATATCTTTATTATAATTTCTTTTTGTCTTCGATATTTTATCACAAAATGTTTTTGAGTTTCATTAATTGTGATACGTAAGACTGGGTAAGAAAAACAAATTACTGAAAATCAATGAATTAATGACTTGTATATTTATCTCCATGAAAATCTCATGTATAAGTAACAAAAATGAAACCAAAAATAATAACAGAAAACAGTACATTTGAACATAGTGTAAATAAAATATCATTAAAAATATTTTGTAATCAAATGATTGTTTTTTTAATTTTATAATATTTCAGATTCTTCATTTTCTTGAATGTTTAAAACTTCAAGATGTTGGAACAAGAAAGAACAAAACTCTGAAATTTGCTAAAAATATCTAACAATTTGATTCTTCTTAGAATTTCTAATAAGAATTTTGAACAAAATGCTTTAGGAATTACAAAATAATGTGAAAGTGAATGAAGCTTAATGTGAATAACCCAGACAACGAAAAACTATTCAAAATAAGAAAAGATTTTAGAAAAGCTCAACTCAATTTTTCAGTTGGTATTTCAGAAATATTCAGAGCTTAAATTATCAAAGTGAGTGCTGTCTTAATATTTAAGTTTAATGATTTCAATATTATCTGAACTTTTGATAACTTTTCATAAATATGTTTTAGTATGTATGAATTGCTTTAGATGATTTCTTGCCTCCAATGCGTTATTTATGAAAATGGATTCATTAGAGCTTGATTACAATTGTCATCGCACATATGGGATTATTCTTAATAGAACTAACAATGCCATTGAAGCAGCACAAGGAAATACTTCTCGATACGTGATAGCAATCATCTACATTATCTTTATAATCGAACCTGGATAAGTCACAATAGTAAAAAATTGTCGTTCTAAAACCTTTCCGCCATCAAGAACTTTTTACTTTCCCTGAAAATTCTTTCAATTTGTGATAACTTCAATAATTTATTTAAAATCACTCTCAAATATTTTTCACACTTAATTAAATGTTTTTCTAATGTCTCACACGAGAAAAACTTTTTTTAAACAATTATCACGTGCGTTTGTTGTCAAACAAATTTTCCTCTCAGGGAAATTGAGCATGTGAAAAATTGAGAGAAATTTTCACAAAAAAGAGTGTTGAGAATAAAATTTTCAATTTTCCGAGAGTTTTTCGCCAGTTCAAAGTCGACACAAAATTTTTTATACTGATGCCCCTTTTTCTGCCTTTTTCACCTACTTCTCTGAATAAAAATCCAATACTCATCATGAAAATTCGACCTTTTCCCGAATAATTTATTCAGTAGAGAGCAAACAGCTCGATCGGAGCTGAAGCTTTGCATTATTTCGATTTGCAAATTTTTTTATACTTAATTATACTTTATTTTTGGGAATTCAAAATTAAACAAAACTTTTTAAAATTTAATAGAAATCCGATGTTATTTTAGCTTCAAATTTCAAGTTTTATAAGCAAGAAAAAATGATTTTTTCCATAAAAGGAGCAATCGTCACCGCCTTACTGTTCATGTTCATATTCATCCCAGAGAATGAAGTGAATTCATCACCAGAATCTGATGCGTAAGTAACAAAGTTTCATGTGTTTTTAATTCCAAATCCATGAGTTTTTGTATAGTTTTAAATCAATTGGAAAATTCTGTCCGATGAAAAATTTTCTATAAATAGAAAATATTCACGCTAGAAATTTTCAGTGCGCAAGTTTCCCAAATTTTATATCTTTGATATCCGTTGATTTTCAATCGAGAACTGTTATTCAATTTCCTGTGATAATGACGAACTTGTGTTCATGGAAAAACATTAAATATTAATTTTCCTTACTTCAAATAGAGAAAATATCGGAAAAATTTTCATGAAAATTCTATTTTTATTGTTAAAAGGATTTGTGAGAATAAAAGAGAAAGAAAATTGTAAACAGAGAGAGGGAGAGAAAATTGAAAATTGGAAAATGAGAAGAAAAACAAACAACTCTTGAATCAACAGTTTCTCTTAAATTTTCTTTCTCAAACATCTCAGCATGTTTTTTAATCAACAAAATATTTTCAGCATTAATGACTGGGCTGTTAAATTTGGCGATGAATTATGGGAGCTGGCAGAAATTATGACAAAAGCAAGAGAAATAAAGCAGGTAATTAACATTAATTATTATATGACTTAAGAACTAATTCTCTAAAGCATTGTTAATTAATCTTCCAGCGATATAAATCTTTCAATGCTCGAGTAGAGAGAAAAGACGGAAATACTTTAATTGATTCAATCGTTGAGTCAATTGGTCGGATGTTAAATAGAAAAATGGATGTAGTAAAATGCATTGTCAACAAATCTGAAGAATATGCTGCAGAATTTCATTCAAGAGACATGCTTCAACCCAACTTTACATATTATTCAAGCAAATTCTCACTGGTAAATATCCAAAAATTTATTTTATGAACTTAACTTAATTACCTATTAAAATATTTTTTATTGAAGGCAAATGGAAGAAATCTTACGAATCAAAAGTATACTGAGAACACAAATGATTCACTCGGAAACTACACTGATATGTTCTTCGATCGTGACTCGCATTTCTTTGATTTAGAAGTAAACACAACACACAGTTCAGTTCATGTTCCAACAAATGTTTTCGATCAAGGACCAGAAGCAGCAGAATTCATTCAATGGTCGGAAGTTCTTGACGAAGTTTTCACTCAAAACTATCAATCGGATCCCGCGTTATCGTGGCAATATTTTGGAAGTAATACTGGAGTCATGCGCCACTATCCAGCAATGTCATGGAATCGGAACAAAACAGACATTTACGATTGTCGAAAACGATCTTGGTTCATTGAGACTGCTACATGCTCAAAAGACGTTGTAATTCTTTTAGATAATTCTGGTTCGATGACAGGTTATCGTAATTACGTGGCACAATTAACAATCAAAAGTTTACTCGACACATTTTCTAACAACGACTTTGTGAATATTTTAAATTATTCTAAAACTGTTCAGGAACTTGTTCCATGTTTTAAAGATATGCTGGTTCAAGCAACACCTGAAAATATTCGCGTGTTTAATGAAGAAGTAAAAGAATTAAAACCTGACGGTTATGCGAATATAACGCAAGCTCTTGAAAAAGCTTTCCAACTTCTGGAAAAGTATCGACACATTCGAAAGTGTAATGAATCATCAACTGGATGTAATCAAGCTATAATGTTGGTTACTGATGGCGTTCCAGGGAATGCGACAGAAATCTTTGAGAAATACAATTGGTTTGGAAACGACACGAAGTCTTATCCAGTGCGAATCTTCACATATTTACTAGGAAAAGAAGTGACAAAAGTGAAAGAAATTCAACTTTATGCTTGCATGAATCGTGGTTACTATTCACATGTGCAATCACTTGATGAAGTTGCAGAAGAAGTTCTGAAATATGTTAATGTTGTTGCTGCACCACTCGTGCTTCAAAAGGAAGAACATCCACCGACATGGACTCATGCGTACATTGACACAACATATGAGACTGATATCACAAAATTGACTGATGATCAGCCAGATTTTCGAATGATGATTGCTGTTGGTGTGCCGGCTTATAATCTTTCGTCTTATGGAACTGGGAATTTTACAGGAAGACCGACTTTATTGGGTGTCGCGGGCACTGACGTTCCTGTAGATGATATTCGTAAACTTGCTTTACCTTACAAACTCGGAGTCAATGGATATTCATTCATTGTTTCAAACAATGGCTATGTGCTTCTTCATCCCGACTTGCGACCTTTCGATCAGAAACATCCTGGAGAACTCAAAGAGAACTACAACAGCATTGACATAACAGAAATTGAACAAATAGATGAAGAATTGCCACCACGTGTTCCAAGCGAAAGTCTTTTGGAGCTGCGTAGAAATCTTGTTGAGCATAAGAAAGGTCAAATGATTGGAATTCCTGTTCGCTTTCATTATGATAAAATGCGAAGAGTTGCTCAAAGCAAGCAAGATTTTTATTTTGCGCCCATTCCACATACACCATTTTCACTTGGAATAGGTAAGAAAATATTTCTTTTAATTATTTTAATGAAAAATCTTTAACTAAGTAATATTTTAGCTCTTCCCCATGAATACGGAAACACTTGGATTAAAGTTGGAGATGAAATTCAAAGAAATAATTACACAAAAATCAACATTTCTGACTTTTTTGTTGGCGAGAATTGGAAAATTCATCCTGAATGGGTTTATTGTCGTTATCATTATCAAGAAGGTCATGAATTTTCATCAGCAGAACTCGAGTTGAGACATTTCTTAAGGAAAATTATTGAACCCAATTGGAAATGGTCAGTGCAGTATGAAGGCGATTCAAATTCTGACATAGAAAAGGAAATTGATGAATGTGAGTTGACATGATAACAAAATTATTTGGATAAACTTTAATGCATTTTAATTTTTGATTGTCAAGTGAACTGCGGTCGTAAATCTTTAGATGATGACGCATATTATTGCAACAAAGAACTTGTTGAGCTTTTGGTGTTCGATGCAAAAGTTACCAATGACAGTTACCAATCGTGGACGTTCAAGAACTATTTAGAAAGAGAAATTGTTGAAACTTATAATGCGACAGTTCGATTTGTGGGAACAATGTCTGGATTAACGCGATGGCAATTTATCTTTGGGGAAATTGAAGTTGATACTGACATGGAGTTTGGAGATTTCCATTCAAAGGCCATCAATGAAGCTTGGTATGAAAATGCAATTCTACAGCATCAAATTGACAAACACAGTTTCGTTTATTCTGTACCTCATCATAATGATGAAATGGAAGACACTGAAATTAAAGTGACTGCATCGATGGCAATTTTCCCACGCGATGGAGGAACGGAAGCGCCATCATGTGTTGTTGGATTTCAATTCGATCACGATCTCATGTACCAAAGATTTATGGAAATAACTTCTAAAATTAAAGTAAAAAGTTCACATTTGGTTTTAGCAGTAAATTCTCAAATATTTAATTTATCTCTAGTGTGACGATTGCATTAAAACTTGCGGCGATGATGAACAGGTTTGCTATGTCATCGACAACAATGGCTACATCATAATCTCTGAGGAGAATGTAACCGACACTGGAAGATTCTTTGGTGAAGTAGAAAAGCCAATCTTGGAGTCAATGTTGCATGCAAATATATTCAAAAGACTGACGATTTATGACTTGCAAGGACTTTGTAAAAATGTTACGGAAGTTCAAGATGATGACGCGAGCGCCAGTCCAAGTTTATTGACGGTAAATTTGATTAAAGTTTATAGGTTGACATTTTTATGGCCCATTCGCAATATAACACGAAATCACTTTTTTTCACAGCCATTTAAACTGTTGATTCTGGGCTTCAAATGGATGATGACTGAAATGATAGTTGAGTTTTCTCGAATCAAAATGTGGGCGATGACAGCTTCCATAGAGCATTCATATGATGATGCTGATTACAGGGATGTGGGAGGCGAAAAGAGAAAAACTGTAACAGTTAAGAAGCCCAAGAAAAGTGACGTGATTACGGACGAAGAATGGTTTGCATTACAAAAGGAGAAGCAGAAGCAAAATGAAACAGTTTACTATCCATGTGATAAGAAGTCGGAATTGTACGTGTTACAAAAAGAATTCATTTTGCACAACCGCAGTTATTCAATGGATGTTCCAATTAATGACTCGAGGTAATTCATAACGTGACTTATAAAATCTTTATTAGCACCATAACATCGTCGCATTTCATATTTGTATCAACAGACCATTCTTTGTCACCATTATCCCCAATTCAAATTTACTGCTTGTTGTCATAAACAAGATTAACGATCCAAAAGACGATGATAAAATGTTAGATGATGAAGACGATGATGAAAGGGAAATACTTACAACTGAACCAGAAGAAATGGAAACTGGCGTTCAATATGGCGTTGATCATCCATGTCATAAGCTTTACATGAATACGTTACCACGACGTCGCTTGGATGAATGTTTTGTAAGTTAATTTGTCCTTTTTTAAATCTTTTATTCTCGCAATTTAAGGAAATCAACATTAATTTTATGACTTTGACTTCTTTTCCTTTCTTTCCAGACTGAACATCCTGATGAAGAAGAAACGGCATACTGTGGATCCTCATCACGCCTTAATTTTATTTTATTTTTAATGTTATTGCCCTTGTTTCATCTCACGATTTATTGTTTCAAGTGAAGAAAAAAAGACCTTTAATTAAGATTTTTTACGGCGGATTATGTCTCTAAAATGCTTTTTATTATCAAGTTATGTGCACGCGGAAGTCTGAACATGAACTGATTTCGCTCTTGACATTTAAGGTTTACTTTAAGAAGCGAAGAGAAATGCCACAATTTAGTAATCTGTTGAATTTTATGAAATTATTGCGCAATTTTAAAAAGTTATTAAATATTTAAATTCAATTAGTCTTCGATATTTTCTATGTTTGTTACAAGTTTTTAAAAAAAGAAAATTTAGAATGTTTAGCTAAATCTTGGAAGGTGAATGTTAAAAAAATATATTTGTATGTCTTGACCTTTGACCTCGACCAGATGAATTGATGAATACTAATCAATCATACCTGTCCTACATCTTACAGAGTTATAGTTTTTTTTAAGATGCAGAAGTGACTTTAAAACTTTTACAATGAAAAATCAGTCAATCAAATTATCTCAAATTTACAAAACATAAAGAAAACTTTAATTATATTTACACTTTCATGTAAACATGTAAGTGAAAGCAGAAAATGTTTGTTGAACTACAATTTATTTGTAGTATTTTTCAATTTTTCTATTGATGTTTAAAAATATGTTCTTGATAGCTTCTTGATGTCGACTGGTCAAATATATTTCTAGTGACTTTTGAAATGATTTTTGGAATTTTAATAAAAGTCAAGAATCGAAACTTTTATGTTTTTATTAATATTTTATTGAATTAATTTTTTCTAAACCAGAAACAGCAGCATGAGGTAAGTAATTATTCGATTGACAATTTGATAACTTGGTCATTTGTTTTTTATCACTTCAATTATATTTTATTTGAGCTTAAATTAGCTTCATGAGCAATTAACGATATCTGTCAAAAAAGTTTAATATTCTTAAGTATTGCCATAATTTTAGCAAAATCTTTAAGGGTTTCAATTAATGTATGTGTCTATTCTATTACTTATCAAGTATCATCTGTTTGATATTTTCAATTACATTCACAAGTGTCAACTTTTCAATTTTTAACTCAACAAAATAGCTCTGACTACTTGAAAAGTAAAATTAATCTTTAATGATTCGGTTTGATAAAAAACTAATATAAAATCGCAATTCAGTTTTTTCAAATTGTCATTCTGTTGTGGATTATTAATAGGAAAATATCAAAATTAGTGAAGATTTTCAAACTTCAACTTCAAGCTGAAAAACATTTTTTCTCTTACTTAGAATTTGACGTTGAAAATGAATTTAATTCGATTTATTTTTGCAACTGCATTCTGTTCATCGGTGTTATCATTCGAGCTCAACTGTCTCTTTCGTAGATCATTTCACTTTCTGGTTTGGAGGGAAATTTACGGGTGTGATTGCTGGGTCGTACATACAACTGGAAATACCATCGCGCTTGAAGGTGAATGGAATTCACCTACCAGGATTCGATAACATTGATGTCGAAAGCGTTTTCATTCAAGATTTGTCTCGAAATTTGCAACAATTTCCTTCAAACTTTGATCATTTTTTCCCAAACTTATTTGACATTTTTCTTGCCCCTTCTGGATTGACTACGATAACAGCTGAGGATCTCAAACCTTTTCCAGCTTTAATTCGCTTAGAAATTCCTGATAACAGGATTCAACATGTAGAAGGAAATTTGTTTCAGCATACGCCCAACATGAGAGCAGTTGGTTTTTCGTTTAATAGCATTGAGACAGTAGGACTTGGGTTGTTTGAAGGTTTGAGAGGTTTTACAGCACCTGGAAGTTTGGTATCATTTTTAGGAAACACATGCATAAGTGAATCTGCTAATGGTCCGGAACAAATCGCAATTCTCATTCAAAATTTAGAAAGAGATTGTCTTCCACCCATCACTACAACAACAACAACTGAGGCAGCAGTTGATGAATGTCCATCGAGTTGTCGCACATTAATTGATTCATTTGCATCAAGAATTGAACAGTTGGAAATGCAAATGAAGGAAATTCTTGGAAAGCTTCAAGTGTAGAAATGAATTTACGATTACACTGACTAAAAATTATTTTTTATTCAATTTGTATAACTTATCAATTTCATATCAAAAAGCTTTAATTTAAAGTTTTCTAATAAAGCTTGAATTGGCATAAATGTTTGGATTGTCACACATCAATCATAAAAGGTTTTAGATATCTTTTGATTTTATTATAAATTTCCAAGTAGGTAGGTATTAACTTTTCAGTAATAAATTAAAAAACCTTTAGCTAATAAATAAAAGCTATCACAATTGATTCTTTTTGATAAGAAATCATATAAAATTATATTTCAAAATTAACTAGGTATTATTTGACTGTTGATTAGATATTAACAGAGAATTACCAAAATAAATAAAAAAACATCTGTGCTTTCCTTACTAGGAAAGTGATACAAAAAACTGATTTTGTTTCGATTTATCTTTGGTATTACAGTGGAACTTCGATAAACAGATGGCTCAAGGGGGATCAGTTTATCAAGGTTGTTAGTTAATCGAGGCAATCTTGGATAGTAATTCGATTCAAGAGGGACAAAAATATTTGTTTATTGAAGTTCCACTGTATTGCCTTGTGTTCGTCGGTGTTATCACATAAAACTCAAAGTAGCTTAAACGATATCCACGAAATATTTTATTTTTGCTTTTCAAATTGTGTGACTCATCAAAAAATTTTCAAAAAATCTGAAAAGATTTCTAATTAAGCTTCAATTAATGTGAAATCTTAAGCTGCTACTTATCGATAAAAGTTTGAGATATCTTTTGATGAATTTCCAAGTAGAATGAGAAGGGAAAAAAAATCTTTCGATAAGAAATCATATAAAAGTCCATTAAAATTTTCAAATTATCATTCGATTTTGGTTTATACGTTGGGAAATATCAAGTAAGTCAAATAACTTTTCTCTATTCAATTAAAACATTTTAATTTCTTTTTTTTCGTACTTTGAACCTATTTAATTCAGAAAATGACCTCAATTCGATTTATTTTCGTTATAATTTTGTTATGCTCAACAGCTCAATCGCTTGAGTTCGAATGTTTCTTTTATAAAATTAATTCTTCTATAATTGGTGAGCTCTACAACTGCGATGCAACGGTCATACATACTGGAAATCCCAACGTTCTTGAAGCAGTGCGGGGAAATCATTCAGCAGGGTTGAATAACTATCTTGTCCAAAGCATTAACATGAATGATTATTCTCATCAGTTACGACAACTTCCATCAAACATTTATCAATTTTTTCCTAGTTTAGTAGAAATTAACGTTAGAAATTCTGGATTGATGTCAATAACAGCAGACGATCTTCAACCTTTTCCACTTTTATTCGTTCTCGGTGTTACTGACAACAATATTACACATTTAGATGGAAATTTGTTTCAACATACGCCCAACCTCAGGATGGTTAACTTTATGAATAATCGCATTGAAACAGTTGGACCTGGGTTATTAGATGGGCTAGAACCTCTTAGACAACTTGGAAGTGCTGTGATATTTTGGAATAACGTCTGTATAGATGAAAGTGCCTTTTACCGAGAAGACATCGAAGCTTTAATTCAAACTTTAGAAACGAACTGTCGTCCTCCTGTCACAACGACTAACACCCCAAGCACTACAATAGCAACAACTGAGGCACCAGTTGATGAATGTCCATCGAGTTGTCGCACATTAATTGATTCATCGTTCAATGAAATTGAATATTTGAGACAAAAAGCTTCGACATCTGAATCGAGAATTGAACAGTTGGAAATGCAAATGAAGGAAATTTTTGAGAAAGTTCAATTATAGAAACGAATTTATGATTTCACTCTTACATAAACCGAAAAGGTGAAGAATAAACGAGTCGATTGAATGTATAAATTGATAAATTTTTGTTTATTTGATCATTCAAATTAATTACATTTGTCAAATGTTTGAAGCATTTTCAATCGAATATTTTCTTTATCTTTATTATGATCAGCTGAAAACTTATACATTTGAAAGTGAGAACAAATAAAATGTTGAGAATAAATGTTAGTTGTCGTTGTAGATATTTATGGAGCTGGTTCAAACCAAGGATGACTTGTAGGAAGTTCTGGAGAATGGCACATAGACACAGCGTTGTTTGTTGATTTTTGTAACGTCAATTTCGCTGTGTAACCAACTTGCTTTGATTTTTTTGGGAAATTTGCAGTTGGGTCCGTATAATGACGGTTATCTCGATATGGAAACTTTGGATCAGTTTCACTTATCTGTGGTTTAACAATCGGAAACCTTGCCGAATTCTTTTCATCCATTTTCTTTCCAAAAACAAAATTCTGGAATAAATTTTTTTGTAAACACTTTTGGACTGTCTTTATCGCACGAACGTTTTATGTTAGACTGATTATGAAGTTTGATTATTCTCTTTTTCGTTCCTAAATTTAAAGCTGTGTGACACTTAAAGCGTAGATATTTACTTGCTGTGTTTGTTAACTTCAAAAATATTCGAAACGTGCCCGATACAAATGCAGTAAAAAAAGAGAATGAGAGAGTTTGAAAAAGACTTGTTTAACATCGCACGGTTTCCTGTTTTTTGGCCTTCATCACTTAACACAACTATTAGTTTAAGTGTTATTTGTAAATTAGAATTAAGTGAAACCTTCTCTAAAACAATTATAGAAATTGAAATGTCAAAGTTCTCCATTTTTCAAGTTGTAAACATTACAAAGAAAATATTTTAACACTCTTTAAAAATTATTAANAACTTTCAACTGCTGTATCAAGAATTGAACATTTGGAAATGCAGATGAAGGAAATTCTTGAGAGAAATTAAATTTGACAATTGAAATTCTTAAATTCTTTCAAAAATAAATTAGAAAATATGAATAAATGATCTATCTACATATAAATATTTTGATTCACAAAAATTTAATTTTCTTATCTACATACAGCGTTTTTTATCAAAAGCTCTAAGTGGATTAAAAACAATAATAAACTCAAACAAAACATTTTATTTAATTCAAATCGAGTGGCTTGTCAAAATATTATCAAGATAATTTAAAACGGAAAGATTTGAGATAAAGCTTCAATTAACGTGAATTCCTAATCTTCTACTTATGAATTTGCTAAAAGTTTGATAATTGAAATAGGCATTTATCATATCTATTTCTATGAAAGTCGTTAACTTTAAAATAGACTTATTAAGTAAGAAATACTTAATATTTATCTCAAGTGAATTCAGTTGATAAGCAAATCATATAAAATCGCATTTCATTTTTTAATTTTCATTCGATGTTCACTTGTAATTTGTGGAACATCAAAGTAGATAAGTAGAAGAAGTTTTTTATCATTTAATGCATTTTGAAATTTATTTCTTCTTTAGAGTTTGATGCAAATAATACAATGAAATCGTTTCGACTCATTTTGGCAGTTACTGCATTGTGTTCACCAGCACTATCACTTCAGTTCAACTGTTTCTTTCTTAAATTAAATAGTTCTCTGGTTTGGGAGGAAATTTACTCCGGTAATTGTGCGGTCCATCATACAACTGGAAATCCTATCGCGCTTGTAGTAGTGGATGCAATACATTTACCAGGATTCGATAACAATGATGTTGAAAGCATTTTCATTCAAGACTTTTCTCAAAATTTGCAACAATTTCCTTCAAACATCGACCACTTTTTCCCAAACTTATTTGACATTGTCCTTGTCGATTCTGGATTGCCTACAATAACAGCTGAAGATCTCAAACCTTTTCCAGCTCTAACTCGTTTAGTGTTGAATGGAAACAGGATTTTACACGTAGATGGAAATTTGCTTCAGCATACGCCCAACATAAGAGTAGTAGAATTTTCGAATAATCAAATTGAGACAGTAGGACTTGGGTTGTTCGAAGGTTTGAGAGGTTTTACAGAGCCTGGAAGTTTGGTATCATTTTTTAGAAACACATGCATAGATGAATTTGCTGGAGGTCCGGAACAAATCGCAGTTCTCATTCAAAATTTAGAAAGAGATTGTCTTCCACCCATCACTACAACAACAACAACTGAGGCAGCAGTTGATGAATGTCCATTGAGTTGTCGCACATCAATTGATTCATCGTTCAATGAAATTGAATATTTGAGACAAAAAGTTTCGACATCTGAATCGAGAATTGAACAGTTGGAAATGCAAATGCAGGAAATTCTTGAGAAAGTTCAATTAAAGAAATGAATTTATGATTTCACTTTTAAATAAACCGAAAAGGTGAAGAATAAACGAGTCGATTGAATGTATAAATTGATAAATTTTTGTTTATTTGATCATTCAAATTAATTACATTTGTCAAATGTTTGAAGCATTTTCAATCGAATATTTTCTTTATCTTTATTATGATCAGCTGAAAACTTATACATTTGAAAGTGAGAACAAATAAAATGTTGAGAATAAATGTTAGTTGTCGTTGTAGATATTTATGGAGCTGGTTCAAACCAAGGATGACTTGTAGGAAGTTCTGGAGAATGGCACATAGACACAGCGTTGTTTGTTGATTTTTGTAACGTCAATTTCGCTGTGTAACCAACTTGCTTTGATTTTTTTGGGAAATTTGCAGTTGGGTCCGTATAATGACGGTTATCTCGATATGGAAACTTTGGATCAGTTTCACTTATCTGTGGTTTAACAATCGGAAACCTTGCCGAATTCTTTTCATCCATTTTCTTTCCAAAAACAAAATTCTGGAATAAATTTTTTTGTAAACACTTTTGGACTGTCTTTATCGCACGAACGTTTTATGTTAGACTGATTATGAAGTTTGATTATTCTCTGTTTCGTTCCTAAATTTAAAGCTGTGTGACACTTAAAGCGTAGATATTTACTTGCTGTGTTTGTTAACTTCAAAAATATTCGAAACGTGCCCGATACAAATGCAGTAAAAAAAGAGAATGAGAGAGTTTGAAAAAGACTTGTTTAACATCGCACGGTTTCCTGTTTTTTGGCCTTCATCACTTAACACAACTATTAGTTTAAGTGTTATTTGTAAATTAGAATTAAGTGAAACCTTCTCTAAAACAATTATAGAAATTGAAATGTCAAAGTTCTCCATTTTTCAAGTTGTAAACATTACAAAGAAAATATTTTAACACTCTTTAAAAATTATTAATCACTGAAAAGGGTAGAAGAGAATGTGTAGGAAATCGTGGCAATGTATCATCACATTGAAATGTTTGTCTGGAAGGAAATATTTTAAAATAACATTTGTAGCATAAAATTTATATTTTTCATAAATAATAATTTTAACAGTTGTAAGAAATAAAATAAAAATTTTAATTAGTGTGTGTGTTTGAGAGCGTAGCATCATCTTCATCACAACATTTGTGGAGAATTAAAAACTCATCCAATACTTTCAGCCTCTTCTTGTTGTTGCAAAAGACTTATCATTAGATCAACGTATTTTGCAGGCAAGTTTATGGGCTCGTCACAAATATTTCCGCTAACAGGGTCAATTTCGTGCACTTCATAAACATTTTCACGGCCACGTTGAGCTTCAACCAACACAAGATTCTCAAGATTAAGTGAATTCAAGAATGCTTCTTCATCAAAGGATTCTAATTTCGGTGACACTGAACATTGAGGGTTTTCAATTGAGATTTCATCCTTTGATTCGCTCAATGATCCATCGATTGTGACTTCAGTGGATTGTTCAGAATTTGTTGGATGAATATCAACCAAAAGATTTCCCTCTTCATGTTTTATTTTGATCCCTGATTGACGTTGACGTGACAACAGTGTTGGTTTTATTTTCTTCTTTCGACATTTCGGAATTGCTTCTTTCTTTTCACTGACAGCAACGAAATCATTCGTAATTTGATCATTTTCCGCAGAAGAACCGAGAATTGAATCTTCTGGAATTTGATCAATCACTTGATTTATCACAAGAGTATTATCAGAGGTATTTGTCTCTTCAAATGATGGAATTTCATCTGTTTCTTTACTTTTCTGCGAATCACTGGCGTAGATTTGTGATGATTTTTGTTGAGTGATTTCCTCAACCTGTTAAAATGTTTAACATTAAATATTGAAGAAAACATAAAAAATATCTCAAATTACTTACAGATTCAACATTTTCACTGTCAACCGTTTCATTTGCTTTCAAAGCAAATAAATCTTCCGATGGCTTCGTTTTCTTATTTAAACTTTCGAAGCAATCCAATGGAATTTCCAAATTATGTTGATTTATGTGAGAAATGCTAAAGACTGTTGATGAGTTTTCATTATGAATGACTTTGACAACTTCATTCGACGAAATTGTTTCAATTGTATATTTTCTCTTCGAACTTTTGTCTTTTGCTTGATTTACTGACACACTCGAAGGCATTTGAAAATTCTCTTTAGCTTCTTGTTGAACTTTATCGACAACATTAATCGCGAATTCACCATCGTTGAGAATTTTTTCAATTTTCGATTTCTGTTCTCTCTGAGCTTTCAATTTTTCTTCTTGCTTCTTAAGAATTTGTCTTTTTACGATTGCTTTAACTTCAGAATTTGATTTTGCTTCGAGATCCTTACGACGTTCTTCTTCTTCCTTATCTAAATCTCTTTGGAGTTCTTCAAGATCAAAAGTGTTGTGTTTGAGCAAAGCTTTGTCAATTAATTGTGGATTACTTCGTTCCTCTCTTTTGAACTTCAATTTCAAATCACGTCGAGAACGATTAGGAAAAAGATTTAACATTAATGAAAAGTCTGTCCCCACAGTGTTAAGACATCGATAAAACTTCACAGTTTCTTCATGTGACCATTCCTTGGTTCTTTGTTGTCTTTTGTAATAACCATAACTTCCCGACAAGTCATCGTCATAAACAACATTTGTACTTGCAAGTAAAATTCGATTTTGCTTTTGTTGTTCATTCTCAACAACGAGAGAAGTTTCATCAAGAACCATCTCACCATTTGCATTTAATCTCAATTGTGGAACAATCACTTGTGAAGCTTCCTTCACTACTGGCGGAGCAGGCGACTCTTCCTTCATTATTTCAAGATTTTTCTGCTTATAATCATTTTTATGTGGTGAACGAGCCTTCATTGGATTATTTTGAGGATTAAAGTAAATCATATCGAACATGCGTAATTGCGATTTATCTAAATCTTTGTTACTGAGACGTTCACGAGACTCTCTCTTAACATCGATAATCTTCTGATCTTCAGTACGAATGTTTTTACGAGGCTGTAAATTGGCAAGTGTTCCATCTCTCATTGACTTAATGGAACATAACGATTCAGTTCTTATACGGCTATGAGCAAAAGGATGATGATGAAATGGTGATTGTGGAGTTTCTGGATAATGAATATTGTGATTGATTGTAACACTACTTTTTGCAGGCGATGGTGTAGTGAATTCTCCAATTTTCTCATGCTCTTTAATTCCACTTATCACTTCTTTCTCTTTTGGTGTTTCAGTGTTATTTTCTTCTACATTATTTTCATCTAAAATCTAAAATTAGGAAAGAAATGTATAATTAAGTAACTTTTTATATTTCACAATACTCACTTGAGGTTTCGTCAAAGTTCGTGACGGCACTAACAGAGGAGCTAATTTAAAACGACGAAATTTATTAACTGGCTGTGACACTGGTCCTGTGCTTTCTGTTGGCATATGTAATGGAGTTTTAAATGTTTCAAAGGCATTTTCAGATGACTGATGGCAAGAAATTTGATTGTTTTGAGTATTGCACTCATTTCTTTCTTCTGCAATCTCATTTGTTGATATTGCTTCAACTTTCTTTTCAATTATATTTATTGCTGCTTCATTTGAATCAACTTCTGAATTTTCTGCCTTGAATGGAAGTTTTGTAAATGGTTCTTCATCTTTATTTGAAGTTTTGCAATTTCTTTCTTTTTCACTTTCATTAATTTGTGATTCTGTTTCTTTAGAGCCACTGTTTTTATTTGTAGCTCGTCTTGTTGATGAGAGATTAGCCACAGCTTTAATTCGAGCTCTTCTCTGCATTTTTTAATGTGTTTATGGAGTCTTTTTATTGTTTTACATTTATCTTTTCCATTAATAAAACACTTACTTTTTAAAGTGAACTCGTGTTTTTTACTTAGCAAGGCGTAGTAAAGTGCCTAGCAACTTTTTGTTATTCAGGGAAGCGAAAAAATGAAGGGAAGCAAAATTAAATTTCAAAATGACAGTTACAAGTTTAATAGCAAAACGAGAAAATGTTATGAAATTCTAGATTCCTTGGTAGATTCTATATTAACTTAACTAAGACGCATTTTCCAAACCATTTAAAATTTCATTCGCAAATAGGTAGGTTATTATTAAAAATTCATTAAAGCCATTACAGTAAATAATATGTGAGTTTTATCTCCTAAATATAAGACATCGACATCGAAGACAAGGAAATCTTTTATATGAAGTATCTCAGCTACCTGTTTCATATCTTTTCATTTTAAGATTTTTCCTTTATTATTATTATGTTGTTCTTCCTCTACGTCTTAATATTTTATCATCGAAACCAAGATGAAAAAGAAAAATTCATCAACTTTTATTAGAATATTTATGACTTATTTTTATGATAACCGAGTTTGCCATTAATATAATGGCTCTTGTGAGTAATAAGATGTTGTGTTCAATGGTTAATTTTTATAACGCAAACTTGACTCAGTGTACATTTTTCAAGGAGAAAGAAGATATCATGAATTCGAATTTTTGTTCTTTTTTTATGTGCCGATCCTTGAAATTTTTTGCACCATAAGGAAAATAATATTGTGGAGTTAAAAATTTAAAATTTTGTTTTCTTCAAAATTAGAAACTTCAGTCATCATTTCTCGATAATGATATTATCGTGACAACATTAGCATGACTCTTCAGTTTTACAAATTGCTTGTTAAAATTGCGGCATCACTGTTCTTTTTAAATGTTCTTATCGGTTTCATCAATTTTTCCAACAATAATGAAACAAAAAGTCATGGTCGTTGACAACCAGTTAAGGAGTAAAAAAGCAATTTTAACAATTTGGGCTTTTTCAGACAATATCAGGAAATTCATTGTTTTAATAATTAAGATAAAGGGCCTGTGACAAGGCAATCATTTTTATTAGAAACTGATGGAAAAAGGAAGAGAACACGAAAATCAATTTTAAGCATCGCGATAAAAACGTTAAGCCTTATTTAGGTACATTAATCAATCAACCTTATGTTATACCATTGTTAACAAATAAAAAAGAACAGTTTAGAAAGTTTAGTTGTGCGTGATAAAATTGATTGACGCTTTCGGTTTTGTTCTCTATCGATTCTGATTATAATCACTAATGACATCTTTTTACTAGATAAGTAATTTCTTTTTTAATTATTTAGGTATTTCAGCATTAAGAATTCATTGTATACTAATGATAGATTATCTAAAATAAAAGTGATGACTAAGTTTGTGACGCACTAACCGAACTAAAATTATTTTGATAACATTCAAAGATATTATTCAATTAAAGTTTCAAAACTCATTTAATTAGATTCATAAAAACTGAACGACGAGGTAATCGTTAAAATAGATAATGATAGAACAATTTCAATCAATTATCAGTTAATTGTAGAGAAGATTCAGAACAGATAATAAAAGTATTTAAAATATTGCCACATAAAAAGTTTTGATGTCAAGCTTTTTGGTCTGCCAGTTTTTATATCAAACAAATTACTAAAAGTATGTAATTGTTAAATAATTTAATTACACTTGAAGTTATTATTACAGCCCTCACAATTGACATTCAAATTCATTAAAATTTCACTACATCAGCCCTTCATGTTGACCATTTTTCAGTAAATCGAAAATTGTTTCTATTCAAGTTTCATTTATTTTTCATTGAATAATCAAAAATTGTAAATATTTTTGTCAAAAATCTTTGTCAATATAAATATAAAAGATACCTATTTTAAATTATGAGAAGCACAGAGACGATATTCTTCTCGGAAATGAACATTTCCCTCGTTAAGTATTTAGTCAACAAGTGAATTTGTAGAAGTTTAAATATCAAAAGAATATTTTGAAGAAATTTAGGAGAGAGGCAGAATATTAAATATTGTATTTCATTCGCAATATTTGTCATAAAAACAGGTGAAAACCCTTGGCTACAAGAGATCCTTGTTTCAAGTCTATCAGATTCTACTCTTTCAGAGAATCCATTTAGATATCGAAATTCATTGCGATTTCATATTTTCGCTTCATCAAAACGTGCTCGCATAGTTTTTATCAAAATATTGAGATTCTCGTGAAAATTTAATAAATAATTCCCGTAATAAGCTCTAGGATATTAAATTTATTTCTGCAATGTGAACCAGAGAATGTAAACCTTAATAGTATCCTGTTGAACCTCAATTTTTCATACAATATTTTACGACTTTTGAAGTAATCTCTTAATGTCAGTAAAAAACTTGAAAAAGGTTTTATTGTGCTATGCTTTATAGAAACATGAACATCTGTATAACGATACGTACTTAAGTAGTTATCAAGTAATTTTGAAAATACCTGTTTCACTCAAGAGCTTTTGAAATCAGAAAGCATGAACGTCAAAGAATTAGATAAATGAAATTTAAAGTTCTGAATCATATCGTCAGCTAATTTAGAACATGAAACGGAATACTATTATCAACAGCTGGTAAGTGATAATTTTGAAATCAGCACTAATGAAAGGAACATAAATTTTTAAGAAAAGCGTACTTGTGGAAAGAAGTCTAATCCCCTTTCATCATCTGCCACTTCTTAAGTTTCCATCTCTTGAAAATCTCTCGAAAACATAAGGAGAGGAAAATCAACAAACAATTATTATGCTGGAAAAGAGAAAATCTCTCTAAGAAAACAAAACAGTAATAACTTTCTCAAAATATTTAATCAATTGAGAAGAAAAGCTTTCGACAGAGGATTCATTCATAAAAGTTTGACCTATAAAATCATTTATTATGTTTCAAAATTTCATCCGTCTAACAAATCAATGTAACGCTTTAATGATTTTGGAATATTCAACAGTTTAATGCCATCAGGTAATTGGAAATTATTCATTAAGTCTTTTCTAATGGCGCATCTTAAAATAAAAATTATTGTTAAGTATTTTTTTATTTTGTATTAAGGCGTATTTTAATATTCCATGATTTAAAATACCTGCTCAGTTGCTTGAGGTTGCAAACTCCAAATACCATGTTTGGTTGAATCAATTTTGACTTTAAGAGTATCAAATATTTATCTAGAAACATTGTTTTTCTCAATTCGAACACCAAAGGCTGAAAGAAGAAGAACAAAAACGAGAAATTATTTATTTTTTATGTTTTCATGAGAAAAGAAGAAAGAAAATATTTTATAACTTTGTATGGAAGCTCTAAACTGGGAATCACTGAGAGTAGAAGTTTCAAACATGAAACCAATTGATATGGATAGCGTTCCATTTCCTGAAATTCTATAAGTTTATCCATAACAGCAAGAACGGGAGGAATTCCTCCATCTAATGGATTTGGATTCGCTCCAAAACGAAGAAATATCATCAGAATATCAGGTGCAGTCGCTTGCAAAGCAACCCTTAGTGGCGATGCTTTCCCGCAAGACTCAATCGGAATATCAATAAACCTATTTTATTATTCAATAAAACGAATGATATTAGATCTATAGAATTGTCATGGGAAATAGTTTTATTACGGAATTTTCCGATCATTCACTGTAAATTGCAATTGCATGATTGTCGCATGATGAAGGAAAAATACTAAAGCTCTTGTGTTTTCATCCTAAAAAATGGAAGAAGTTAAAACAACTTTTATTACCACATAAAGTAAAGTTGAATAAATTAACGTAACAAACTTGGTCTTTGAAATCACTTCGCCAACCAGCAATCAGATATGGAGCGTTTGATCCGAAAATCGCTCCTAAAAATAAACGTTCAAAAGTTTTTTCGCATTCATAGATCTCATCTGAAAAGAAAATATTACTTTTGTTTAGGATTTATGAGAGATTTTTCCTTCTTTACTCAACAGAGCACAAACGATTGAGGAATCTTTAATATCCCAATTCCAAGCGATTTTCACGGCAATGTAAAGAATATTGTGAAATTTTCCCATTCGACAGACCTGCAAGAAGTTTATTAAAATACTTAGAGTTAAGAAGATTAACTAGGTAGTTGATGAATCTTACGACAATTGTGTAGTCAAATATAGAATAATTAAGAAAGATAACTACGAAAGTAAAATATTCAAACGTCAACAGAAACTAAATTAACGTTCAAATAATTTAGTGAATAAAAAAGTTTAAAAGCTCTGAAAAGAACTTTTCGGTTTTTACCCAATTAAAATTTTTATGAGTTCCTTAAAGCATCAATGTGTAAGTATTTAATTTGTGTACATAAAAAGTAAACGTTTAGAGGAAAACTTAAAACTTCTTTTGTGGAAAAGCAAAAGTGTCGTTTAAATGGAAAATTTAATGGTTGAATCTTTAGTACCTCGGAGTTGGATGCTTTAATTGTTTGATGATATTTTATAGCTGACATTACAGCAACTCCACTCACTTCGTCTTGAGGCACATTCTGACCTGAATGCCAAATAACTTATTGGTTTGAAAATCAATCGATAAAAACTCAGCTAAATACCTTTGCTACACCCGACAATTAATGAATCAAGTTGATCTATCACATTCTGTCGATTCTGTCTTGTTTTCAATCCACTTCTTTCAATTTTCTTTAGAACTTCTTCAAAAAAACAGTCAAAAATGAAGTCCATAATGCAAAATTCACAGTTGTTCAATGCACACTGACATGAATAGAAAATGTTGAAACAAAATTGAAGACTTACAACGCTTAAGTGAATTGATTGATGTGACTTTTGAAATGAAGCCATGAAAATGAAGGAAATACACAAAATTTTATAAATTTTTCTTACATAAGAGTCGATTCAATCGATTCCAAATCCCAAGGGTGCGATAGATTTACACCGAATCCATTCATAACTCATCGCTTATAAAACAATTGATTAAAAGATGAACAATCGTGTAAGACAAGAAATCCTTCTTGTTTGGTGAAATGTATACAAACGGCGACGATACGTCTGTCAATTCGTTATCATAGCTGCTGGTTAATATAAACAATAATAAAAGTAAATGAAGCCAATGGACGCATGAAATTATGGAGACTCATAAATATAGAATTTATTCTTTTACGAATGAAAAGATTTGCGATGATTCTTGAAACTTCTATTTGTGACTTGATATGCTTGAAATTCATGATTCTCTTAGATCCAGCTGTGAAAGGTTAATGAGATTATGAATAGTTAATTACATTATGCTTCAACCTTACATTACAATTTCATATGGTTTAATCTCATCAAATCGACTGACTGTTAATGAAGTTGAAATCCTCGCTAAAATTATTTCAAATGTCAACAATTTAAAAAATCGTTTCATCAATTTAAGAGGTTTTTAAATCTTCCATAAAGTATGAAGCAAATCTATGCTAATAACATGAATTCCCAATAAGCAATCGGATTTGAATTGTCCTAGTTTCAATACAATTTTCGATGTTTGTGAATACATTGTTATCAAGTGCAGTTACCCATTAGTCTATATTTTACGAATGTTTATTAAAAGAGAATCATTTTGTGCACTTATAAATATCCTTTGAGTGATAAAAAAAAACTTCCAAGTTAGTAAAAGCTCTCATCGTTTTTGTTTTGCGCATGGCTAAAATTCACAAAAAATATTTCTCTCAATACGTTTTTTCAATGAAATAAAAGTTTCACAAATCTTCTCTATCTCAGTTGAATCCGGATTGTGAAAGCGTTTAGTCGTAAGAACATTTTTGTGAGTGAAGATATTAAAAAAAGGAAGAAAGATAAAAGAATCTTAAGATAGGAAAATCTCTAAAGGGAAAAATGGGAGAAATTATGTGCAAGTCGCAAGCTTAAAGTTCATAAATAATTTTTTTGTGTTTCAACAAAGACGCATAAATAAATTCTTGTCGAGCATGAATTTGAACATTCAAACGACTACAAGAAAGTTTGTCAGTGCTTTTATTTAAAACATACATGACAACAATTTTATTCCTTCATTAAAAAAAGGTCACAAATCGATATTGATTACGTGTAAATTAAATCAAACGTCAGTATTTAAAACGTGACGATTGTAAATAAAATAAGAAAAGAATTGTTGCGTTAGTTTTCACTCGTTTTGTTGTCATTTAAAATCGTAGCACATCTCAACAATAAAAAATGGTATGAAAAGTTTTTCTCCAACAAATTTCTTGTGTCTACAGATGATAATAAAGAAGAAAATCTAGATCTGAATCTGTAGAAATAAAATATATTTAAGTTTAAATAAGTTACCCACAATTTATTTTTACTTCTATATTACGAACTCTCTCTCTAGTACGGTTTTGTGAATTACGCTTTGGAGTTGCTGGTGCTGAAAAATTTTGGATTAGAAATATGGGAGGAAATTAAGTGAGTGTTAAACTAATTCATGTTTTAGCAGGAAAATCTTAAAGAGCTTTAAAAGTATTTCACAGAGAGATAAGAAGTACTTAAATGTGAAGCATTCTGATGATGCGATATTAAAGTATCTACGTTGAAGTTATTATATTATACTGTTGTGGAATAAACTTGGAAACCATCGATTGATTTTTCGTTCCTAACTCATATCTTTTGATGGTTGTTCAATTTAATGGATTGACAGCTCAAGGTTAAGACAAAATACTCAAGCCTTTCGTTAAAAATTTTGTTCATGTTGATCATGTCGGTTAAATATTTATTTGACTTTCTTTTCTCCTTCTTTTTTGGCCTTTCTGAGATGAAATTTAAAGAGAAGACATATGAAATGTCATGGTTTTTCGTAGAAAACCTAAATTGTTACAATAAAGAACAATTCATAAACTTTACAGAATTTCATATTTCCAAGGAAGATGACAAAAAACGTGATTTTTTGTGCTGAATCTGAAACTGTTTCGAAAACAAGTTCAGAACATTTCTTCAAATACCTCCCCGAATTTTCCACTAAATGTAACTGCGTCAGCAAATTTTTTGTGTGCAAGAAATTCAACCTATTGTTCGCTTTCTCCGAGTTTTTCCATCACCCCCAAAGGAAACTTTTTCTTCTGAATGATTTTGGTGTTGAATTGAATGATATGATGTTCACTTGAGCGTTAAAGAAGCAGATTCCCTTGTTTAATGTTTACGGAGTGCTACATATAATGACTAAACATTGAAATGATGCGAAAGGAAGACAGATTTATATTAAAAGGTTTGGCTCGAATGAAAGGAAAATAAATAAATTAAGACTTATGAATACTTTTAGCATCTCAAACAAAAATGAATTGGTTTACATAAGTATTTTTTCTTTTATCATTAATTTTCCTAACATATCCTTGAGGCATCATATGAATGAAAGTCTAAGCTACACTCCAATTCATCTTTTGTTCACCAGAATTTCAATTTGACAATATCTCTTGAACTCAGCTTGTGTCAAAGTTCAATTGATCCTAAAAATAGAGTTATAGACATTTCCGAATAAATATTTCCTTCAAATGAATTGACACGCAGATGATGTCATGTAGCTACATCTAATCTTGATGTTTATTCACTCAATCTTCTTCTTTTTAAAGTTATTTATTGAAAAGTAACTAAAAAACAGATTTTGTTCCTCTCATAAGTGTCAAGCAGCGAAATTCAATTTAAAGCTCTTGTTAAAATTCCTAATTATAAAGAATAAAGCATAATTTACGCTGTAGATAATCATAATTACTCGACGATTTATGCTAACTGACTAAAGTGCCTCAGTCTCGTATCACGAATTCATGTTATACATATATTTACCTTTACTGCTCCCCTAAGAGCTGCTCCCATCTACTTAACCTTGATGCTGCATGTTGTAACATCTACCTAAATTGAAGAGCGTTGTTTAATGTCATTGAATTTTTCACTTGTTAAGAACTTTACAGAAACATCTAATAAAAAAAAAATATTCATTAAAAAGCGTACGTAGGTGAGATTCCCAGATGTGTGTGTCAACTCTGAACGAGAAGGAAGTACCGAGAATATTAAAATTTTCCCTCGTTTAGAAATGTTTCTGGCATATAAGAATATTTTACATTGTTCGAAAAAGTTATAACAAATTTTTCGTGGCTTTTTCCGAGTTGAAATTTAGATTTCTTTCTGTTTTACTTTGGAGTTGATACGTTGGCTTTTCCGTGGCAATAAACACAATGTACTTATTGAAAATGAGCGTATGTCATTCTTTTTATTTTTCAAACATTTATATTCAAATTTCCATAACTGATAAGTTTTGCTTTAATACAATATTCGCTTACGAAATGTATATGAGCTACGTGAATCTTTAAATGATACTTCTGTCGCTCATACTTCAGTCGTCTGAAATATAATTTGATTTCTATCTACATGATGATGATTTATGTATGAGACTTTCTGATTATTTTTCTTATTTTCCTCCTTCGCAGACAAAAAGCTGAAGTGAACATGGAGGGACAATTTCTAGTTAGGCAAATATACGAAGATAAAATCACTTACAATCTTATAGGTGCTGCTGTAGAAGTTTTAAGTAAGTTCAAAATTGGTTTTAATAAACTTTTCCATTTAGACACTTTCAGTATTGTTTCCTAAGAGAAAAGAAAAGTATTTAAAAGTATTCGAGATATCTTGTTATAATTTCCATTTAATTAATAAACCGTAGTTATCAAGAGTTTTGTTGTTCGAAATGTTTCTGCTTCATTAAATATCATGTTTCTTTAATTGTTGTTAAATTATTTTCCAGATATACCAGCTGATGCAATTCTAGAGCTTTTCGGTAAAACATTTTTCGAGTTCTGCCAAGATTCTGGTTATGATAAAATCCTTCAAGTGCTTGGAGCAACGCCAAGAGATTTTCTGCAGGTAGAAGAAAGCTTTTTTAATATTTGAACGTAAAGTTGACGCTTCTGTCTGCAATTTATGTCTTGATTGATGTAGCGATATATTTCTCTTTTTTTTAGTTTACTTTTTTCCAACATTTTACGACTTTCTTTTCATTTATTTATTTTAAGCATCATTACATTTTAGGAGACATTATGTTTTGAGACTTTCCTTTTTATGAACACAATACAAAACCAAAGCCTACGGCGATGATGTAAAGAAAACAAAAAATTAATTTAAATTGAATTTGTCAATGTTAAGAATTTTATTGCGTGTTCTAAAAATATTCAAAGCACATTGAACATTGACTGTGATTAAACATTTATTTTTATTCAAAGAATCTCGATGCCTTGCACGACCACTTAGGAACATTATATCCTGGTAAATGTCCGATAAATTTCCATTCAATACAATAAATATTTAATGTCATTCTTAAAGGAATGAGAGCGCCTTCTTTTCGATGCACAGAAGAACCTAATGGATCTTTGATTCTCCACTATTACTCAGAACGAGCCGGATTAGAACACATTGTTATAGGAATAGTCAAGGTAAGAAATAAATGGAAATGAGATTAAATGTCAGTGCAACATTGTTTCCTTTCCATTTTATTAATATTCTCTTATTCTATACACGTAAATACATATCTACATAAATGTAATTATTTCTTCCACATTAATTCTCAACATAAGGCTGTTGCCTCAAAGCTTCATGGAGTTGAAGTGGATATTAAAATAATTAAGCGCAAGGGAGATCCAATTGTTACATCGTCAAGGGTCGAGAACAGTTGTAAATTTGATTCAAAAGAACCTCAGCAACACCAGTTAAAAGCAGATAAAATAAAAATGAATGAATCAAAATGCGATTCAAATGTTAACAGCAACAATCAGAACAATAAAAGTAATAGCACGCAAATGCCGTCGAATGACAGTTTATGTGGAGGTGGTGGTGGAAAATGTAAGCGAAAATATTTCAAATCAATAACAATTACTTGTTATTTGTTAGCTTATGGCCATTTACATAACTATCGGTTTGAACAAAAATAATAACAAAGAAGAGCCGTCAATGCTAACAATTTAATTAGCACAAATTAATTTGAAAATTGATTAAAAGTTTTAAGCGAAGCGAAACAAAAGCTTCGAAGCCTTAAAAAAGGCTCAATTTTCTCAATTCCAAACAGGAAGTGCCGCGTTGCCGTGCCTTTCATTAACAAACTCATTATGCGGAGAATTTGATTAAAATATTTAACTTCAATGACGATGTTTACATTTTTTTCTCTCTCTCAGTCGATAGCTTAACAAAGAACAAAATTTTAATTTCCAAAGCAAGGCCCTTTCTTTTCAACAAAAATCAGCACCGAGATATTCACTCCCCCAAATCTTTTTAATTAAATTCTATTGAAAATTTCTTTATGAGAATATTGTTATGAAAACTTTGGGATGTTACGCTTCGATTTGAATATCTAAAGATGGGCTTTGTAGTTTTATTTAATGATTAGAGTTTAGATGACAATTTGAATATTTAATTATTGATTCCTTTTAAATATTCACAGCTTTTTTCACCAATGAATTAACAATTATCGACGACGAAGACTTTATGATTTCATCATCGAAACTTCATTTTCAACAAGGAAATGGATCAATTTTGAATCGAAAGAAAGTTAAAGTGGCTGATCACATTCAATTTTTGATAACAGAAATTGGACCTGTAACACCAAAAACACCGAAAACTCCAAGCAATCTGAATTCTCAGAATGAATTCGAACGTGAACCTCCAGACGACTTTGAATTGGTTGCAGCGCAGCCTCTTGTTTCACCGCAAATATTTTGTCAAGTTTTCCCATTCCACATGATGTTTGATCGACAAATGCGTATTGTTCAAGCGGGAAAATCAGTAGCACGTGTGATACCAAAAACAGCAGAAGAAAATTGTCCCCTTCTTGATGTTTTTGAGCCAGTCCGACCACATATTCAACTCTCATTTCAAACAATCTTAGCTCACATAAGCACAATTTATGTCTTGAAAACAAAACCTGGCGCCATGCTGACAGATGAGACATTCATGAGATTGAAGGTAAAAGTATATGTACATCAAAAAGCTTTAAGGATTAACTAAAATGGATTCTCATCTTAAACAAATTTTTTAACAGGGCCAAATGATGTACATCGTCGAGACCGACCTTATAATGTTTCAATGTTATCCAAGTGTTATGAATTTGGACGATTTGACTAAGTATGTTTACAAAACTTTTCTTCTTAACATTTTATCGTGAAATTTTGCTTTGAAATCTTCGGGAAAGCTTTTAATTAAGCACTTGTTTAAAGATGTCTGTCGCTAAGTGAAATTTTAATTTATAATCTTTAAAGGAAAGGTCTTTGTATATCTGACGTGCCATTGCACGATGCAACACGAGATCTGGTCTTGTTGTCTGAACAATTTGAAGCAGAATATAAGCTTACACGAAACTTGGAGATTTTAACTGATAAGTTGCAACAGACGTACAGAGAATTGGAAAGTGAAAAGCAAAAAACGGATCAGTTACTTTATTCAGTTTTACCGAAAACTGTTGCAAACGAGCTGCGACATCAAAGACCTGTTAATCCAAAACGATACGACTCAGTTACACTTATGTTCTCTGGGATAGTTGGATTCAGTCAATATTGTGCTGCAAATACAAGTGCTGAAGGCGCTATGAAGATTATTAAAATGCTTAACGAACTCTACACTATCTTTGATTCACTCACAGATTCCAAGAGCAATTCAAATGTTTACAAGGTAAATAAAATGTCTTTTCTATCGATAAAAAAATAAAAGCGAATCGCATTGTGCCAAAATAAATCGTTTACCTTTCTTAATGTAAACAGGTTGAAACAGTTGGCGATAAATACATGGCTGTAAGTGGATTGCCCGATGAATGCGAGACTCATGCAGTTTGTATAGCTCGTCTTGCTCTTGACATGATTGAAATGGCAGAAAATGTCAAAATGGGATCTCATCCGGTTGTAAGTTTAAGAGTAAATGAAAAAAAAAAAATTTGATGCGATAAGCTTTTTCTTTAACAGAAAGTGACGATTGGAATTCATTCTGGTGAGGTTGTGACGGGAGTGATAGGACATAGAATGCCACGCTATTGTTTGTTCGGAAATACTGTCAATCTTACTTCACGAACTGAAACCACTGGCATTGCGGGAAAAATTAACGTTAGCGAAGAGACGTACAAGTAAGACTGAGAAATAATTTAATATCGATTATAATATTGACGTATTTTGCTTCTATTTTCCTAATTCAATCATCTTAAAGAAATTTCCCTTGATCAATATTTTCCATTAACTAATTTATCTCAACCATTCAATGATGAAGTTTTGCTTTTACTTTTCATAAACTTTTATCATCTCAAGAATCAAATGAATGAGAGACTTTCCATACTGTTTGTATAATAAGATGAATGATTCAAAATACGCTTATGTTTGCAATTCAAAATTTATCGTCTTGAATATAAAATAAAGCGATAGTCATCAAGTGGCGTCAATTTATTGTCGCAATTTTACCTCTACTCAATACTACTGATTTCTTACTCAAGACTTTTCTTTTTATCGATTTGTTCCATTAGATACATTCACTTTTTTTTATTCCTCTGATTTTGACTTCTTGGAGTTTGAGACAAAATGAAAACATCTTAAACTTTCAAGAAATAAAAAGGCAACATAGTCCCATTCTTAATTTGATACGATCGGAGAACTTTCATTTATACAAAAAGGTTATAGAGAATATTGGGGCAAATTGAAAAAAGGGATTTAGTTTGATATTTGAATAATGATGCTCAGCTGTGTGATTTCGACGAAGAGTTTTTGTTGGATAACCCTTTCCTTGATCCAATTAGTTATATTATTCTCTTATTGCTGTTTCTATTCAACCCATTTAGGCTTTTATGTGACGAAATCAACTACGATCCAACGCTAAACTTAGAATACCGTGGGCCTGTGGTGATGAAGGGAAAACCGGAACCAATGAAGTGCTGGCTGTTAAGTCGTAAAACCAGCTCCAATCAATCACTGACAACATAGACAATTTTATGTCAGTTAAATCCTTTCAAAGCCTCAAGCGTCAAGTTTTTGTAGATAAGTAAATAAGAATGATAGTCAATGAAACTAATTGCACGTGGTTATTGAGTTAAATTACGTTCATTCATGCTGGCTTACAACAAGATACATAAAAATATTTTAAAACTTATTTAAGATTGTATCAGCAGTTGATGGAAACTCTGGAAAAGTGAATAAAAATATTCTTTGCACTCAATGATGTTTCTAAGAGTATGTAGAAATTATGCGCAAATACGTATAGCAAATAGAGATGAGTATTTATGTTGCTTTACTTTGTTTTCTTTAATATTTAATAAGAAAAAACATTTCGTTTCACCATTTTGATTAAATATTTTTTTATAAATGTTCTGAGTGATCTGTTTATGTTGAACTTTATATTTTCAAGTGAGAATCAAAATGTAAAAGTGTTTCAAGGAAACTTAGATATATTTAAATTAAAAGCTTTATGAAACTGTTTAATAAACATTGCAATAACCGAGTCAAAGACATGAACAATTGATTTGGAAAGTTTTCTGTAATTTTGATTGTGTCTCAGGCAGGGAATTAAATTCATTGACAAACATGCAGCAATGAATAAGAATACTAAATCATGTAATTGATTTGTACAAATTATCGAACAATTGAAATCGAATAAAACAGTTGGATTACGATTAGAAATAGAACATTCGTTTTTGTTTCCATCGTACTTCATAAATATTTTATTTCAGGATATTTGAGGAAGGTGCTTTCAGAATAGAATGAATACATAAAATTTAAAGGGTCTTGAAATGCTGACATCAATGTTACGTCGATGTCGAAGTCATGGTCGTTTGAAGCAACTCATTTGTATTCATCAGATTTAGTTTATAAAGTCCCCTCCAAAATCTCCTGATGTTGAAGCTGAATAAAAAAATAGGTCAATGATCAAAGTCATTCATCGAATTTCTTTTTAAATTAAAATTTTGAAAGATTCAACGTTTGATGACAAAGCCTGAAATTTCATAACTTTCTCTTTAAATTTTGTATCGTAACATTTTCATTAAAAAAAGTTTTTCGTCCTTTTTAATTTTATTATCAAGACGTTTATGAAATCGCAAAAGAAGTAAAACTTATGAGGATTCAATTGTTTATGCAGAAAAAGTATCATAAAATTTTTAATGTAAATATTGTTAGATATTTACGTAAATGAAAACCGAAACAATATTTACAATGTAAATTTTGAAGATACATCATAAATTTTTATGCATACGTTGGTATTTTATTGGATACGAGAATGATGATTAATGATTGCTTTAAAATATTAATTAATAATTTTTAGAAAGCTTTCGTTGCAAAATGAAAGTTTTCATGTGAATCACATAAGAGAAAAAATATTTTGATTCAATTTACGGAACATCAACAGATGTTACCTCGTATAACATAAAATAAAGTAATGATAATAAAATATTTTCGTTTTTCTGTTTACAACGTTTTCTTATTCTGGACAAAAATATAAGAATTTGAGAAATCGCTTTATATTTTTTTTAAATATGTTTTCCTTTCATATGATTTATTATTAATGAATATGAGACATTAAGGTTGAGTTTTTCATGATTACCTGCTTTTTGACAAGCTAAAAAGAAGACAAATCAGCTTGAAAATAAAGCTCAAAAGATTCCAGAAACATGAAGAACAAGCAATAATGTTAAAGCTTAAGGCTCCCCAGTATCATTACTTTTGTTAGATGTTGTAGTAGAAATGAGATGTTAATGTCAAATAATAAGTTTTGCTGTTGAACATCGCAGGCTTTCAGATATATAATAAGAGAAAAGCAGCAAAATATATGTAAAATTTATTTATGTAAAAAACTGTGGAAATGAAAAAAGAGATCCTCGACCTGTGAATTTCCAAATGCTTTTTGCATGTTTTCGGTGATGATGTACGGAAAGGAAGAAATGAAAGTTTCGAGAAGAGATTATCATCTGATTATCTTTCCCGCGAACTTTCACGTTTGAAAAGAAATCTGGCATAGAAATAAAATTACCAGAATAAGATTTCACTCAGGTGTAGTAAAGCTTTTCTCGCATTCTGACAGAAAATCTCCTTGAAAACACAAATTTTTCGGTAGCGAAGCAGCATAAATAAACATTATAAAAAATTAGATATTTTATGAAAACACATTACGAGATTTTCCCTTTCTTGTGATGTTCAAGATAAGAAACCCTTTTTCTCTCTTTTTTCTTTCTTAAAAAAGTTTCATAAAAAGGACAAAATTGTTTGCTTTTCAAATATCCATGAGGCGTCGGAAGAATCTGGATTAAAAGTATGAATAATTATTGTAGAATCTTAAATAATTTTGATTTCTTGCGATAATAACCGAAATTTTATCTCTAAAATTAGCTTTTGGCAAGATTTTTGGCTCATTTGGGCTCATTTCGAAGCTATCAATGAAAATATTTTGTCCTTTTGAAAGCCAAGAGCGTTGTCTAGACATACAAATTTCCTCTGTTACAACTAAATAAACTGATTGTAATAAATTAATAATACGATGTGTCCTCAAATAATGAACTTTTTGACCTCATAAAACAAATTCTCTATTTAGTGCTGAGATCATAGTCTGCAGCATTTAATATCAACATTTCAGACGAATATAAAATATTGATAGTTTTTCTTGTGGAAGTTGCGGAATGAAACATCAAGTTCAAATGAGATAAATTTGGTTCATGAAAAATATGTGAAACATCCATAAGAAAAGCTCAATCGTTGAAACGTTTTTCTGAGAACATCAAGTGAATAATCTTCTTTTTTCTTGAAAAAAGGAATAATAAGAAATTAACAATATGACCGTTGTCTGTGAATAAAGGAAAGCGAAAAACTTTTTTGCGAACAGTTTTTCTGAGGCTTTCATATTCAAGAGTTTCATTCATGTCGATGGAATATTTGTAATATCTAAATAACTTCCATCTATTTGTGAGGGTATAATTAAATCATCTTATTTACTCTTCACCTAGATTCACCTAATAAAAGACGAATGGCAGGTTCATTGAAATGAAATTCAGAGATTACGTCAATAAAATATTTCTATGACAACTTAAGAAGCTGAATTTAGATAATAAAACTTATTTTAAGTGTCGAATACGTAATTTGAATCAGAATAATAACTACAAAGCTTCAAAGTTTCTAATTTATTTAAAAAATATTCTAAAACTGCACTCTAACTAAAGTCGTCAGCTAATAACTTGCGTTAATATACTGAGAAAGATTTCAAATATTTACTTTCTGGAAGATTAACACGAGAGTTATAAAGAAATTAATTGACTTGGCAAACTGACGTTACTCGAGATAACACACAGCATAAGTCTATATGAATATATTTGCTTAACCAATAATCGTGAAATCGTGCTTATGTATGTAATCCTATTTGAAAATTTTTATCTACAGAAAATAGAAAAAAAAGGAATTTTAGGAGAAATGAAACAAAACTTTATTAGTAAAAGTAAAAGTAAAAGCTGATGACTCTTCTGCTAGGCTAAAGAAGATGTGACGATAAAACTTTTTTATAGAGCGAATAGAAGGAGGAAAGAAACTTTGCCTATGAGCTATGGGGGAATATAAACAAAGCAAACAATATTACATATTGCATCGAACACAGTATTGTTTTTTTGGTGTGTTTATTCATAAAAACGAGACGATGTAGGATATTTTTTGTTGTTCCTTTCCGCTTTGAACAAACAATTTCATCGGATAATCAGGAACTTAGTGAGTACCTAATATTCATGTCATGTCCACTTTTGCGTTTGTTTATCTTCATTCGAGTGGAAACCAAAAAGCCTTTATTACATAGAGACAATGTTTCATGCATGATTTATCGTCGTGTCCGATCAGAGTGATGAGAATAAAAGAGAAACTCGTTGTAGATACCAAAAATGCGGTACATAAAACTAATAAAAGCTATTGGAAGTCAAGCATTTGAAGCAGATTGATTATTTTACTTCATTACACATCCTTGATTGATAGCAACACTCGAATGCTTTAATTCAAGTGGACAAGATTCCATGGTGAAAATAGTTCAAATAGTTCCAAACATCCTTCAAACTTTGTCAGACATTTTCATCAACTTAAACATTTCAACTTTTATCGATAGCAAACAACGCTTGACGTTAATATACAAAACTTTCTTTATCACTTTTCTGAGTATTGATTCGAAATAGCTTTTAAGATTACATAAATATGTTATATTTGATGCCACTTTAATGACTTGAAGCAAAACAATTCCCTTTTAATTAAAACATTTCTAAAATCTAATAAATCAAATCTCTTTCATCTTCATATTATTCAAACTCTTCAATTCTTCTTCATGTTACAAATTTAAGATCACTTAAAAGTTTATTAATTCAAAGAGAAAATTAGATTTTCCTGAAATTTTCTGATTCAATGCTTCCCTTGGTGACAATTATGTTGAAATACTCTAACCAAGGCTTTGATAAAGTTTCTTTTTATGTCGAGAACAAAGACTTGGAAAATCTTTGAGAACAATAAAAAGACCAATTTGTTGGCAATAAAATTCAAATAATCGAAATAAAAAAAGATTACAAAACGAAAATAAACATTTATGAAAATATAAACAAGTTAAGGAACTTTTTATTTATCTTCTTTCATTGTCAAGATCATTGCCACAAGAACTTAGCCATAAGTTGGTATAATTTGATTTGGAAAGTTTTTCCATCATCAGATACCATAAGAGAATTAATAAAGTTTATTATGAATTGATATTGTACACGGACAAATATTATGGTACATAATACCATCTCCATTGTCTTAAGGATCCGTCATATATATCGCTTAGACGATATTCTACTTCCTGTAAGCACGTCCACTTATTATCCTTTTTTTCTTAACTCACTCTAAGCACAATCAATAAATTATTCTACCAAGGCGTTAATATAAAATATTCTTTTGTTTTCGATAAAATCTTTTTCCTGTAAATTGATATGCTCGAGTGGCAACTCTTATTATTTATTTAGATCATGAAAAACGAAAGTACTTTATATATAAAATCAATTTTCTGCTAAGGAGATGACACGGTAATGCAATAAGGGAATCATTAAAAACTCTCAGAAAGTGAGATATTGTGTGAAATATGGCTTCGTAAAGACTGAATAGGTTTTTTTGCTAAAATCGATTTTTTGATGCTGTGAATAACTTGAAAGCTTTTGATAGATTTCTCATGAAATAAACATGAATAATGAGATCGAAGGTTTAAGGATTCAATCATTCATATTTTTGGGGCTCATTCTTATAAGATGTTCAGATGATTGGTCAATTCTTTTGAATAATAAAAGAATATAAATTGAATAATGTAACAATACAGGATTAATTAGGTAAATTCTTAAACTAAATACATATTAACGAGTGAAAGAATAATCAAAAATCATTCTGCAAAGTCTCAGATTTTTTATAATGTTAAATAACTTATTTGAACCATCTCAATCAACAGCAAATCCTAGAAGACGTAGTGTGGTGGAGAGCGTAGAAGAAATCCCTTCTTTACGAAAGGTCGAGGTCGAGGTACTCAAAACAAGTGAATTAATTTTATTTTTATTATGTTTATAACGTTTTAATTCATATTAAATTTTAATTCTAAGTATAGGGGAGATTTTAATTGTCTTGCAAGAGGTAGAAGCGATCGACTCTTTCCTTAGTTCTCAGCAGAAAAGAATTCACAATTGCAACTGTGTTTGATTATCTGTTTTGCAATTTATAATAATTACCTATACTAAATGTTGAAGTAAAAATATTTCTGCTTGATATTTATGAGAATTAAAATTTAGATTATTTTTTAAGTCATTAATTAAATAAGAGCTATAAAAATCAATATAAAATTTTACCTTTGAGATTAAATATTAAATCAGATGATTTATATGTAATGTGAGTGATTATAAAGATGAGAAAAAGTTTAAACCTGTGAAGTGTAAATCAACTAGACATAGGTATTGAGAACGATCGAGACACAATTATTATTTCAATAGTAATATGCGCGATGTTGCAATGAATAGTGTAAGATAGTACATGAAATATTAACAGATATCCCGTCAAAATAATTTATTAAACTCCAAATTTTTATTTCACGTGTGTTTCTAACAATATCCTTTTTATTAATAATTCTTTGTATGTGATAATAGACAAGTGTAATGTGAATGTAGTTTGTGAAAGAGTGAATGATAAGGAATGTTGTGCATTGTTATAAATATTCTCGTGTGTAGTGTTAGTGTAAGAATACTACAAACAGATATCTAGAAATGGTTATGCGAAAATGGAAACAAATTATTTGAACACAGTTTTTTTTGCATTTTAAAGACTCCTATACATCCATGCAAACATAACTTAAGGATTCTGAAGTGCTTGTGAGAATGTATAAGAGATTTTTATAAGAAGTTCATGAAGTTCCCTTAGGAAGGGGGAAATAAGAAAAAAAAAATGTCCACACATCTCAGTTTTTAGCTGATACTGAAACTTTAAAGCGAAAATAAAGTTTTCCTTTCAGATCATTTCGTTTTCGCATGTCTTACTGATCAGTTAATATGAACTTTACAAGAATTTTTCTTTTCTTTTTGCTTTTGATAGCAGTTGTTTCAGGCAAGTTATTTCAGATTACTGATAGAATGTCACCTCAAGATCATTCATCTGCGTGTGCAAAAATAAAATTAAGTAGGTCTTAATAAAAATATATGGTTAAATGTATATCATAAGACAAGAAATTATCCCCGTATACACATCTTAGTATTTAGCTGACACTGAAAATAAACGCGAAAATAAAGTTCTCTTTCCAGATCATTTCGTTACCTTACTGATCATTCAAAATGAAATTTAAAAAAAATCTTTTCTTTTTGCTTTTGACAGCAGTTATTTCAGATTGTTTTAAATGTTAGATATTTTATTTCAAACATCTTAATTAATAACAGCATATCCTTTCATACGTCGTAATAGACGCGGTGGGGTCATCAGAGGAAATCGAAATAATGATTTTCGCAGATTCGTTTTTTAGTCTTCTTGCAGAAGAATCCAAAGAGACATCCAAACTTTTAACAAATATCGTGACGACTGTTATGACGTCAACAATTTCTTCAAACGTCTGTCTCTCAATAATTTTTATTAGATTAAAATGAAGAAATAAATCAATAAAAATCATGTTAAAATTGATAATAAAATATGTGTATTTAAATTAATTTCCTTAGTTGAGAAAACTCTGTGTAAGTGTCGATTACTTAATGACACACGTTGCAACGTAGAAAATACTTAAATTTTTTATTTTGACAACTGCTAATTTCAAGTAGCTTATTGTTTAAATTTGATAGAATATCACCTCAAGATCATTCATCTGCGTGTGCAAAACTAAAAATAAGTTGTCTTGATAAGAATATATGGTTAAATGTATATCATAAGACAAGAAATTATCCCCGTATACACATCTTAGTATTTACCTGACACTGAAGCTTTAAAGCGAAAATAAAGTTTTCTTTCCAGATCATTACATTTTCGCTCGTCTTACTGATCAGTTAACATGAATTTTACAAGAATTTTTCTTTTCTTTTTGCTTTTGATAGCAGTTGTTTCAGGCAAGTTATTTCAGATCATTTAAAATGTTAAATATTTCATTTGTCCCATTTTAATTAACAGCAAACCCTATCAAACGTGGTGGAAGCGGTAGTGTACGTCGTAATAGACGCGGTTGGGGCATCAGAGGAAATCGAAATAATGGTCGACGCAGATTCTTATTTTAGTCTTCTTGCAGACGAATCCAAAGAGGCATCCAAACTTTTAACAAATATCGTGACGACTGTTATGACGTCAACAATTTCTTCAAACGTCTGTCTCTCAATAATTTTTATTAGATTAAAATGAAGAAATAAATCAATAAAAATCATGTTAAAATTGATAATAAAAAATGTGTATTTAAATTAATTTCCTTAGTTGAGAAAGCTCTGTGCAAGTGTCGATTACTTAAAGACACGTTGCAACGAAGAAAATATTAAAATTTTTATTTTGACAGCTGCCAATTTGTCGTAGTTTGTTGTTTAAATTTGATAGAATGTCATCTCAAGATCATTCATCTGCGTGTGCAAAACTAAAAGCATTTATGTCTAATTGAAAATGTGTGGTTTATTATTTGAAACAAACTAGGTAATAATATTTTTTATTAATAAGAAGTTATAAAAATAAATACCTAACTAACTGAATGAAAACATTAAATTAAAAAAGGAATCAAAAATCACTTTGAAGCAGAGATTTTGGTGTTAATTCAACAACAGTAGGATGCGAATCCCTACATTCAATTTCCCTTTGTTCTGAATGAATTATTGGCGAATCTGATGTAGGCGTTAATGCAGTTTTAGAAAAAGATTGAGGCAACGCAAAGGGATTGTTTGAAAATTCTTGAGCATTTAATGTTTCCGAAACTTTTGATGTTGAAGGTCTGAGTTCAAGCGCAGCTTTTTCGTTGTCAGTTAAAGAGATTTTACCCACACTTAATTTACCCTCAAGGGGCAACGGTGGCAAAGGCATCTCGAAAAATTCTTCATCAGTTGAATCTTCGTGATGGTCGATATCCTCCACTTCCTTAGCTCTTTTATTATTTTTACTTGTTTCAATTATGTTGAAACTTGGCGTATTCTCAGATCTTTTCAGTTCTGGTTCATGAACTTCAGCCTCGAACTGTTGATAAATTTTAATTTCCTTTTCTTGGTGTTCGTCTAACATCTTCTGATAAATTTTTTGTCGTTCTTTTTCTAGCATAGAATTGTAAATTTCCTTTTCCGCTGCCATGATTTCCGAATTTTTCTTTTTTATATGACGATATGATATAACGATAATCAACAACAATAGGGGAATGATGGTTGAGAAGACGATGATTGAAGATAAGCCAGCCGTTCTAGCTGTAAACTCTTGTTCACCTGTAAAATATTAAAAATTAGATGTAAAGTCAAGAAGATATGAAAATTTCCCTTGTTATAATGCTAAACTCAAGCCTCTCAAATTCGATTAAGTGATGTCGATTGTGTTTTTTTCTGTGAAAATTGCTTTAGGCAAAATTCGCATAAGGAAGGAACTTTTCTCATGCTTATTGATTTTTTATTCAAACTTTTAAATTTGCAATCTTATGTTGTGTATAAGAATCGAAACATAACATTCAAAACAAAAACAAGAAACCAAAAAGAAATTTTAAAATCATTCTAAAAATATTTCAACAAATCCACACACAGCTATTCTTTTTTTCATAAGATTTATGATATGTTTCTTTCACCTCAAACCGTCAGCTAGTATTTTCTGCGGGATTTCATTTTACGCCCCCGAGACATGACGGAAAAACTCTTATGAAGTGTGTTATTATGTACTGCTTTCATTCGCATCGAAGAAGCTATGGAGATGTTTTGTAATTTTTCGCGGCGACAAGGATAAGAAAATTGAATTTGATGTTGCTGAAAATCCTCAACAGAAAGCGTTTCAAATGGATTTTTGTACTTGAAAAAATTTGTGGAACAATATTTTATAAAAATAAAAGTGAAATAAAATCGATTTGGCTCAAAAGTTTATGTAAATTTTCTATTTCTTTCAAACTTTTTAACATATTTTAAGAACGTCAAAATAAACACAGAAAACTTTTTGTTTGCTTCTTTTGAAACAAATACCTATCTATCTGGTTTTTCCATCATTGGATAGATAATGTGAACACGCAATATTCAGAGGAAGAAGAAGCTTGAAGAAGAAAGCGGTGAACAATTGAAACATGAAGATAAAACTGAGCTCCTCACAGAGAAACGAGAGATAAAAGAATATCTAAGTATTTTAAAAAGCTTTTATATTTATGTTGGCTGTTACGAAAAACATTTCAGAAAGCATGCTTAATAACGAAAATGCACGGAAGAGAGAATTTGTATAACAACCCCAGAAAATTTCCACCATTGCATGTATACAACTTTATAACAATATCTACCTACTTAAAAATGAACATTTATTCACCCTCACATTCGTTGAACAATTTAATCCAACATATGAATGAAGTTATAAGGCTATAAAAAATTATGCTGTAAGAAGCACAATCTTTGCTTTGTTTTAGAGGAAATCTAAAAGTATGAAAGGAAAAGTTCACAATTGCATATATCAAACTGGGGACAATTTATACGTAAGAGGAAAATAAAGACAAAGCAATGCATTATAAATTTTGTTTTACTTTATGGCTTTATTTACTCACAATTATAAATTAAAACAACTGGATGGTTCAACAGTTTGTAAATAATTTTATGTTTATCGTTCCTATTCTGTTATGCTTCTGAGAATTAATTTAAAATCAACAATTCTGATATTTCATCTTAACAAAATTCCAAGTGATTTTGCTTTTCGAATTTTAGAATGTGAACCTTTCAGCAAAAAAAAATCTCTTTGACTAACATGTGGAGGAAACATGCCAAAGTTTATGAAAACATGCTTAACTATGCTTAAGGTGTTGATACATATAAAAACAAACAAAAGTAAAATAAAATGAAAGTAAAAGTTGTAAGCTTTTTATCTTCCAGTTTTGATGTCAGTATGTTAGCATGTGTTAAAGGTCGAAGGAAAATATTTCTCTGCAAAGCAAATCTTGCATAAATATGATACTGGAACTTTTTAATTAAAAATTTTAAAAGTAATTAAGAAGCTTACAATTATTAATAAATTCTAAATAAGGAGAAACTGAGGGAGCTGCAAAGCTTCAGGGTTATACGACCCTAAGCTCAGGTGTATTCAACTCAAAACGTTTGCTTGTTAATCCCTTTTTACGGTGTCCGGATGAACATAATGAAAAAGCAGAGTGAAAATGGACTTTTGGTCACTAAAATTATCATTTATTATGGAAAACTCTTTTGTCACTTCATATCGCTTAGGGTTTTAATTCAGGAATATGGACTAATTAATGAAAGTTTTGCAGATGCTCATGTTTGATAATTAAATTCTAATATTTCCTAACATCTAACATCTTTCCCTTATTAAATTATAAAAAGGAAGGAAAGTTGGTTTAATTTATTAATGATTTTGTGTTTTTCTTCTTAATCTTTTTTGGTTTTTTTAACTCAAACTTCTGTAGAGCGTCCATCGTTGGGTCGCGGAAGACCAACATTCTGTGTTAATGGTGGTGGTGGAGATCTGCTTGGCTCACCATAAAATCTGGAATTGTTCTGATTTTGTTGTAGAAGAGGTGATTGATCTTGTTGTTGATTAAGTGGCAAGACCCTGATGGCTCCTGTTGGTGGTGGAGATTGATTTGGATCGGAAAGGAAACTGGCACGGTCAAGGTTACTAAATGTGGGACTATACATGCCGTCATTATAAGGTTGTGGGGACTCAATAGGAGGTGGAGGGTATCGCGAGTCTTCTTCTTCTATTGGTTTATAATCTGATGCCAACCGTTGTGATCTCCGTCCTAATTGACGCTGATCCGTACCGTTCGAACCTACCATATTCACATATTCAATATCTTTAGCTTTTATATCTCTAAATGAACTACCTTCGCTGCTCGTGATGTCGTCTTCATCTAAATCCATTTTCTTCGATGGATCAAATTCAACTGGTGGCTTATTTTTTAAGGGTTCGTGTGTGTCATAAGAAGCATCATAGCGGCGAACTTTTTTAATTGAATTATCATCTCCTTCACTTCCATCACTGTTCATATTTTTAAGAGTTGTTCGTGATCCGGATCTCGAATGTGGGATAGGCAAAACGTAATTTGGATCCTTCTCCAATTGTTTCTTGCGATATTGATAGACAACACATACAATGCACATTATCATTGGCAAGATAACAAGAAGAACGATAAGAATTACAATCCAAACGATGTAACGCGTAAAGAAAACCTCACCTATAAAAGTTATTGATTTTTTGCAAAAATATAAATAATGTTTAATTATGAAAGGAGAAGGGAAGGGAAAACAGTTAAATAAATGTTCATTTTTAAAGAAAGGTTTAAGATTTGGAATGAGACACTTTGAATAATTTTATCTCTTTAAGTGTCTCTTTCCATTTCAAATGTTATTTCAGGGTTTTGTTTATCGTTAGTGCCATTTGTTATAAAATGTTTTTATATTAGACTTGGAAACATAAAGCTTATGAAAAGAAAGGAAAGACTCACGTATGCATTCAGTATAACCGTGTTCTGGCAAATCCCAAGTTCCATCTTCTTCACATGTTCTACGACGATCTCCATTCAAGAAGAAACCTTCATTACATTCAAATGTAACAACAGCGCCAGGCGTAAATTGGAAGTTTGACTTTCGTCCGAAACGTGGAGTTTCAAGAATTCCACACGAAAGAATTCGTCTAAAGCAAGCATGGTTAGTCATGATTTATAAATGAGATTATGAAATGGAAACTTACTCTTGATTATTCTTTGCTATATTTACAGCACTGTCATAATAATTTCTTGTGAAATGTGCCATGTCTCGATGCAACGTCATGCCGTAATCAAAACGACATTGATATGATTCACCACATAAATCATGCGCCTTTTATTCAATTATGAAATGAGAAACAGAATAAGAATAGAAGTTTGATTAATAGAAAGCATCATCATACTCACCCTTTCTATATCTTGTGAACGATTTGCTGGTAAGAAGTCACGTGGTTCACGTATAAAGTTGGGAAGAAAAGTTGCATTAGCGTAATAGCTCGCCGTTCGACCAAATTCTCTTGTGAATAAACCTGCGCCAACACCTGGCGTTTCACGATCTGACAACATCCATCTCATAGCAAACTCACGATGAACTGACTCGAAATTATTCAAATTTGTTTGTACAATCGTACCATCTGGTCGTGTCAAGTCATCTGACATATCAAAACTCCAATTTCCAAATAATCCACGAGTCTTATTTATGAATTGCCAAGGTAAATAAACACGAGCTGTCATAAAGCCAGCATTTTCAACAACTTCAACTCCAGCACCAGATGCAAACATGATGACGACTTCAGATTGATTTAAGATGTACGATGGAGTGTAAACAGTGACACCTTGGAAGAATTGGAACTTCAAACTTTGACGATCGAAATAAATTCGACGACCATTAGCGAAAACATCCAAACGATAACGCCATTGGGCATCTCTTGGACGTATGCGAACTTCAATTGCAGTTGTGTTACCACCACGTGTTGCGATTGACGTTAAATGTGTAGCCATGACAGGTCCATGAAGATTCCTTGGAACTTGTTCAAATCTTCCTTGCACATCAATATTTTGCGAACCAGCAGCACCACGAACCAAGACAAACTCTCCCATACCATTGAAAGTGTATTGAAGATTGTCATATGTCACAATATGTGGATCACCAAAAAAAAAAGCCACTCCAGGTGCTTGATAAGCAACACAATCTTGTGATGGTCGACGTTCGAAACGGAAAGTTTCACAGCCAACTTCTTGCTCTCCTTGCCATCGACAACATGAATAATAAGCGCGAACGTCATGGAACCATTGAGATAAAGTTGGAACTTTACCAGCTTCATTCCATGGATGAGAGCCAACATTGTGAGTACGTCTTGGTCGTGATCCCCACATTTGATCATGAGACAACATAAGGAATCTGTTACGATCATAACAACATTGTTGTTCCGATCCTTGTTGCGTTGGCGTTCCACTTCTTACACAATGAATTCCACCGCGATGATGCATACAAGTTGGATTTGCATCACGATCACAATCAAAGTCTGGCATGTATCTACCTTTGTCAGTTAAAGCTTGGTCAAGTGTGCAAGGACAAATCGGAACTTCATGAGCGAAATTTCTCAAGAAACGATCCAATCGAAGCCAATTATCACAAAGCGCCCTTGGCCAATTCATTCCATGACGACGTTCCCATTGTGGACCGAAATACCATGCAAGTGGAATCGGCTTTGACCATAAAACACTGGAAAGAGATTAAAAATGAAAAAATGAATTTTTACAATAATAATTTCAACTTACGGTGATATTGATAATCCATTAAACTGTTCAGGATTAACCAGACTGATGTGAATGAATCCAAATTGCAAATCACTTGTGTTTCTGTTGTCTCTCAAACGATAATCTGCTGGAACAATTGTGTACACTCCAGTATTAGTAAGAGTATCTTGAAGCACATCAATATATTCTAATTGCGGTACAATTGTTGATTCTCTGTAACCGTAGAGTGATATTCTGATTTGTGCATTGAAATTTGAAGTCAAATTAAATCGATTCCATGTAATTTTGATTTCCGATGGATTTCTGTCATTAACGTCTTGAGTTTCAAAGAAAATTCTGTCCGTTGCAGTTGCTGGCGTTTCAACAAAGTATTGACCTCTCCATTTGTAAGTTTCAGCTCCAATTCTTATTTCAAACCGCACATAACCTTGGATTAGTAACGGTGGTTGAACGCAAATGGCACGGTTTGTATCTACGAAAGTTCCAACAACTTCAGTTGTATCAAATCGACATGAAATTCTGTCTGTTGGTAAGAAGCATGGACCAGTGATGTTAACTATCGTCCCTCCTAACATGTTTCCTGACTCAGGCGCAAATACCAGAGGCAAATGTGCTGCGTCTATATCTTTGTTACAAGTTCCCAACATAATTCTCTCGTCAATCCTAAATATGTGTCGACCTGGGAATCCGTTCGCCCAACCACGACCAGTTAAATCACGAAGCACTGACGCTTGACTGTATGGTTTATATTCATATGCTTGTGTACCGTTTCCGGCATTAAATCCGATCTATAGAAAATATTTTTACAATAATGAAAGCTGTCTCGAAATATCGATTAAATTATTTCAATATAAAAACCCAAAACCCGTGTAAAAAAAAACATAAAAGCTTTTGACTTTTTCATTTTTTCCCTTTCAAAAAGTATATAAATTTTACTTACATATGCTGGCACACCACCCTCACCACCAGTTGTATCACCACCTGCTTCAGTGTGTGATGACCATGTAATGTCAGCATAATTAAAGATTGCGTAAGTGTAAACTTCATCAGTTGCCAAAATCATTTGGAATGAATTTGTCTGTAAATTGAAATTGTTAAAATTTATTTCTCATTAAAGATTTTTAATCAGCTTTCGACTTACTCTGAACAACGAATTGTCAATTCCACCAGCAAAACTCATGTTCTTCCATGTAATTGTAATAGCATGTTTTGGTACAAATGTGTCAGAACCTACGACACCTTCTCGAATATCCCACATTACTCGTTCACGCATTTCAACACCAAATCTATCCGTTCGTGTCATCAAATCACGTTCCATTCTGTAAAAAGAAATAAGAAAACACAATCAGAATAAAAAGTTGATTCATTGGTTTGATGATAATTTGAGTAGAAATGATTCAATGTCATGTCGCTTTCACTTTCATTTCAACAAGTTTTCTCTCATTGCTTAGTGACGAAAATATGGACGAACAGATGACAAGCATATTGCATGAAGATTGGCGGAATATTTAATTTTATTTTTCCGTTTGAATGCTTTCTATGAACTGAATGAGCGATGGGTATCATGAAGTTATTTCCTCTGGAGGAAATTGTTAGAGCTGCTTTTTTATTTGCACCTTAAAGCAAGAGCAAGAAAAGAAAACGACAGAAAAAAGGTTTCCTTCACCTCAAATCGGATAGAATTGTTAGGAAATTGAATTTGTGATTTTGCTTTTCGCTTGAGGATACTGACAGAAATAAAATGGTCTGCTGGTATCGAACCTTGAAAAGAAATTCACCTGTAAATACACATGATTCAGTATCACTATGGTTTTTTTTGTAGCTCCATTCATCAATGGTCTCCCCATTTATCTTTCAAGTGCTACCTTCAAACTTTCCCTCTTTCAATTTATTTTTGAGGAATTTAATTGAAGCAACTCAACGAAAGGATTTTCTTGCCTTACTCTTTTTTATTCAATTCATTCTTTTATTCGGACTCTCTTAGATGTACTCATAAAGAATATAATTTGTCTCTTGCTGTAACACCCAAAAAGCTTGAAAGGTCATTTTGAACGGTCGGTCATACCGTTCTAAAGTGGATGAAAAGAAAGAATTTCCGGTCATCGTGAGAAAAGGGAAAGGCTTAATATTTTCGAAAACCCTTTCACGATCAATTTCCCATGTTGTCGCATTACTTCAAAGCTTAATGAAGATTCCTAAATGTTTAGAACACAAAAAAAAGCTAACTTCCTTTAGAAAACATAAAAAATTACATCATGGACGACAAAGTCAAGGGAAACATTTTTTTTTGAAAATACCGGAAACAATTTTGTTTATGAACATGGAAGGAAAACCACAGTCATAACGTTCCGTCTGACATTCGTTTTTCTCTACAGCTCATAATCCTCGCAAAATTATCATCGTTATTTATTTCCGCTTTATCAATTCTGCAGATGATGAATATGGAACAATTATTTTGATTTTTATTCCAACATTTCCATGGGGGGTTCTCATTTTTATTCTTTTGCCTTACCAAAATTTCCTGCACCGTTGAGCATCAAGCAAAGAAAGTATCACATTCAACAACAATAATAAATAAAGAGAAGGAAAAAACCATCATCATTTATTTCTGTCCGCTTTTGTGTGTGGTTGTTCTTCCATTTCAGATCATTTATTTAGTAGCGAGAAAGCGAATACATAAAAGACGAAGTGACAATGGCAATTTTTCATCATAGTTTTGTGAGATGATGTGATGTCTGAATATATTTTTTTTATGCTTCGATCAAAGTTCTGGACATTTATAGTGGAAAATATTTTATGATTTTCGGAAAGATGTTGGAAGCACAAGTCAAGTTGGCATCAACTGAGAAACATTCAATCGATATTATCAAATCATTCTTCATTATCGACATTCAAAGACGAAAGAGAAGCACCTGAAGTAAATGTAAATCCTAAGGGATAAGGAAAAAAACAAAAATATTTCCATTTTGTCACTGTCCGATAGATAAAATGGATTTACGGAAAAGAAATGTCGCCAAGAGCTGATTTATACTTTCAGAACATTGAATACGCTTCTTGGGAATGATAAATGAGCATAAACAATAAATAAATAAATAAAATAAAAAATAAGTGTTTGTTTCATTTGCAAATGTATTTTTGAAATAAGAAAGACAAGAAAGTTGTTTTGAAGAGGTAAATCCTTCAACAACAAACTTTTTATCACCCCATAAAACCTTTTCTTGGTTTAAGAAATCAATTTTACGGTGTTCCTTTCGATCAATTTATATTTTTTTGTTTGGGTTAATTCTCACCTGAAATAAGCTCCAGGCACTCGTTGATCGTGGTCGGTCTGATAAATTCTCCCAATACGACATCTTGAGAAGAAAATTCCGATGAACGAAGGGTCATTTCGTCGAGGCCAGTCTTTGATGGGGAAAACTAATGGATATGTGTAATGTTCGGGTGGATCAGAAAATTCGAGAAAGCCATTTAGAGATACCTAAAGCAATAAATTAGAACTTTTCTTCGATGTTTTCCAATTAGTCGTAACTTACTCTGGTGTAATTGAAGCGGAAACCGAAGAAAGGCAATTGAAAATTGAAATTCTTATGTACTTGCTGGTTCGAAGCATGAATGTCACGTTGTAAATCTCCTTGATTTTCGGGACCGCCTTGATCAAAGAACCAATACATAAAATGTCTTCGAATTTCAGCTAAACGTTGTGGGGTTATTGTGTATCCTCGTCCATCGTTACGATGAGTTGGAGGCTCATCAGGCGCGACACGGTTCATTGGATCTAAGAAAAAAAAAAGATAGAAAAGAAAGTATTGACTTGTATGAATTGAAACGAGAAAGAATTGATTACATAAAGACAAATCGCTTAAAGATTCAAGTTTCGTACTGTCATTGAAAATATTTTCTTTCATTTTATGATTTTCTTGAATATATTTTGAAAAGCTGTTCTTGAAAAACAAACAAATGATATTTGCTACATAAATTTCATAACTCGTTTATGTTTTTCTTACTAAGTTTACATATAAACCCTTGAGAAACATTTTTTTTTTGTTTTTCTGTTCTTAAAAGATTAAGTTTACAGAACTTTAAAGAAAATGACTTTTGTAAAACTTTTTTGCAAGAATTTCTTAATATTCAAGGAAAACTTATTACAAGACAATTTAAAATATTTTTCCTTCTTTCTGAATTATTTATTAAAAGTTCAATTTGAAATAAGCTTGAAGCTTTTAACAAGTAATTTCTGACATTTCTCAAAAGCTCAACTAGGTACTTGAAGGAATCTCATAATTGTCACAACAATTCTCTACATTAACATAATGTTTAATACTAAACTTGACTATTACGTGTATCAGACAAATATTTGATTTTTTTCTTGAGCAGTATGTTAATTAAATTATATAATTAGAATAATTTCACAGTTGAGTTGGGTCATAAACAGCACAATAAGAAAGGAAATAAAAGCAAATAAAACTTGGCTTGGAATTCGCAATCTAAAAAGCATCGAAGGACGATAATTTCATAGTAAATGTTGTCCATTCAAACCTCAAATGACGTAGACATACCAATTTGTATGGATAGTAGTCTCATTTTATGATACTCTCAGGAATTAGAAGCCAAATTATGGAAATTATCGTACACAGATATTTGAGAGCACTCTGCTAGTACGAGTGAGTGAAATACAAATATTTTACGTGCTCTGAAACTTCTGCGGTTTCAATCTACCACAGAAATCATTGAAGAATCTGAGTCGAGGAAAATGTTGAAGCCGAAAATGTTTATTGTCGTTTTGGAGTCTTTTTTTGTGTTGATGACGATGATTTCATAACCACACCAGAGAAATTATACTCTAATTTTATTTCAAAATGAACATCTCCGCTCTTTGATAAGCATTTGGGCTTGGTCGATAATGTGTTTGAATCTTTTTAGACCTTTCAAGTCTTTCTCTAGCAAAAACCATTAAACTGGTGTTTTAAATTCTTAATAATAAATGTTAATAAAGTTATTCAGCGAAGTTCTTCAATTTTGTGAAAATTGGATTATAAATTCATGAAAAATTAATAATTAAAGAGCTGTGAAATTATATCAAGCACAAGTCTACTTGAATAAGTAATTTTATATCGACATTATATTGTACGTAGTAAATTGAAAAGCTTTTTGTGCGATAAGATAACGGGGTAAAAAAAAGGACAGTGACTAAGGTTGTATTACTGAGAATGCTATGAAACTTTTCTTTTTCATGGTAGTGATTAATGACTATAAACCAATTCAATCGTAAGAAAAAGATTTTGCAACATACCATCCCAATTTCGGTTGTCGGTATTCGAATATCCGATATCAAATTGATTTGCTGAATAGTCATCGTAGTTCATATATTTTCCTCTCTGTTTTCCAATTTCTAAATTATCTTGAACTGTATCTACGTCCACGTCTGGCATGTCTTCATTGATTGTTCCTTCCTCCGTAGGATTTTCATCGTACTGATTGGAAACATCGTCGTCTTTTGTGTCGATTATTGTTTCATCATGAACTTCTGTGTCTTCAGGTAGAACCTCAGTTGTTTCTGTGTCATCTTGATTAACATTGTCAGATATGTTTGTGTCACCATCTTCACCAGCACTCGCTAACGAGAAGCTAATGACTAATGCTATAAGAATCCATTTCCACCTCATTCTAGAAATTTCTTCTTTTTTTAAACTTTTTTAAAGTTTCTTTTAAATTCTTTATTTTTATTTCAAATTCTTTTTTTAATTCTTCACTTAAATTGGCAAAATTTCACAATTTCATACAACTTAGAGCTAATTTTCCCTTATCAGGGCGTTGCCTTGATAACGATAAAGACAATAAACGAGCTCTGCTTTTCGCGTCTGAATAACACGTTCACTTGCTGGTAACTGAAATGCGAAACATATAAAGAATCGCTTTAAAATTTCGGAAAATTCATATCTTATCAGTTTCTAGTTCACCTGTACAAAACAAGAGATAAGATTAAATTTTCATTGTATTGTTAGTTTCAAAACTAAATTGTGATTGGAATTCTTACACCAAAGAAATGAAGAATGTCTCATTTTTTTGTAAGTAATTTCCTAATTTAATTTATCGCTTTGAATGAGGTTTGCCATATAATTTATTTATAATAAAGAAGCGCCCTTTTCATTCTTGTAACTTTAGGCGAAAAGATGAAAGTTCGAGAGTCGAAGATTAAATAATTGAGTTATGGTAGCGACGGACGTTGGTTCATCAGATCAAATTGGGACAATTTATTTTTCCCCTTCAAGGCTTGATCTCTTTATTTACAATATATTTACGTTACTTCTTAGTAAATCATTACTCTCTCAAGGATTCAATCAATTTACGACGGTCACAATAAATTGAAATCTGAGAATGAAAATCAATATTTAAACGCTGAAAAATCAAAAATCGCCCGTCGAATGTCGTCATTTTGTTTGTGTAAATATTGGTGCAATTCCTTTCGCATACAATACATCAACAACAATTTCAAAGTTTCTTCTTATCTTATCAGACGCCTCCACCCCCTCCTCACGTTCATCGGAAAAGTGCGTTCTTATTTCATTGAAGTAAAATTAGTCTTCTTATCGCTCAACTGGTTCAATGCTTATTCATATTTATTCCTGATAAATTAATAATATTTCCGGGAATATTTTCTATGAAAGCTTCAACATGATATTTATTTTTATTTGTTGCCCTAGCAATGAATCAATGATGTTCAGCAATATACAATGAACATAAAGAAATGTAATAATAATTCAAATTTTATGTGAAACATTCTCTGTATTTTATATTGAATGGGATATTCTGGCATGACACATTTAACATGTTCATAGACAAATTCCAGATTGAAATTCCGAATCGATTTTAATAATAATTTCAAGAATTTCCCTTTAGAATTTACAATTAAACATAGAAGTGAAGTTTGAGATCACGACGAAAATCAAATAGAACGTTCCAAATATTTTCCAAACTCTTACCAAACGTATCCCTTTCTAAAACCCTTTTTAGAATTATCCTAAGTAACTCTTTTATTCCGGTTAAACTTCCGGAGTTGACAAGCATGAAGAAGATAGAAATGACTGTTGAACCCTAATTAAGTGAAGAGCACAAGGTTTAAAAGTCCAAACGACTTACTTCTATTGTTTTTCATCATAATTATTTGCCTGATTTTTGATACGACTCCTATTGTTGTTATTGTTATAGTTTTGAGGTTGACGTCACCCAATTTACCATAAGCTTCATCCTTTAAATTGACATAGAATTTGATTAGATGCTACTTTTATAATATTCAAGATTAGGACGAGATTTAAATAAGAAATGGTATTTCGTATAATACGAAAAATAAAATCTGATTAAATGATTGGCTTCTAAGAACAAAATTCAGATGTTTGTAATCTGCTTTACAGTCAAGTGGTTCTTAATGAGATGGAAAACTTATACCGTAATAAATTCCATATTCTCTTTTCTGAATCATTCCTAATCTTAATGTTAGCACTCATATTATAAACGAAGCTTCTTTCATATAATTGATATATATTTTCCTATGAATCTTACTGTTTTATTATTTTTGCCTCAAATTAAAGTCAGATTTATGTCTTTGAAAGGAAACGTGCAGTTTCCCATTGGGATTTTATGTTTATTTGCTTGCCTTTTGGATTCCATGCGAATACATTTCAAAGTTATCAAGACAGCAATAATAAGTATCTAATGTGTTATAAGTTGAGTGTTTTATTACATCCATCTACATATGTTTGTATGTATAAAAACAAACAAATAATGACTTCAATTTCGTTCTTGATTTATTATTCTTTGTGATAGTTTTCAAATGTTCGTTAACAAATTATCACTTGATCATATTTTAGAAAACTTACAAATGTTTTCATCATTTTGCTTTTGAGAAGTTTCTTTCTTCTTTTATGAGAGTTACTGATGATAATGTTCGAGTCAACATTCATTTGCATGTTCATTTGCATTTTTATGTTTATTTGAAGATTATGATTTCTTTGAGAAAGAATTTCTTTTAAACACAAGTTTATTAGTTTCTATTTTTTTCAGAGAAGTATTTTGAAGCTATTATCAATCATGACGAGATTTTCAACAGACCTTTTCTTAGATATGATATTTATTTACCCGAGAAAAACATTTGACTTGCAACGCATACATTGAAAATCATTCAAAAAATGTTTGAGATGTGTTAGAAATTTAATTTAAAATTCATTTCGTAAAATATATTTTTGAGAACGAGAATGAATAGCAACACACAAAAACAATCGTTAAAAAAATACAACGTAAAGTTTCAGAGAATTTCTTGATTAAAATTTGTTCAGTGTAGTCTGACTTCTCGACATTGTCACTTGTCAATAGAAGTTTTATTCATTTTATAAGACTTTTGTCTCTTAATTCTTAAGATTTAATTTTCGTTACCGTGGATTCTAATTTAGATTAGTTGAATACAAAACATATCCTAGAGTGTCAAATTAAACGTCATGTACAGAAACCTAACGAAACAAATTCGGCATTTTCGATTGACAGACAACTCGTCATGGCTGAATTTTCAGGTGGCGAGTCTTTATCACAGCGGATCGGCATATTACGGTTATCGGCCAAAGCTGGTGCAGGATTGGAAAAGTATGTAAATTATTTTCTTATATTTTCACATCAAAATATAAAGTAACGTCAGCTGTTGTCAGCTTTTACATAATTCGTGGCTTGATGTTTTTGAGGTCTGCTAAAGTGTTGTTGACGAGCAAGAAAGACTTTCGTAAAAGGGACCACAAATTCTTACTTAACTGATAATTTCAATATGTTTCCACATTCCCAAGCTTTATGATGTTTGCTTTCTGCTTTCTAATGTTGTTTCTTGAAATATTTTGATTATTTAAGGGAGTTTCTTTCAAGTTTCAAGCATTCTATTTCTCTTTTGGATGTGTGTTAACATCCGGTTAAGTTTAAAGTGTGTGTATATGAGTGTGTGTACTTACGGTGATAACATGTATGCATTATAATGTATTCAAGTGATAAAACATATTAATCATCAATTTATTTACAATTTTGTTTATTGTTGTTCTCATTAAATATTAATTACAATGAATTTTAGTTCCGTCTCATCATTTGTCTGCACGTCAATCCAATAGAAATTTAAGAGCATTGATTGAAGCATATCAAAGCCATGGACATCGTAAAGCGTCTGTCAATTCCATTGAATTAAGCAAAGTTGAAAACGTTCCTGAATTAGATGCTTTAAGGTATGGATTAGAGCTTTCCCACAAGCTGCCATTTCTTGAAGGATTAGTTGGATTTAGTGACGCTCGTTTGGAAAATATTGGAGATCTCATTGCAAAGCTTGATGAAACATACTGCCAAAAAGTGAGTGCAGAATTTTCCTTCATCGAATCAGAATGTGAACGTGAATGGTTTGCGGAAAATTTTGAGAAATTGCTCGATGAAAAACTTTCGATAACGAAGGAAGAGAAAATTAAATTGGCAACTGAACTCCTGCAATTTCAAGAATTTGATCGCTTTATGAATATTAAATTGCCTTCGATTAAAAGATACGGAGGTGAGGGATCTGAGTCGACAGTAGCTTTTTTCCGAAAGCTTTTAAATCTATCCGGAAGTGAAGAAATTGACACGATTGTTCTTGGCATGCCTCATCGTGGAAAATTAAATGCTTTAGTCACTTTATTTCAACAAAGACCAGCAAAGATTTTCCGCAAATATCGTGGATTACCAGAGTTTGGCAATGATGTAGTTGCAATGATGGACATCACAAATCATTACAGTAAGTTATAGAAAAAAATGAAATAATTTTTCACTTAAATTTCTTTTATTATTATTTTAGATGTTTCTGAAGATTTTGATGTGGGTGATAACAAGAAAGTTCATTTGACAATGTTACATAATCCATCGCATCTGGAAGCTGTCAATCCAGTAACAATGGGAAAAACACGATCGAAACAACAAAGTCTACGTGATGGTGCATTTAACGATGATAACGCGAAAGAGTTTGGCAGTGAAGTCATCAACATTCAACTTCATGGTGATGCAGCTTTTTCAGGTCAAGGAATGAATCAAGAATGTCTTATGTTAGCTTACACTCCAAACTTTGACATTGGTGGAACAATTCATCTTGTAATCAATAACCAAATTGGTTTCACGACTCCAGGTGATCGTGGCAGGTCAAGCAGATACAGCACTGACGTCGCAAAATCAATTAATGCTCCAATAATTCATGTTGATGGAAATGACCCTGAACTTGTATGGCTGGTTACCAAACTTGCATTTCAATATCAGAGAAAGTTTAGAAAAGACATTTTCATTGACATGAATTGTTTCAGGCGACTTGGACATAACGAACTTGATGATCCCACAGTCACAAATCCACTCATGTACAAAATGATTCGTGATATGAAGTAAGTTGAAATTTAGAAAATCAAATGAAATTTGATTAATGATTGAATTGCAGATCTGTTCCAGATACTTACGCACAAAAGATGATTGACGAAGGATTTATGGCGAAACAAGAAATTGATGATATTGTGAAGAAACAATTTGATTACTACAACAGTGAACTTCAGAATGTTGAGCAATATCAACCGGAAAAATCTTATTTTATGAAACAATGGGAAGGCTTCGTTCAAGCTCCAAATAATCTCACAGTCTGGGATACTGGCGTTGATTGGAGTCTATTAAGTTACATTGGAAGACAATCTGTTTATTATCCGAAAGAATTTGTAAGAAAGAAAAACTGAAACTCCAAAGTTAAAGAAAACATTTTCCTTAATCTGTTTTTTATTTGTCTTTAGTCAATCCACCCGCATATTAAAAAAACATTTGTCAATTCAAGGCTGAAGAAACTTGCTGATGGAAATGCAATAGATTGGGCAACAGCAGAAGCATTTGGTGTGGGTAGTTTAATGTATCAAGGACATAATGTTCGGATATCAGGCGAAGATGTTGGTCGAGGGACATTTGCTCAACGTCATGCAATGTTAGTTGACCAAGAAACAAATGAAGTCGTTGTCCCATTAAATTCAATGAAAGGTGGACTTGGTGGAAAGTATGAAGTTGCAAACAGCATTTTATCTGAAGAAGCTGTGTTAGGATATGAATATGGAATGTCGATTGATAATCCTGATAATCTCATCATTTGGGAATCTCAATTTGGAGATTTCTTCAATGGAGCACAAATTTTAATCGACACTTTCATTGCTAGTGGCGAAAGTAAGTGTCAAAACGTTGAAAGTTTTAATGATTGACGTGAACTTTATTAAAATTTCAGCAAAATGGATGAGATGTAGCGGTCTTGTTATTCTTCTACCTCATGGGTATGATGGAGCTGCTTCGGAACATAGTTCGTCGAGAATGGAACGATTTTTACAAATGACTGATTCAAAGGAAACAGTTCCTGATGGCGACGATGTTAACATGCACATAATATTTCCAACAACTCCAGCACAATACTTTCATGCTCTTCGAAGACAAATTATTAGAAATTTCCGAAAGCCTTTAGTGATAATCGGTCCGAAAACGATGCTTCGTATGTCAGAAGCTACATCACCTTATCAAGACTTCCAACCGGGTACAAATTTCAAAAATGTTCTTCCTGATACGACTGTCGATCCTAAAAATGTTAAGCGAGTTCTGTTGTGCAGCGGAAAACATTATTACAGCTTAGTAAATGAAAGAAAGACGAAAAATATTCAAGACACTGCAATTATTCGCATAGAATCTCTTTGTCCATTCCCCGTTTACGACATTCACCATGAATTAGATAAATACAAGAATGCAAAAACTTTTATTTGGAGTCAGGAAGAACATCGCAATATGGGTGCATGGAACTTTATACATCCGAGATTTGAAAACACGTGCGGTCGAAGAATAAAATATTGTGGCAGAAACGAAGCAGGTAAATAAAATTAAACGAGTCATTGACCCATGATTGAGATTTGAACTTTGTCAATCTCAAATGTCACTCTTCTTTAACAACACTTTTGAATGCAAACACTTGAAATATTTTCACAGGAACTCCGGCTACAGGTGTCAGTTCGATTCATCAGAAAGAGTCAACATACGTTGCTTCACAGCCATTCATCATGTAAACGTTTGCAACCACTGCTTTTAATACTTTTTTTTATTGAAAAGAATTTAATTAATGCTTTGTTACCATTAAAAATAATTTTTGATAAATAAATGAAATTTTATTGACTTCGTAATGACTCAAATTTTAATGACAAAAAAAAATGTTTTGTTGAAGAGGAAAAAAGTTTTTAAAGTTTACAACAAAATTTAAATGAAAGTTTTTCGCACTTTGATATTTTGTTTGTGAACAAAACAAAAAGTTTTTTTTTCGTGGTGAGGTTTGTGTTTTTATTTTTTGTTTCTCATTTTCAATATTCACATTTCGGATACAACAAAAAAATTCTTAGCATTCTAAGTTGGAACAGAAGGCGAGGGTTAGACATTTATTTATTTACTCATGGCAAAATTCTTACTATTGGAATTCCATGCATGAAAATCTCATAGTCAAAGCGTGAGATGTTTTCAATTTTAACAAAAAGAATAAAAATAATCTTCAATAAACACAGACGTTTCATGTTGGAAAAATAAAACAAATTTTAATTTGCCGATGGCGAGTACTCTCATAAACATGATTTCAACAATTTTTTGGTTCTCTATCTACTCGTTTTATTTTACTCAATCATGCCTTTTATGTTTTCCATCAAACAATTTTTTAACTTCACAGTCTCAAAAGTGGCGTCGTGTTGAATCGAAGCAAAAGCTTAACGATTATTGAAAAATATTGGAATTAAATTAAAAAAACATTAAAAGTCGTGAAAAGATTATTAAATGTGATTGAAATAATTTAATCTTGGTAAACAAAAAAGATTGATTAAAACTGTCTAAAACCAATATTGATATCAAACATTTTGCATAAAACAAGGCATAAAATATGTTGTGAATATTTCGAAACAACTTCAGAGCTTCAATAAGTTTAAAAAATTCTGATTCTGAATCAGAAATCAACTCATAAAGCGTGATCAAAAAATATAAAAGAAAATCATTTTTTAGAATTCAATTACAGTTACAATTGTACTAAGCAGATGTCAATCAAGCATGTTAACTGTTTCGAACAGTTTTCTGACTACGTCGTTTCACTTTCTTTAGTTTTGTATTTGTTTTCACTTTAAATAAAAAAATTGTTAGAAAATTTACTCATGTGGAATGAGAGAAACAGAAAGAAATAGGCCTTCCGAATGGATGTCCGGATGCGGATTTTATCCGGATATCCGCGCTGCAAATTGACATCCGCAGATCCGCGGATGTGACGAAAAATCCGGATTTTATCCGTGCCCACCTGTTTTTACGGTTTGGGTGAATTTTTCTTTATTTTTCAACGCTTGTTTGAAATTTAAATTATAAAGTTCAAAAATTGTTGAAAAATTGGACACCCTTTTCAACAAATTCGCATTAAAAAACTTATATGAATACCCCTTTTCGTGATATTTAATCGCGACATTAAAAAAAATTTTTGCCGACGTCTTTTCCAAAGAGGAAGAAGCAAAAAACCATCCATGCCGATAAGTTGTCTTCTCTCAAAAGTTTTTTCATCAACAACAATGTTTGCTCTTAAAAATACAATATTTATTTTCCATATGTAAAACTTAAAAATGATGAATAAATAGTAACATAGACCAAAATTTTTTTAAGTTTTAAAAATCAGCTGGATATCTGGATATCCAGATATCCTTGTTTTCAGCTTGGAAATTATCTGGATATCCGCAATCGTCAATATCCGGATAAATCGGAAGGCCTAGAAAGAAATCACGTCTTGCGTAATTACGATCCATTGCGTTTGACATAGCACGCCTGAAATTGCCATAAATGCTGTTTCATCTTGTAACATATCTCTTTTGATTTCACATCACTAATTTCAGACGGTCTTTGATGTTTTAAAAATTGCGAATGATGCTTTATTTCATTAGGCTATTTTGATTCATTTTTGATCATAAAGAAGAAAAATGTGATGTTATAAAAGCTTTTCTTAGATTATAAAAAAAAAAACAAAAAAAATCAAACAATCAACATTCAATAGAAAGTTGATAAACCTTTTTTAATGTTTAGTTTGGTCACATCATAATGAGAAAATAATTTTTCAGGAACAAAGGCAATAACGAAACCTCAGAGCAATGCTGAATGATACTAGCGAGATTAACCAACAGGTAAGCAATCAAACTTTAAAGTTATTTTTAACTTCCATTAAGTGATTCATTGTTACGTTCACTATTAGCCAACTTTTTGGTTTGAATTTAAGCAACACGTCAATCAGATAATATCTCATTACCTTAAGTGTACATAATATGTACTGGCATTTGACTAAGCAATTAAAACAAATTTTCTTATGTTGAGTTTGAGTTGTTGTTTCACAAGTTGTTTGAAGTTACTAAAGAAAATATTTCAAAAACTTTGATTATGATTATTTAAATATTTTACTTAATTTTTGCCATCATCTTCATCGTCTTTTAAATCAAATTGTCTTAGTAATTATAAATAGAATCACATGCATATGTTTATTATTAAAAGTAATTTTCTTTCTGACTTAGAAACATCCAACAAACGGAAATCTATCGAGATTGTAAACTAAAATTATTTTAGTGTAATAAATTTCAGACAGTTCGATGTTTAATATCAAGATAGATTAATGAAGCACTAAAGAAATGAAGATCATTGATAATCCAAGTGATCATTAGCACAAAATTTACTTAATAACATAGATGATGTAAATATAAACAAAAAAACTTGCATATCTAATTATTCAAGCTTTAATCTTTCTTCTTTTTTCATAAATTAACACTGTTCATGACTCAAACGTGTTTTGAATATTTTTGAAGCAAAGCAATGTTAAACATGGAACCATGTTATTTAAGTATGAACAAAGGCATGCATGATGAACAAAAGATCATCATAGAGAACCGAAACCAATCATGAATATTCGATTGAGTTTTCTCGATTTCTATTTCTTAAGAATCTTGACGTGCTTGTTGAATTCCAACTTCTGACGATTATTGAGAGAGAGAAATTCAGAGAAATTGATGATCACCGCTCAAAAATTTACTCACTTCTCTCATTTTTTGTCTCACCTTTTCTCATATTTTTCAAGTGTCAATACGTGTCAATGTGTTAGTTACGAAGATCGTACAGCTTTTGCTCACCAATTTTTTTCGCTTGCAGAGTATGCCAGTTAGAAACTTTCTGCGTCGTCAACAGGACGTAAATAATTTAGCTTATAAGAGAAATAGTACAGAGAAACCAGTTAATTTGGGACCAGAACGTCCAATAAGTGAATACGATAACATAACTCACGCGAGTGTAACGCAATATCCGTTCGCGGACTTAAAATTCCGTTTTGATTATTCACCTTCAACATCAACCATTATGAATAACTTAGAGAATTCAAGCGATGTGCGGAGCAATAACAATAAAGAAACTACTACACTGCCCGTTAACCATCATCAATATGAGAATGTACTCGACACATTACAACTTCGAAATCAACAACGAGAAAGTGATCAACAGGTGAAAATGAATCAAAATGATGCACACTCATCGTTGTCACCGCAACGCTCTGTGATGAGCGACGCTAAATCTTCTTTCTTTGGTTTGAATAAAGCACAAGAAAAATCATCAACACAGGAAGAATTCGAAAAGCTCATAGACGACATGAGCAATGCCAGAATATTATTAGAAAACCCAAATCCTCATTACGTCAATGTTCCAAGCAATGAGACGACTGAGAGAAAAGAAAAAGATATGCAGACGTCTAAAGAACAATCAATGAGTGCGACTTCGTCGGCTTCTGGATCTTCATCAACTACAGCCACACCATCATCATCACCTTTAAGGCAAGACAGAAAAGGAAATTGTCGAAAGAATAGCGAAAGTAGTAGTAGAAGTAAAAGTCCAAAATTTATGCTACCTGAAACAACAACATTACCCTCAACACCATCACAGGTAAACAAATTTAAATATTTCTATATGGAGAACATTCTCCTCTGAATATTAATTTGCAATATGCGAATTTACATTATCGTATTTGGAATTTTGTAAATTAAAAAAGAAATCTCTTCAATTTAATTCTTTCAGGCTGTCTACATGTCGACGACAGTTCCACAAAACATTAAAGGTCAAAATATTATGGGACGACACAAACCAACGAGAACTTCTTTGCGTCATTCACGAATGATCGTTACAAGCAAACATTTTCATGGTAAATTTTAATCATCATCATTTTGTTATATTTTTCTTAAGAAGATGAAGAAGAATTAATCGATTTGTTTGTTTGTTTGCTTAATCACCAGGTCCACGATACACAAACTTACTCAACATTCACTTCGTATGGTTAGCAAAATTTTTCCTTTTTCTTAAGATTGTCATAGGAATTAGTCTCTTAACACTTGGTGGATGGATTTGTCTTTTTGCAAATTCAACTCCAATCCAACAAAATCCATTCTGGAGTGGATTAATCATTATCATCTCAGGGCTTCTCGGCTTGTACCTTCTAAGTTTAAAAAGAACGCGATCAAAACTTAAGGCAAACTTTTTTTGGTTTCTCAAGGTAAATAACTTTTATGATAAATTAAAATTCCTTCTTCAAAATCCCGGAATAAGAAGATAATTTGTTTTCCTCTTACTTATGACAAATCGCATGTCAAGATTTATAATTTTTTTCTTAAATTTATTCTTCACAGATGAACGCTAGTGTGATAATTGTTATGTCAGTATTTCTAACAACCCTCGCTTTAATCTATGCCTCATTCCACTTCGTCAGCCTAAAATCGGACAGAAAAAAATGCTTTCCTGAGAATGTTTTCATTAACAGTTCATCGTGCATTTGCGTGTTTAATGTGAACTCGGATTTTAACATATCAAGGGAGTTTTCCGTCGAAAATCACACAGACTCGTCTGGGATTATAGATTTACCAAACGATGGAAACATTGTTCATTTTAGAGATTTAAGTTGCAATGAGTTGGAGACTTGGACACACATTCTTCTAACTTCAATGATCTTAAACTTCTTAGGATTATTCTTTTCGGTATGTTACATGACACAATTTATTTTCGGTTGTAAAAGAAGAAAAAGATTTTACACAACTGTTAGAACTGCAGTATGATGAAAAACTTTATTTGTATTTTATGTTTATAAAATAAATTTGGACCAAGTTTTTAGAAATTTATCATCGTAAACTTGTTTATTGGCATAAATAGTTAAATATTTACAATTCTCTTTATTTTGTGTCTGTTGGGCATTTTAATCGTGATTTAAAAACCCTGATCAAAGGTTAATAAGTCAAGGTTAGATTACAATCTTAATCTGGGTTAATTTACAATCTTAATCTAACCTCGATTGTTGATTTTATTGTTTTAATTGCACAGTTAATGTTGCCACTGTGATAAATTACGAGCTGAGCTTTGAACCTTTCGTCGTATTGTTATATTTTCATCGAATATGTTTTCAATGTTATAAAATTCTGATAATTCCATGATTGCTTGCTCTTCTATTTGTGTTAAAATCAAAGATTTCGATTTAATCTTTTCATAATTTGATTTGTCTTTGTACTCGTCACGAATAATTGAAGTAAAGTTCCTTTCAATTAATGGTTTGTTTACTACTTTGGGTGACTTTTTAGAAGAAGATCCTTTTTTTGTTGAAGAAAGATTAAATGGATCTGATGGATTTTGAATGTTGATTGGATGAAGATCAACATTATCCATGTTCCATGCTGATTTTGCTTTTTCAACTTCAATAGAAGTTGTTTCAACTTTCGGTGACACTTCAACAACTTTTTTCTTTGTTTTAATCCCAAAATCAGCGAGTGTAATGGAATTCCTCAATGGTTCTGAAGGTTCTTCACTCAATGACTTTCTGAAGCTTTTCAACTCCACCATCATGTTATCATCTTGAACGACTTCATCGTTCTTCAAGATTTCATTTACTTTGGCAGCAGTCAAAACTCTGGATTTTCCACTATTTTTCCTTTCCTTTTTCTTTTTCTGCCAATTATTACTACAATCATCGTCATGTTCGTTAGTTTTGTCGTTATTGAAACTATTATTGAGTTCAGGAGATGTTGGTGAAGCGATTTCAAAAACTTCTTCATCTCTCATGTTCTTCATTCCTTCCTTTTCATAATTTCGTTTCAATATCTCTGATTTTGTCATTTTCTTTCTCGTCTTTTGAGGTTTATTTAATGTTTGCTCCATGGCATCGCAATAAGATGAAAGATCAAAGTCACCAACAACTTTATCAATTTCTTCTTCACTCGGAGCATCAAACGCTGGTGTTATTATGTGGCATGATTCTGTTTCCAGTTTAAAGTATTTTCGATAATATAAATTTAATTCCTTCATTATATTCAAATCGATATTGTCAAAAATGTTTGATTCTAATAATCTTGAGAGATTCAAACATATAAACTCGTGACAATGTTCTCGTAATAAGAGACAATTGAAAGTGTAGCTAAACTCCAAATTCTCAACACAATTTCTTAAATTCACTTTCTTCATTAGCATTGTCTCGAAAATATTCTTCACATTTTCTATCAAATATTGATCAAGAATTGTGCACATGTTGAACATGAAGTTGTCTGTGAAATTTGCTTTCATTATCATATCAACGTTATTGTCATAAGCGAACTGGATGATTGGCTTCATAAAGTTAATGGAAATGTGTCGTAAGTCAATGGAACTTCCTTCACTCCAACTATGAGCGAACATCATTTTAAAGTATTCGATGCGCATCATGAGAACAACTTTATGTGCTTTTATGATTTGATTATCGTTGAGTAAAATTGTGACATCGTAAAGTTCGGGAAGATTTTCCATGGAAAACCATTTAAATGTCGTTACATTGTTAACACTTTCAGGTTGTTTCAGAATTTTGTTGAATGTTTTAAATTTAATTAGTGATGCGACGACGCTTTTGAGATTCCATTCGACTGCAATGTCATAAAAGTTATTCACAGCAATTTCGAAACGTTTTGAATCTTTTTGGTTTATGAACACATCTGTCAAGTCCTGCTCGTTCAGATCTGCTTTGTAAATCCATAACAATATACATCGAAACATTGCTGGAGTCAAACGTTCATCTTTGATGGTACAAACTTTATTCACAATTTCCCGATCAATTAAATTTTTCAAATGAACACATTGCGATGAAACAACAAAACGATTTGCATAAAATGATTCTTGTTGCACATTAAACATCACGTCCATTATTCCACTATAAATATAATGATCAGAATCAAGAAGTGAAGTGAAATCATATTTTTCCTTTGGACGATCTTTAACTTCAACTTTTCCATTCTCTAAAATTGCCATGAAACTTTCGCCATCAACATCACAATAAGTTTTCAGAACATTTGACAAATATTGAATTCTTTTCACTGACATTTTTGATGATAAAGAATATTCGACATCGCGTCTCGGAGTGAATTCAACATCCTTGGACTCAATCTGATAGTTTTTACTCATTTTGTGCTGCAAAGTTGCTTGGAAAAGATGTTTTTTTGCTATGATGAGGAAATCATCACCACACGTACTGATCGAAGTGATTTGCCTTTCAAACATTGATGAAATATGAATTCTGACAAATTTCATGACGTCTTCATACCAAATGTAGAGATTTTTATATTCAGTCATTACTATTGCAGTTAGAGGTTTTTCTAAGTTAAAAAATAATAATTTAATGCATATAAAATCGTGGGAATATTTATAGAAACTCACGACTAGAATTGGCTACAATTTCGTCGCTATTGTACATCATTTCACCTCCACTTACACAACATTGAACGAGATATTCATTTCTGAAATAATCAAACATGATCAATTTGAGTCATTAGACAATAATTTAGTTATACTTACAAAGGATTCCTATAAATCTTAACTTTTCGATTGTAAAATATGCAAAGATTGAATCCGCTGTTTACAGAACGTGCATCACCATGAGTGTAAATAAAAATAGAAGCATTGTTACTTGCCACCCATTCAACATGGCTTTTAGACATGGCAGGATGAGACAGTACTCTTGGAACTGGCACTGACTATGGAAATATGCAAATAAATAAAAAAATAAGTCATTTATAAATAGAAACATTCACGAACCTCTTGAATTCCACCAAATTGACCAACATTTAGACCACAAACAAAAACTGCTGAATGTGAAACAAACACTGTATGATAATCATTTGCTATAATGCACTTTAAACATTTCAAGTCGTTGTGGGCCTTTTCTATATGGATTTCCATGAAAGAAAGCGTCGATTCAACATTCTTCAATCCTAATTGAAAATATTTGTTCGATCCAGTTCCATAAACTGATTTCATCGTGACAATGAATGAATGTGTTAGTCCAGCATACACATTCTCAATTTTCTCATTCTTGTGATTGAATTTAACATTTATTTCCTGTGGATCTGTTAAGATCGATTCGCTTCCTGTCCCAAGTCGTCCTTCTTTACCGTAGCCACAACCGAAAAGTTTACGAGAGCTTGTCAGAAATAAACTATGAAATCTATTCACTGATGCTTTTTCAATAGGTGGCAATCCTTTTAATGTATCAGGATGTGTTCGTGATGAAGCATTTCCAAACCCAAGATTATAGTTCTTATTTCTTCCCCAAACGTAAACAGCTTTTTCAACTGCTTTTGCCGGTATTGAAGGCAAAAGTTGAAGTGGAGTCGTGAAATCTAAATCAAATGAATCGAATGATGCGCCATAACGTTTAAGAATTACAGCCGAATCAAAAGAAATATATTGAACTGCTCTGTGTAATGGTGTCCATGAAGTTTCCAAATCTTTTTGTACAACATTCGCACCGCTTCTTACCAGAAACTCAACAATCTCTGGTTTTGAATTCGAACAAGCCATATGCAGAGTGCTCCTTCCCTAAAATGAATATTTATTAATGCAACCTTTGATTAACATGAGAAATATATTTTTTTTAGTTACATATTCATCCATATTCCGAATAAAGTTGCAACAAGTCAATATCATAAAAGATATCAACTTTTCGTCTTTGATTTCACGTTTTGTCAAGCATTTTGTCAATAGATTTCCGTGATTTAATAAATGACACTCTTTTGTGCAATCATTTTCAATTTCAAAAGTCATAACACGAGATGAGAAAGTAGAAAATTAAAAAGAAAATAAATTTCTTAAATCTTTATTTACGATCGAAATTTTCCTTCAAGCGGGGCAGAGTACTTTATTGTAAAATTAAAACCCCTCTGAAAAATGGTCAAAATTTTGAAATTAAATTCGTTTTTTAACTGGAACAGTAACATTGAAAATGACAAGTTGATTCCTTCTCCTTTTGATCACAAAGTTTATTAAGTCTTACTCATTCATATCTTTAGGATTTACATTAAAATATTCTTAGAGCAATCAGATGATGTGGTTTTCTATTTTTATTAATGCTTCAAATTCCATTTCTTATTATAAACTCAATTAGGTATTAGTTGCGGAAAAACAAAGTTTCATGAAATAAACTCTACTAGCCTTTTTAATTTCATAATTGTTACATTTCATGATAGCAAGAAGAGCTTGTGACGAGGAATTGAATTCAATTAAACCTCTGCAGCTACTTTCCCCAATGTTCGATAAAATAGTTACCTTAATGGCAGGAACGTTTTGCATGGCGAATATTGCGAGAATATCAGTTTCAGATGAATTTGGTGGCAAGTTGTAAAAACGTATGATTTTTGATGGAGGTTGAATCCAATAGCTAGGGCGAGGAATTAAGAATCGTTGATTTTTCGAATCTGCGAAATCTTTGAAGCTCCAGACACCGTCTCTCAACATGAATGCATTTTTGTTTGATGGAAAAACATGTTGATCTGACCAAAAAACTTGAAGGACTCCATTCATTCCAATATTAATGTGATTCAGAAATTTTATACAATTATCAGCTGAGACAGCATCAAACATTTGAACTATGGCTGAACCTTGAAGATTGAAAAGGAATTGAATTCTCGAGATATTTCCGTAAAGACTTAAAAGATTAAAGAGCATGTCAGGATTTGTTACATCTTCAGGTAAACCCGAAACAAGAACAATGCTTGGTTGTTGCAAAGGCGTTTTAGCAAATGAAGTCAAATTTTGGTTAAAATGACTTATAGAATAATCTCCATTAATATTTCGAGTATTAAAGTATGATTGCGAACTTTGATAATTTTGAAAACTTGCTCCATATGTGATTTGATTCATATCTTGTTCTTGATAATTACGCTGAGTTTGATATGAAGAATTGGGATTGTAAGGCGTTTTTGAATAATCCCACGATTTTTGCACATCGTTATGTTTCACAAAAAGCTTTGAAGTCCAGGCAAACTCAATTTGCATTTTATTACATCCAGAAAAAAGACAAAAGCCATTCAGATATTTTTTTGCAAGCGAAGCTCCTATAAATTATGTATAAACATTTCATAAAACAATTTAAATTAAATGATTAATCAACAAATCACCTTCTATAGAATCAAACTCAATCATTGCACCATTCGTTACAAAAATGACAATTCGTTGTACATTTCCATATTGACAGAATAGATAATAAAGTATATCAGTTGTGATTTGATAATAAGAATCTAAAATGTTGATTCTTAAAATATTGTTAGGATGAGATTTTTTTGGTTCACTTGTATAAGTCTTGTGCCATTTTCTAACGTAACCTGACTGATTAAATCTTTGTTCTTTAGTGTGCTGTTTCAATGAGTCAGCTTTGAAGCGATTATGACGATTACTGGGAAGCATAGTAATAAAATAAGTTTATTGCGCTTATTTGAATATTTTAATGGCTGCACTTTGTACACTGTCATAACTTATGCAGAGCATCTCTACAATTACTGAAACTCTCCAACAAATTCAAAAATATATTAACCGTTAAACATTTTATTGAAACTATTAAAGTAAATTCGAAAATAAAAGATTACAAAATTTCCTTTGGAAGACTTCACACTTAATATCTAATAAATGCACATTAGTAAAACTGATGATATTATGTCATGTCATTGTGACTAAAGAATTTAATCGATTTCGACAAGTGTAACACCTTTACCGATGTTATCTCCAACTTTTCCAGCAATTGATTTAACTTTTCCACCTATAGTCGCCTTCAGGACATATTCCATCTTCATTGCTATTATAACTGCAATACTTTGACCTGGTTGAACTTCATCGCCAACATTGACGAAAATTCTATCAATAATTCCAGGCATTGGTGCTGACAAACTTGATTTGTTAACAAGACCGTCACTTTCTGACATCAAGAATTTTGATTGAACAATTTGCAAATCGGTTTTCCCATCCTTAATTTGATAAAGGTAACATAGCAAAATTGTGTTTTACATGAAAAAAATAAAAATAATAAAACATTTAGGTACCTGATTAAAAATCGTGACAATTTCTGGTGTTACAACAACAGAAAAATTAGAAACCGATCCATCCATGCTTAACTTCAAAGTGTATCGAGAATCATCTTTCAAAACTTTGACATTAACATTTCTCCATTCACCATCGTTAACCTTCACTTTGAATCCATCATTAGTTTGTGTCAAAGAAATATTTTCTTCTTTTCCTTCACTGTCGAATTTTACGCTTCTCGTTTCATTCGAGTTGATACGAAAACCTAAATTCATAGCAAATGGATCATTCAACTGATTAGCTCGTAAAGTATTCTGTGAAGCAGAATTATTCTCGTTGACAATCAATCCAATTGCAGCTTGTACCAAGACTTCATTTGAAACTGTAGTTGGTGGAAAGAGACTTTCAAAATGCTGATCGATGAAACCAGTGTGAACATCGCCTTTTTGAAAGTAGTCATGACGAGCTAAGTTAATTAAAAAGTTGACATTGGTGTCAAGACCCGTTATCTAATAAAAATGTAATTTAATCGTTATTGAAATAAATGGAATTAAGAACATTACATGATAATTAGATAATCTGAAGATTAAACTGTTTAATGCTTGAGTTCTATCACGTCCCCAAACTACCAATTTAGCAATCATTCTGTAATGAAAACAGATTAAATAAAGTTAAGCAATTATCGAATGTCTTACGGGTCATAATGAACAGTCACTTCATCTCCTTCTTTAACTCCCGTCTCGACTCTTACAAATTCATTAGCTTGAGGCGTAGTTAAATGTTCAAGTGGCCCAGCACCAGGTAAGAAATTATTTCGAGGATTTTCAGCATAAATTCGAGCTTCGAATGCGTGACCGTTTCTTGTAATTTGTTCTTGAGTGACGGGCAAAGGTTCTCCACCAGCAATTCGAATTTGCCAATCAACTAAATCAACTCCCGTTATCATCTCCGTAATTGGATGTTCAACTTGTAATCTTGTATTCATTTCCATGAAATGGAACGACAAATCGTTTTTATCAAGAATGAATTCGACAGTTCCAGCTCCAACATAGTTGACAGCCTTTGCAGCTCTCACAGCTGCTTCACCAAGTTCTCTTCTAAGTGATTCTGAAATTCCTGGTGCTGGAGCTTCTTCTATAATCTTTTGATGTCTTCGTTGAACGGAACAATCTCTTTCCCAAAGGTAAACTGCATTTCCATACATGTCAGCAAATACTTGAACTTCTACATGTCGTGGTGATTGAACATATTTTTCGAGTAACATTGAACTATCGCCAAATGCTTTTTCTGATTCTGTTCTTGCACTATTGAGTTGGGGAAGGAATTCACTTGGATCATTTGCAATTCTCATGCCTTTTCCCCCACCACCTCTAACAGCTTTAATCATCAATGGAAATCCAATTATTTCAGCTTCAGCGATAAGTTTCTCATCACTTTGGTCATCACCATGATATCCACCAATACATGGAACACCAGCCGCATTCATAATACTTTTCGAAGTGCTTTTGATTCCCATATCGCGGATTGCACTTGCCGGTGGTCCAATAAATATTACATTTTCCTTCTGACACAAATCAGAAAATTCAACGCTTTCTGATAAAAAACCATAGCCTGGATGAATTGCTTGAGCGCCAGTCTTCTTTGCAACCTCAATGATTTTCTCTCCACAAAGATAAGACTTTTGTGAAAGTGCTGGTCCAATGTGATGAGCTTCATCTGCTAATGATACATGAAGAGCTTTGGCATCAGCATCTGAGAATACAGCAATTGTCCTAATTCCAAGATTTTTACATGTTCTCATCACTCTTACAGCGATTTCTCCACGATTAGCTATGAGAACTTTATTTATTGGTTTAATTGAAGGAATTTTCCGAGTTGAATAAAATCGAAAGCGGCAGATTTGATTAGCCTTAGCAATTTGCCTGAAGAAGAGAAATATTTGTCAATATGATTTTGATAGTTTTTCCTTGTAAAAGAATTATGATTTACTTTAATCCAGCGAACATTTTTTAGTCTTAACGTCACCTTGATCACCTGTTGATAAGAAATCATTAAGTTAGAACGTAAATATTGAAAGAACTAAGGCTTAATTCAGCTTTTAATAGAAGTTATCAAGTCAATCATGTATAGGGTCATGATTTTTATAATTAACAAACCTGAAAATTCAAATATTACCTTAAAACTATAAAATTAAAATATAATCAACTTATTTACGAATTATAGAAAGTGGTGAATATCTCTGACGTCATCAACATAAATTCACCACAAATCATGAAATTTAAAATAAAATGTCTGTTATCAAATTGCAAAAATTTCCCTTTTCTGTTATCAATCAAAGATAATAAGATATAAAATTAAATTTTATAATTTTAACAAGGTTTTTAAAAGTTTCTTTTATTTTTGTCATCATCTTCGTTCTACATAGTTCACAATGATATTTCAACACAACCTTTTGTGTTAAAAATAAAGTTTTATTGAAAAATAATTTTCTATTTCTTTTGGACTTTATTATTAATTATAAGTACCATGATGCAGAATAACTATGACGGAATGTATTTAGGTAAACTGTAGTTAAAAGAATGTGCTATTTTTCTCAAATGATTTCTATACAAATTTCTGGAAATTATTCGACTTTGACAAAACTGCATCAAGTTGTCAATACACTTTTAAAAAAACTTCATCTCCATCTTTTGTTCAAAACTTCTCTCAATTTAAATAATAAAATTAACAAATAAAAATAATTCAACATTATTCATGTTCTTTTCTTTCTTGTTTTCGTAATTAATTTTCACAATGAGCTTAGCTCAAGGGAAAAAAAAATAATAATTTAAGGGAGAAACTTAAACAATTGAAGCACAAACTTTCGATTCAATAATACGGAAATTTCTTTCTTTTTTCTCAAAATTAAATAATGATTAAAAACGATAAAATCTATTGTAAAATGTTCTGGTATGTGATCAACATTCTGACTTGTCTTCTTCTACTAGAGCTTGTGTATCTTTGCCCGTATCAACAGCTGTTGGATCAAGCTCTCGAGGTTTTCTAATCTGCAGTTGAGGTGATGTCCTATGTGTTATACTACTTGGAGCAATGACTGCTGATGCTGGTTCAGGTTCTTTGGATTCCGACGGCACGTCGTAGATTCGTGCTGTGAAGTAATTTTTTTCTTTTAATAAATAATCTTTAATCATTATTTAAAAATGTTACCTATATGAGAATCACCCGACTGAACAGCATCATACATTGGATTTGAAAAGTCACGCGATTTATTGTTTAGCGTCTCGAGATTATACGAGTCCATTGGAGGTATTTGATCAGTTGCAAGTGATGGAGATGTTGGTCCACCTGATGAAAATCCTGGTGAATTAAATTCGACATTCGTTCCATGTCTAAACGAAACACTTTGTGATGATGAAAGTCCAAGTGTTGCTTTTCCACTATAAATTTATTCATTTTAATAATCTTTAATCAATTAAATTTGTGTTTAACTCACAATGGTCTCTTTTTGATGATATACCATGAACCAACTGCGGCTCCCATTAGTACAAGAATGAAAATTGGAATCAAGACAGCTGCTGTACTGTTACCACCAGCAGTATGTGTTGTCCCTAAGAACTTCTCGCAATTCTTTCCATTAAATTCTGGCGAACATTCACAATATAATTCACCATTGCTGTTTTCCTTACAATATCCACCATTCTGACATGGACATACTCGTGGCAATGCTCGCGGTCTTTCAGCGACTGCAAATTATTCAACATTAGAAAATATCAAATAAAATTTTCTTTTCCAAAACTTACCAGCATCACAAATGACTTCAGCAGTACTTCGGTGTGATGGCTGCACAGAATTGTCAGGACAAACACATCGTCTACCACCTGGAACCAACAGACAGAGATGGGAGCATGTCGTCTTATAGCAAGGATTCTTCAACGAAGTATTGTAGCGACTTTCATGATAAATTTTCACTCCTGATGGATTTGCAATGTCACGTTGAATGACGACTTGAACACCACGTCCGAACTTATCTTGTTTGATGAGATCTCCAGTATCTTTAGTTACCCAATAAAGACTCGATTCAAAAACGTCAAGTGACATTGGATGTCTTAATTGTTCACCACGCAAAACCATCTTTCTTAAGCTTCCATCAGGTTTTATTGATTCGATGGTATTTAATTTAGTATCTGCCCAATAAATGCGATGTTCTTGTGCATAATCAATTGCGACACCAGTAGGATGACGAATTGCTTCGATGACAAGTTGTTTTCTCTTTGATCCATCCATCCATGACGTTTCTATTTTAGGTGCCGAACCAGAGTCAGTCCAATACATTCTTCCAAGTTCGGGATCAACAGCGATTGATGTTGGAATTTCCAATCCATTAGCAACAACTGCACGACGATATCGACCATCATTCTTTGCTACCATCACACGACCTCTAGGTTTACTTCCAGTTCTGTCTGTTTCTGTCCAATACAAGTTTTCAGCTATCCAATCAACAGCAACTGCTGTCGGTTTCGAATTTCCTTTCATATTCAGATCTTGTGCAAATCCAATCTTCGCTTGACCATCCATTGCATTCACCATATAAGACCGTTTAATTGTCCGATCATAACTGTCAGCCCAAAATACCATTTGCTTCTCAGCATCATAATCGAGTGACTCAATTCGTTTCTCAGCTGCTACAACACTAAACTCTTCATTATGTTTCAAATTAAATCCACGAATTTCAGGACCACTCGAGAAGATCACCATCGTGTCATCTTTCACAGCTTTACAAACACCAGAAAATCCATCGGACAAAACAAAACCAGACCGACATGAACAAGAGAATGTTCCGTTAATATTTGTGCAGACTTGTGAACATGTGCTGGTGGCTGTTGCACATTCATCAACATCCACGCATTGTTTTTTATTATCATGATTAATGATGTAGCCATTAAAGCAACTGCAAATGTATCCACCGTCAGTTAAGTTCGTGCAGGTGTGATCACAACCACCTCGATTAAGATCATTACAAGTGTTTGTATGATGACATCCAAGTTCATCAGATTTGTCGCCACAGTCATCGGAGAAGTCACAAACTTGATTTCTCTCAATGCATTTCTTGTTTGCACATTGATATTGAGTTGTTGCATCGCAAGGTTTCAATCGAGTTGCACAGAGTGTGTGATTATTCTCATCAGATCCATCGCCACAGTTATCAATGCCGTCACATATTTGATATCTTGGAATACATTTCTTGTTTTCACATTGGAATCTTCTCGTTTTATCGCAGTTGAGACTTGAACAAACTGCTGGCGCTTCATCAGAGTTGTCACCACAATCATCAGCACCATCACAAACATCAGAATTTGATACACAGAAGTTGTTGTTACATTGGAAACGAGTTTCGGGACAATAGCGGCCACCTGGGAATCTTGGTGGACAATCAATCTCATCTGACATATCACGACAGTCACGATCGCCATCACAACGGAAATATGATGCAATGCAATGACCTGATTTACATTGGAATGTTCCGTTCTTACATTGGAAGCCTTCACAATGAAGTTCATCAGAGCCATCACCGCAATCATCTTCATGATCTGAAATATTTAAAATTTAATTAATAAAAAGTCTTTTAATTGAAGATTAAACTTCAATCTTACCACATCGCCAACGACTTGAAATACATTTTCCATTGTCGCAGTGGAATTCAGACTCTGAACATTCGCGATATTTTCCTTTGCATTGTCCTTCGGATTCATCAGATCCATCGCCACAATCATCAGCAAAGTCACAAGTCCACTGTTTAGGAATGCAACGATTGTTCTTACATTTGAAGTCAGTTTCAGATTGACAAATTGGACAATTCTCTGGCAATTCATCACTATTGTCACGACAATCATCTTTGCCATCACAGAAAAGCCATTTGGGAATGCAACGATAATTTGATTGACCTGGACATCTCTTCCATCCAGTTGTGCAATTTCTTTGACGACACATGTAAGCTGGTTCATCAGAATCATCACCGCAATCATTGTCAAAGTCACACATCCAAAGTTTCGGAATGCAACGTCCATTTTTACAACTGAATTCAGTTTCAGGGTCACACGCTCGTTTATCTATTAAAAGAATCAATTTTTAACAAAATTTCGACTATTTAAATTAATTTTAACTTACGACACACTGAAGGATCTTCGTCACTTCCATCTTTACAATCTGCATCACCATCACATCGCCAACTGTCGAGAATACAACGACCACTTGACTTGCACTTAAAGTCTGAATCAGGACATGGCAAATCGCAATGTTGTTCATCGCTGTTATCACCACAATCGTCATTTCCATCACAAATTGTCGCTGAAGGTGTGCAATTGAGATTTGCACATTGGAATGTTCCAGCACGACAATGACGGGCAGGACATGTGTCAGGTTCATCGGATTTGTCTTTACAATCAGGTTCACCATCACATTTCCAGAACCATGGAATGCATTTCTCGTCATTTCCGCCACAACGATGTTGACCTGTTGTGCAGTTGGCAATGCACGTTTTACTGTCTCGTGATAAGTAGAATTGATTTGGACAAGCGCATTTGTAACTTGGCGCACCTTCTTCAATATATCCTTCGATGTTAAGGTAAGTTGATTCTGGTGGTGGTGACAAAAGACACAAATGACTGCATCCACCATTATTATCACCACAAGGATTTGTGTAAGGAACTTGTCGAAGTCGATGATTTACATGAATATCATAAGGACGATGAGTTGTGTTTCGAAGCGTTTGAATGTCCTTTCCTGTGAATTTATTCGCTCTTAAAATCGCTTTAAGATTCCAATCGGTCCAATAAACAAAATCATCAAACACTGACAATGCAAAGACGTGCGGAACTTTTGTGCCTGACAATACAATGTGACGATTTCTTCCTTCTAAATCAGTAAATGCAATGTAATCTAAATGAGCGTCAGCCCAATAGATTCTGTCAGTGAAATAATCGATTGTCAAGGCATTTGGCCATGCAATGTCTTGTTCCCATGTGAGAATTCTTGTAAAGTTCGATCCATCCATTCCCATTTTAGCAATGTACGCTTGAAGATGCCATGAAGTGAAGTATAAGTAACCAATTCCTGGATGTACGACAATGGCACGAGGATCCACAACACCTGATCTTAAAGTTTTTCTTTTCGATCCATCAAGTTCGGACACGTCAAGATTCTTCGAATGACGATCAAGCCAATACAATTTCCTTCCAACCCAATCAACTGCTAAACCTTCAAGTCCATGTGAATCATGCTTAATGACAGCTTCTTTCTCAATCTTAACATTTGCATCGTCAGTTGAATATTTTGATCGGAAAATTGTTTTAGCCGTGACATCGCAGAAATAAAGTTGCTGTTCTTGATAATCGAAATCAATTGCGACGACGTTCATTAAATCTTGATGCACAACATTGACTTGAGTGCCATCAACAGAAATGTTTCTCACGTAATATTTATTGGTGAATATCAACCACGGTTGTTCATTATCTTTGCGTTTGCATGTATGTTCATCATTTTGTCTTTCGTAATAACGTTCGTCACATTTGCAGTAATAACCGCCAGGAGTATTCGAACAATATTGAGAGCAAACGCCAGGCTTCTCTAAACACTCATCAATATCTGCACAAGCTTTACCATCAGCTAACAATTTGTAGCCTTGATTACAGTCACAATAATAACTTGTTAATGTATCAACACATTTGTGTCCACATTGATGAATCTCAACCTTTGCACACTCATCGACATTGCAATGAAGTGGCTCGTCTGAATCGTCTGAACAATCTGAAACTTTGTTACAAACAAGATGATAATCAATGCATTGACCATTGTTGCAAGCAAACTGTCCAGTTGTGCAAGTGTTGTTTTCCTTCTTACAACCAACTTCATCAGAATGATCGCCACAATCATCTTCACCATCTAAAAGAAGAAAGAATTTCGTCAAAAATTATTCATTTCATAAACTTTAGTCCACTTACCGCATCTGTATTGATTTCTGATACATTTGAAGTTTTGACACGTAAATTCTTGAGTTGAACATGTTTTGTATTGGGAATTACAGAACTTTCCTTCATCTGATCCATCACCGCAGTCATTATCGTGATCACAAGTCCATCCTTTGTTAATGCATCTTCCATTTTCACAAGTAAATTGATCTTCAACACATGGCTTAGGTGTGGGACAATTATGTAATGTAGCATTCTCATCAGCACCATCAACACAATCAGGATCACCATCGCAAAGCCATTTTTTGGGAATGCATTGTGATCGTCCCCATGATTTATTAACTTCACATGTGAATTCAGTTTCAGCGTCACATTTTCGGTCATCTTTAAGCGAAAAACAAAATTTAATTTAAATATTTATTTTCTCTTTTTTGTCTTAAAGAACTTACTGCATTGATGTCGATTGTCTTCATCGCTGTTATCCAAACAATCATTGTCACCATCTGACATAAGAAATTAGAAGAATTAATATCGAATCTTCTTTAACTTTTTGAATCATCTTACCACAAATGTAAATACGTGGAATGCAATTTCCATTGTCACATGTGAAGAGATCACCAAAGCATGTTCTTCCTTCTGACTTGCAATATTCTGGAGGTTCATCAGCACCGTCTCCACAATCATCATCACCATCTGAACAGAAATTTAAATTCAGTTTTATAAAATTATTTTAAAAAATCGCGTGACTTACCGCAGTACCAAGTTGCAGGAATGCAACGATGATTAGGACATCTGAAAGAGTTCTGTGGACATGTTCTTTGCGCACAATGAATTGCATCTTCATCTGAGTTATCGCCACAATCATTGTCACCATCACAAAGCCAATAAGGTTCCACACAAATGTTTGTCTTTTCACATTTCAAATGATTCGCTGGGCATGTTGTGTTTGTTGGACATTTCTCATGAGTCTCGTCGGATGTTGCGTTATCTTTGCAATCATTAACTCCATTACATACTTGAGCTTGTGGTATGCATCGTCCATTTAAGCAAGTAAATTCTCCATCAGCACATGGCGGATATTCACAATTCAATTCATCTGATCCATCTTTACAATCGTTCTCATGATCACATTTCCATGATTTGAAGATGCAACGACCATTGTTACATCTGAATTCATTTGGTGAACATGAATGGAAGGCGCAATAATTTGTGTCTTCATCTGAATTGTCCCCACAGTCGTCATCACCATCACATGACCACATTCTTGAAATGCATTTACCGTTCTTACAATAAAATTTACTTGCATCGCATGTATGATTCTTCGGTGCACACATTCGACCTTCATTAACAGGTTTCGAGTTATCATCGCACTTGCACTCGGCTTTTCCATTTAAGCCAGGATGACAACTTTGTGCACATCCACCGTTATTTTGATTGCAGGGATTGGCTTGACAAACTTGACGTGTCTTACTGTAAATGTGAATATCACGTGGAGAATCTTCCAAACGCTTAACCATTTCTATCATGTTCGCCCCTGTGTGCTTCTCTGCTCGATAAACACCACGAAGTTGTAAATCTGTCCAATAAATGTAGTTCCGATGAACAGTTATAGCGAAAGGATAAATTGTTGCTGACACAAGAACTTCGCGCATCTTTCCATCCATTCTCGATCTTTCGATTTTCTCTCGAACTGCATCAGTCCAATAAAGCATTCGATCTTCGTAATCAATTGCTAAGCCGCTTGGCTGTGATAGATCTTTGTCGATAATTGCACGTTTTAATGAACCGGCCATTGTTGTTCTGAAAATCTTTCCAGATGTACCGAAACGACCCCAGTCAGTGTAGTAAAGTGTGCCATTGCAAGGATCTAAAACAATCGCTCGTGGTCGTTCAACACGTGAGATCATTACAAGCTCTGAAGCATCAAGATTCATTGCATAAATGGAATTGTTAGCGCTGTCAGTCCAATAAATCTTTCTTTGTGTCCAATCATAAGCAATTCCTTCTGGATTGATTCCACGTTGAATAATTGTGTTGATGTTATTAGGCGTCGGACTATCAGCTGACATCCAACCAATCTTCGCCCATGGTCTGATTTGGGTGAAGAACAATTTATTATCAGCAAAATCAAAGTCAAGACCAACAACGTTTGTTAAATTTGTCACAGGTTTGAATGGTGTTCCAGTTGATTTTGGATTCAATTCAATTGCACGAATTTCAGTTCGAGTTGAGAAGACAACAAATTCACTTTCAGTTTCACATTTTCTTCCATCAGCTGAGATTTTTCCTGTCGCACAATCACATTTAAAGCTCAAACGACCGGTTGCTGTTAAAGTGTCTGGAGGGAAGCTGAAGCAAAGTTGATCGCAACCACCATTTCCAAGTTTAAAGCAAGGATTGTTGTCGTCAAGAGGTTGATTTGTTTGATCGTAAATTGCAATGTCACGAAGTTTCATAAGATTCGTTCGAATTTTTTCAGGTACCGTGGTGTTTCCAGGGAATTTAGAAGATCTAAAAACTGTCATAAGATTTCGATCCACCCAATAAACATCATTAACATGAATAGCAATGCCCATGGGATTTGGTAAGTTTCGTCGGATCACTTGACGATTTCCACCGCTGTATGAAATCTTCTGAATCATGTCAAGTTTCGAATCTACCCAATAAACGTCATGTGTCAACATATCAACAGTTAAATCACGTGGATTCGATATTCCTGATGTCACAACTGGTGTCCAATTAGAACCATCAAGATAAGACTTTCCAATGCGTGGATATTGTCCGTAGTCAATCCAGTAAAGAAGTCTCTTGATAGGATTAACAGCAAGTTCACGTGGAGCGTCACTCGTCGTCTTCACTAAAATCTTTCTGTTACTTCCATCAAGCCAACAAACTTCAACATAATTTTCGTGTGGGAAAACATTCGTGAAATATAAATTTCCAGCGACCCAATCGATTGCCAATCCTCTGATTGCATTGCTTCCAATTCCATCCTTAATGATGTGTTGAATTTCAGTTCCATTCGGTCTCGATCTGAAGATTCCATTCCAATGTCCGCGATTAAATTCCACCCAATAAATCCACGACTCTCTAAAGACGATGTCAACATGCAGAATGTGATGACCAGGACCTGCAATAGGCACAATCGCTTCTGCACTGTCTTTAAGTGAATAACCTCGGGCTACGTCTAATTGTGACACAACTGCGAATGACTTGTAAGGTGAACAGGAAATTTCATTCTCTTTCTTATATCCAATTCCACATGCACAAACTCTTGAGCCACCTTCAGATGGTAAACAGAAATGTTCACAACCACCATTTGCTGTCATACAAGGATGTTGCAACATTGATCGCTTCTTGAAGATGATCATACTCTTCAGATCAACTTCATTGTCAATAATTACTTTTGCATTGTCACCACTTGGCAAATCGACACGAACAATCTTCTCATAAGTTGGATCCAAATAATACAAACGTGACTCTAATATTCCCAAGCTCTTTGGATATGCAATGTCATTTTGTTCACTTAAAATTATGTTCTTCTCCGATCCATCATATTTCATTGAATGAATGCCTGGTGGATGTCGTGTGCTGAAGTAAATATCTTTCTTATCAATGTCAACTGTGATTGCTTCGGGATTTTCTAAATTATCTGACAATACTAACGCACCGCTTCCATCCATATTAACTTTTCCCACTTTTGCTGGCACTCCAAAGCCACCTTCATCAACCCAAAACAATTTTCCTTCAGATGGATCCAAAGCAATTGCTTTGGGCTTTGCAACTGAAGTTTTGTTACCGTCATTTGCTAAAATTATGCTTCGATATCTTTGCTTGCCATCAACACGAATCACTTCAATGTTATTTGCTAATCGATTAGCAATAAACAAATTTCTTCCAATCCAATCAAAAGCGATTGCATATGGTGCACCAACAATGCCACTATCTGGTAAGAATTCAGTTTTATTTCCACCGCCGTAAGGCGTCACATAAATCGTACAATTTTCTTCGTCGTCTTCCTTTCCTTGCAACCAGAACAATTGTTCACCTTTTCTATCATAATCAAGTCCAATTCCATTCTCAATACCAACAACGGGACTCAAAGAACCAGCACGAACGTTGCCACCATTCAATGGAACATCAACAATTTGACTTCCTTTAAGAAGCATCAAGTAAGCGTTTTCCTCTTCAGCACATCGACCACCTTCAAGAATTCGATATCCTGGCTTGCATTTACAAGTGTAGCCGCTCTTTTCAGATGGACTTAATAAGCATAAATGTTGACATTTTGCTTGATCACATGGATTATCAGACATTGGTTGCAATGAAGGATGATGAACGTGAATGGAAAGTGGTTGAGAGATTAAATGTGAAACGACGGTTTGATTGTTTCCTTTGAATTTGTGTGCTGACAACACGCGATTTAATTGCCGATCTGTCCAATATAGCGTGTCTTCAAACATAGAAAGTGAATGCGGATGTAGCAGATAATGACTTCCGGCCAGCACTTGTTGTCGTCCAGTTCCATTATAATAACAAAAGTCAATGAAATCAAGCTTCGAATCAGCAAAGTAAACACGTTTGGTGGCGATGTCAAGTGTCAAACCATTTGGCCAATAAATCTTGTTGCTGATGACAGTTTCTCGTAATGTTCCATCCATTCCAACTCTCTCGATTCTTGGATTTTCACCCCAATCAGTCCAGAACAGCCAACGTGTACCTGGACTTGGATCAAGGCACATTCCCCTGGGTTGTGTAATATTTTCTCGAACTAAAACCATTCGATTCGACCCATTTTCAGTTGAAACTTCGATGGTGTTGAGTTTACTGTCAAGCCAATATAAATTCTTTCCCACCCAATCATAAGCCAAGCCTTCAACTAAATCGAGACCTGTGTTGATGATTTCTTGTGGTTCCATTCCACGATCTAATCTTGAAATTTTCTTCAACTTCATATCCGACCAGAAGATTGTTCCAGTGTGCATGTTTGAAGCTGTTGCGACGACATTTTCAACAATGATTGGAACACGTTCAAGACCTTGTTCTTTGAGATCAGCAACAAGAATTGAATGACGATTGGAAATGATTAAAAATGCTGCTGAATGATTCACAGCTTTGCAGCTGTGTTTGTCAGATCCGAGAATGTATCCGTCAGTGCACGAACAGAAGTAAGATCCTTTAGTGTTGGTACACATTTGTGAACAAAGTCCTGATGGTTCGCATTCATTCAGATCTTTACAAGTGAATCCATCTTCAGCAAGTTCTTCACCTGGTGGACAAATACAAATTGCACCTGAAGGCGTTTTCTGACAACCATTTGAGCATTGACCATTTTGATGTTGACACTCAGCTAAGTCACAGCCTTCGCCTTCATCAGCACCATTAGGACAATCAACGACATTATCACAAACTGATGTCATGTTGACACAACGTGCAGTTATGCCTGGACATTCCCATTGACCGATTGGACATCTAAATGGCGGAGCAACACATGCATGTTCATAAGACTCATCGGAGTTATCACCACAATCATCTTTTCCATCACACACGTAAGCTTTGAAAACGCATTTTGAGTTTTTGCATTTATAAAAGTTATTCGGACATGAAATTGATCCACAATCGTCTTCATCAGAAGCATCGTCACAATCAGTTGATCCATCGCAATGCCATGCAATTGGAATGCAAATGCCAGAAGTTTTACATCGGAAATGTTTCTCTTGATTGCATTGATTTGGTTCCATTGATGGACATCCAAGTTCATCAGAGCCGTCATTACAATCAGGGATTCCATCACATTTGTATGTTTCTTCAACGCATTGACGTAGATCAGCACATTTGAATTGATTTGCTGAACATGTTATCGGCGGACAATCTTTTTCATCCTAAAATGAAATTTAATTTTATTAAATTATTTTTTTAAGAAGGATGGAAAAGTTTTCTTACCTGTTTATCGAAGCAATCATCATCACCATCACAAACCCACGATTGTGGAATGCAATGACCCGTTCGAGGGCATGTAAACTGGAAATATGCGCAAGTTTTCTCAGCACAGAAATCGCCTTCATCAGATCCATCTCCACAATCATTTTCCGAGTCACATTTCCAAATATTTGGAATGCATCGTCCATTTTCACAAGCAAATTGTGCAGCAGCGCATGTAACATTTCCACATTCAAATTCGTCGGAATGATCGCCACAATCATTTTCTTGATCACAACGGAAATTTAAAGGAATGCAACGACCAGATTTGCATTGAAATTCGTTTGAGCCACATGTTGGTTCTGACAAATAAAAATTGAAATTAATTTTGTCATTAAAAATCATTTTAATTCACTTACTTGTACAATTTTGTTCTTCATCGCTGTTATCTAAGCAATCATCGTCACCATCACAAATCCATGACTTCGGTATGCATCTTTGATTACGACAAGTAAAATCCCAAGAGTTTGGACAAGCTTGAACTGGAGGTTCTGAATTGGGATCAAGCACACATGATTGACCGTCATCAGTAAGTCTTTCACCATAAGGACAAGCACATTTTGAATGAAGCTTTTGAGTTTCATTATCAGGCACAGCGAAGCACATCTTTTCACATCCACCATTGTTATATGAACATGGATGCAAGTTTGCAATACTTTGAGTCTTCCGACTGTAAACTTTCACACCGTACATCCGATTTGTTTGAGGTTCACGTACCATAATTTCTTCTTGTTCTCCTGTCAACTTGTTGAGTCGTACGATAGCATCAAGTCGCCAATCTGTTATATACATCCAATCATTATGAATAACAATTGAAAATGGATGACGAATTAATCTCGAATTGACAGTCTTTATGTCTGTTCCATCCAAATCGGAATGTTGAACATGGTCAAGTAAAGCATCACACCAATAAACTCGGTTGGCTGTGAAATCAATTGACAATCCATTTGGCCATCCAAGAGTAACGTTCTTAAACACTAACAGACCACTACCATCACTATTTGCTCTCGTTATGTTCGCCGGTCGATCCCATTCCGAAAAATAAATAAAACCTTTATTGGGATGAACAACAATCGCTCTCGGTCGCTTTAAATTCTTCAAAAGAACTCTTCGATGCGTAACATTTCTTGTCGACAACACATTTAATGTTCCTTTTCGGCTGTCAATGTAGTAAAGATTTTTCGAAGCCCAGTCAACAGCCAAACCTTCAACACCTTCATTTTGTGATGCCAAAACAATTTCTCTTCCCGTTCCATTTCGATGAACTCGATAAATGACATCTTGAAGAACATCTGAATAGTAAATGTGTTCATCACGAGCATCAAAATCTAACCCAACGAAACGAGCTCTTCGTGAAACAACTGGTAAGATTGCGTCGCTAAATCCTTCTATGGCTGGGTCGAGAACTTTTCCTTTGATGAAACGTTGTTGCGAATAAATTAAAAATTCTTCCACCAAATAACAATTACGTAAATCTGTCGCTAATTGCCATCCAGTATGACATGCACATCGATAGCCCAAACTTGACGGAACTGTTTTATCTTCGGAACCAACAATTGCTGTTACAATACACAATTGAGAACAACCGCCATTGTTTGAACCACACGGATTGACAGCTTTTGGTTGACTAAGCTTATGGATGGTAACAATAGCACGTGGATCACGAATATCTTTCGCTTTAAATATCGATTGAATACTCGATGAACCTTCAAATTTATCAACCGACATAATTCCTTGTTTCGTTGCGTCTGTCCAGTAAACTCGATTCTCAAATATTGCTAAACGAGATGGCGAAGGGACTTGTTGACCACGAAGAACCATAACACGATGTTGTCCATCATAATCAACTGTCTCGATGTAATCCAGAAGGGAATCACACCAGAAGACTCTCTTTGAAATGACGTCAGCAGTGACACCAGAAGCTTTATAAGCAGCTTCAGAAACGATTGACCTGACATGTGTTCCATCCATGTGAGCTCTTAAAACTTGACCACCATCAGCAACAAACATCAAACCAGATGTGGGATCAAGTGCAATATCAGCTGGACTTGTAAGATTTGATCCCAACACGACAGCATGCCATCGACCATCAAGTTCAAACACATCAACTTTCTGTCCAATTAAATCAGCAACATAAAGTTTATCACCAATCCAATCAACAGCTAAAGCCACTGGAGCCCAAGTTCCTGGTAGTGTTAAATCACTTCCAGCGAATCCACCATCGTTCAATGGCTGTGACTGAACTTTTCTTGTTTTCGTATCTGACCAGAAAAGAAGATTTCTTTCATAATGAAATGCAATTCCACTTGCACCTGTTGCATTTGCAATAACACGTGAATCTTGTCCATGAAGTGACATTCTAACCACAGCACGATCATGTGCGAAAATCAATTCTAAATTTGCTGCATTTGGTGCAACACATCGTGATCGATCCATAAGAGTGTAACCATTAGCGCAAGAACACATAAATGAGCCATCAGTGTTGGTACAAAGTTGATCGCAATGGCCCCATTCTAGACATTCATCAAGATCTGTGCACGTTTTATTGTCATTAGAGAGCGTTTGTCCTGGAAGACAATAGCATTGGCCACCAGTTAATGATGGCCCACATTTATGTTCACATCCTAAAGCGGGACAAGATGTTGTTGAACAAGCAGACTCTTCATCAGTTCCATCTTCACAATCACGCTTTCCATCACACAATTGCGATTTTGCAATGCATTTTGGTGTTCGGTTTGGTCCACCGTTTGGACATAAAAATTTGTTATCGGGACAAGCGATTGCTGTACAATTAGCTTCATCACTTTCATCAGCACAATCATGATAACCATCACAATGAAAATTTGCGGGTATGCAGAGAGCATTGGCACAGCGAAATTGGCCTCCATGACATGGCGGAAAATCTGTTAATTACAATTAAGTTAATTAAATTTATAAACTTTATTATTTATCTATAATTTCGTTAACTTACTGCAAGCAGCTTCGTCTGAATTATCACCGCAATCATTTTTGTGATTACATTTCAGTGTTGCATCAATACAACGTGCACCATTCGCACAGCGAAATTGATCTAATCGACAAGCAATGCCGGTACATCCTTCTTCATCTTTACCACTTCGACAATCAAAATATCCATCACACTTTTTGTCAGCAGGCACACATGGATCTGCTGATTTACCGTTGGTATTAATTCCAGTTGCGTTACCTGGTAGACCGCAATGAATGTCATCAGGTTGACATTTACGGAATGCTATTAAAGAAACGCGTGATATTGAAAGTTATTGTTTAAATAACATTTGATGAAAGAAATAGCACTTACAGCACTCTGACTCGTCACTTCCATCGACGCAATCTACAACCATATCACATTTGTAGTGTGGTGGAATGCAGTAAGTTTTATTGAAAATATATTGACCGCAACTAAATTGTCCGCTGTCGCAATCAGGTGGTGGACACGATTGAAACTCATCTTCTCCCCTTTCACAGTCCTTTTGATAATTGCACACCCAAAGCGATGGTATACATTTACCTTCAGCACAGCGAAACATTCCACTTGGGCATGGCACGATTGAGCTGTTTCCATAGGAATCTAATCAAGTGAAACCGGACAAAAAAAAATAATTATGAATAGGAAGAAGAAGAAAAAGAAAAAGTTTGTTAATTATGAGGGCACATTATTGTATCTTCTTTTGTTTCTTTATTGTCTTGCTTTTGTTTGTGGTCTTGTAAAAATGACGAATATTTTATACAAAACAAGGGAAAACATCTTAGAAATCATAAAGAAAATTTCTAGCAATTATTTAAATCTAAACGAAAAAAGTTGTCACAGTTTAAGAGAAGTACAAACATACATATTGCAATCTCTAAATTTCTAAAATGATTAATTCAATTGTTCAATAAATGAAATCATAGTTTTTTTACGTAAGAGAAATTAAAATTTATTTATTCAACTAAATCAAGCCCACTCATTCAGTGCTTAGGTAGTCTATAACAATCAATGAAAGTTAAATTTAATTCGCAATTACTTGTGTTTTATCTGAATCCAAAGCAATATTCGGCTTATGTACATACAAAGTATATAAAAACACTTTGTTGGGAGAAAGAAAAATCGAATTCAACTAAGTAACTTTAATGGGAACGTCTTTTCTCAAACGAAAATTATTATTTATTAAAGGTGGGTCAATTTAAAATCTTCATGAATCACAGAGTTCGTCATAAAATGTCAAAAAGAAACTTTCGTTTTTAATAAATATCTATGTTGAAGTAGCTGAATGAAAAGAAAAAAAGCAATTCAATGAATGATGTTTCACTCTCAAAAATCTTCAGGACATGTATTGCAAAATGTTGTGCGTAAATAAGAGACAAACAAAATGTTGTTTACAAAATATTTGACTCGGTGGAAAGAAAGAATGAGAGCGAGTGAAATGTGAAAACAAAATATAGGTCGACGAACTCTTTGAATCTGAAGAGTCAACAGACCAACACAAACAAGAAAGGCAGCAACATCTCTCAACTGACGATATGAACTTAAAAGAGAAACAATTAAAATTCACAAGAGGTATTTGTTAATTAATAAAATCGAAATAAAAGAAATACCAATAGTTCATCATTAAGTGCCACTCGACACGATCATATTTCGTCTTCAAGGCTCATACATTGTTTCTTTCATTTTTTCATCATAATTTATGAACACGACTTTTCATTTCACAAATCTACATAACTACACTTCGTGTTTCAATTTATCGGCAAAAACCACACATAGGATGATGATCGTCATGAATGATGATGACGATGATGATGATTATGATCTCGCCACAACACAACTTCAACATGAAAACAAAATCTTATTGACAAAGGTTTGCTTGCCACACCAACAAAATATTCTGTCGCTATCATATGAAGATTGAATGAAATAATGAATGAAAATTGTTCGATGACAATATATTGTATTGCGCGATATTATGAATGCGCGGAAAAAAAGAAGAAAATAGGGAGACAGCAATGCCCGTCTACGAAATGTTCGTTCGTCAATTATTTAATAAAAAAATATGTAAGTAAATATAGTGTGTTTGAGATATAAATAAGTAAATCATTTTTAATTGAAATATAATGTATCCTCCTGATATCTTTACATATCTCTACATGTATGCATGTACAATGTACATATTATCTAAAGTGCGCAATAAGAAGTACTCAAATAAAAGTTTGTTTAATCTTTTTTTCTCTTCTTTCATTCCTTCAAGCCGGAATTCCTTCAAGATAAAAACCGAACAAGAACAAATCAATATTCTAATTTTTTTTTTTTGGTGTTATTCAGGCTTCTATTTATAAATCTAATTCAATAAATAAACATCGAAAACTTTTTGTTGTGGATATGAATGTCAACTATTTTGTGTTTTATAGCATTCATTCGGAAAACTATAATTAAATGTTTTACCACGTGATCTCTCATATGAATCATCAGAAAATATTTATTCAAGTTTTTCTTTCATTTTATAATTATTGCAAAATATTTGATGTTAAGAAACTAATAAAAAGAAAGTGAAAAGATATTTCAAAAGCATAAAATTATGTTGTTTTTCTTCACATGTCTAAGCATACACATTTAAATGCTTTTATTGTGCGAAATCTACGATTTGTTTTCCAGTATTTAATAAAATAAAAGCTTGTAAAGTGAAATCATAAATATTTGTTTAACAGTAAAGAGAGTCATCGGGCTTCAAGAAAGAAATCTAACAGAATATTAACAAGAAGTGTTAATTTGCAAGAATCTGACAAATGTGAGTTGAATTCGAAAACATACGCATAATATCCCTGTTGATTCACAGGGTTTTACCCACAGACCTGTTTTTGAGTTATGAAATTAGAATTGATTGCATAAAACAATTTGAAGACGTCAATGTGTTGCATGAAATTCAATAAAAAGATGTTTGAGTAAATAAATAGCATTCAAAATTTGATCGTCTGTACCAGACAAACAAATGATCATCTTTACATTTGTTGTGTTTCTCTTTTTTTTATGAAACAATTTTATACTTTGATTGTAACCTGCCTTGACTTATTCAGTTTTCGGTGAATTTTAAAGTATTGTTTTACATGTAAGTGGAAGAAGAATATTGCTTAACAAATAAATAAAATTGATGGTCTGCGAAAGGCTTTAATTATTTATGCCTCAAATAATAAACCGGTTTATCGCGTCATGAACATCCAAAGTTTGATCGGCTTCATTTAAAGTTATAATATTAAAATGCGAGATTAAATAAATGATTCAAAGATGTGGTGGCATTGGTTGGAACAAAATGGCAACAATGTGCCAAAGGCACTTATTTAGCGTCAAGGCATGGACGAACATTATATGAATTAATCAAAATTGATTTATCTCATTTCTCTAAATCAAATTTATTAATAAAAATTTCCGTTTCGGATTAAAGTGAAAATGAACGTGCAATGCTTGTCACCAGACCAGGGCATAACGTTAAACGTCGACACTTTCATTGACTATTATATTTAAGTGTTCATTTTCCAAACCTTCCATATGATATTTAAATTGTTTTTTCAAATATTTTTTCATCAAATGTTCATTTTAAGCACATTAAACTTTTCTTTCGTATGGATTCTTTAAGAAAATAAAAATCTCTGCTGCACTAATACACCTTCGCTATGAAAAATTACTGTGATCAACAAGCCGACAATTTAATTGTTATTTATGCTTCACACTTCATTCATTTAACTTTTTTTATGCCGTTACTCGTATTTGTGTTTAAATCAAACAACAACTAAGTCGACGATGTCAGACAATAGCCACGAAAACACAAATTGCTATGCTGCGGGAAAATCGCATCTTATGTGAAACATCAATTTAGAAAAGATGAGAGAAAAGGGAAAGTAAAAAGCAATTAAATGACGAAATCAACGAATAAGAAGAAGTATCTCTGAAAGAGAATTGTAGATAAATTTGTTAATCAAATATCTTCTAGTTTAGTCTCATTTGAACTTTCTGATAGACAAAAGAAATTATGGAAAAGAAGTTGTTTAAGTAAGTAGACATTACAACAAACATTCTAAGTGTGTTGACATCCGATATTTTGATCGGAAATAGGCAATTCGGTTTGTAGTGAAGCAGTACTTTTTCATAACTTCGTTAACTTGATGATAAATAACCAAGTGCCAGAGAGAAACAACTCATCAAACCTAATTTACTTTATCATCTTTATGTACGACTGCAGTAGATATATTTCAGTGAAAAAAGAAAGACATTTTAAGTAGAAAGAGAAAAAAATATGTCACCAAAAAGAATTCAATTCATACAGTGTGGTTTTCAGACTCTCATACCTTAATTGCTTTATGTAAAGTCTCGACTTGAAGTCCATTAAAATTATTCTACAGCAGAAAGTAACAAATTGTCGCAAATGCAATTTAGTGTATTCACCCTGACTTTTTTTGGGTCTACAATTTTCAATGTAAAGTGAAGTAAGAAAGAAGCTCAAATATTTGTAATCTTCGTACATTTATATCTCTTTTAAAATGTTCTGGAAAGTATATAAATGACGAATGAATGTACATTATTTACCTGAGAGCAATTGAGTGTGATTATATTTCTATTAAAAAAGAAGAACTTAATAGCGAACAAATTGCAAACGTGATTTGACGTGTTGATAAAACAATCCAAAATAAATAAATAAAATTCTAGGCAGAACTGCAAAAAATATTTTTGGCCGTCATTGAAACATCTTTTCGCTTGGATATATGATTATATGAATGTTAAAACATTGACTAAGTATGCGTGAATTGAGTTCTCCATTCAGTTTATTAACGTTGTTGTTTGTTTGTTGTAAGAAGAAGATAAAGAAAATTGTTGCTGATGATCCAACGATCTGCTTCATAAACTTTTATCTTATATTGACTTTGCATTTTAATAATGTTTAATATTTGACCTTGAATCGTGATCAAATTAAGCACCTTTACCGTGCAATATCTCGCCTTTTAATTATTTTAAATTGAGAATTTTTATTTATATTCTCAGAAGCAAACGTCGCAGATATTTAATTAGTTGGAAATATTTAAAATTTGGATTGTCAAATAAGTTTTGTGAAAAAAAAGTTATTTGCTTTTAAAAGTTTTTGTTTTGTACGATTTTTCTCAACTCTAGAAATGACATCATTGCATGTTTTCTTATTTATTTCTTTTTAAAGGAATAAAGTAAAGTTTCTAATAAATCTTTTTGGATCATATAAATACATGTCAGACGCCAGTACGATAACAACTTATAGAAGTTTAATTAAACATAAAATAAAAACACGAAACATCAACACTAACTAGAAATAACGATCTCAATTAATTCTGATACTGATTAAGGTATGGGTCGAAAAGCAGGAAAAAAGCCTACAGCACGGCAAACGTTTTCATCCAATCATCATGAAAATGATCGTTTGCTGGTGATTTCTGGTTTATGAACTTTCAAATGCAAATCACTTTGTTTAATGTGTCAGCGGAATATTCAAATTTGACCATCACTCAAAAAGTAATGGGCGAACTAAAAAAATTTGTTAAAAATGCTGGTCTAAGTTTTGGAACTTAATTGGTGCTAATTATGTTCTTCTTAACAGAGAAATGTTCCGAGATCGATAGAAAATTTGTGAGTCGATCAATTTCGGTAATTACAGAACTTTTTCTCTTACAAGTATTTTTAATAATAAATTTTATTTCAATTTGTGTACTGTGTTAATGATAAAAAACAAATTTAAATCTATTTATCTTCACTACCTAAACAGATAATGAGGGTGAGAAAAAACTTGAGTGTAGAAAGCAAAAACAGTATCTAGAAATTTCTATGGATTCAAATATTAGTTATGCTTGCATATTTACGATTTAAATGTGAATATCTTAGCCTAGCTACTGAATGAAGTTCTCTGCCGAAATGAATAAAGTTGGTCGTAACAATTTGTTATTTTTTTTTTGTCTTTGCTTTTAAAGTTATATTTTAGCAAAATTTACAAATTCAGCTTAGCGTGTTGGTTAAAAGAAACAAATGGATGTATTTTTACTTCACTTACCCGTTAATTCCTTGACATCAGCATTTGTTTGCGTTGTGCTTAAGCACAAAATGAAAACAACTAAAATTAACCACAGTGTCGACCTTGTTTGCTTTATGCATGGGGCTTGACCGCACTCAAATGGCCACCCCATTCTTATACACCCTTTTAAAAGGGGATTTATTTGTTACACAAATTTTCTATAAATCTTCGTTTTTTATCCTACACTTTTCACAAAGAATGTCAATTATTAGTGTCTCACATCAGGCCTGAATTATTTCTTTTTCAGAAATATTTTCGTAACACTTTTCACCGCTTTCGTCTCTTTCTCTTTTTTCTTTAAAGACTCTTTCTGACAAATTTTCGTCTTTCTTTCTTTTGCACAGCAAAGCAAAGCATAAAAATATAATTTCTACTCTTCCGCTGAAAAAGTTTCACTTTAGACTTCTAACATTAAATATCTATTTGATATATTTTTCACCACCACACAATCTATGAATCCTGAAAGGAAAAGATAACTTTCAATATATTTTCACATTTATTCTATAATAAATATCATTGATCACACATTAATAATCCTTTTAAGGTTTTATCATCGTTATTGTTAACTCACAAATGAAGTCTTTTCAAAGATGTCGAATATTATTGAAAATTGGAAAATCACTAGAAAACTTTTTTTCTTCTGATAAAATGTAATTTGATGAACTTTCTAATTTCGATTCTTCTTCAAATACCATCTTTTCGCTTTTATTCCTATTCTTCTCACACAACCTATTTATTAATGATTTGCTTATGAGGTTTTCTTCCTCAAGACCCTCTCTCGTCGAAAATCCACTGAGATATGATCAAGTGATTCTTTTCAAAGTATATTTTTGTTCATAACCAAATTTTTTCTCTCTACATTTCTTTTCTCTCTTATCTTGTCTTTGCATGTATTAAGCTTAATGCGGCATGTTAAATACAAATATTTGATTAAACATTGATCAATTAAATCCTAAATTTTCCGAAGAAAAAGAAATTTCTTTATGATCGTGCGATGAATGTGTAATTAAAAATTTTTTTAATTGTTGTACACGGGAAAAACAATTCTTACAGAATTGAAAATTCTCTCATAACTTGTTTGATCGTGTGCTCGGATCACATATAAAAATATTAGCAAATCACTCAAAGTTTTTGTGTATAACTGAAAAAATGTGAGAAAGAAAAGCTTTGGTATTGCTGTATGTGTGTTAAAACCGGTTGGTGAATAGAATGATTTAACTTTGCGTCGAACTCGATGGAAATGAAATAAAGTTCTAGCAATGTGAAGAAGAAAAAAAACTGTCGACGTTTGCAATATCACGGAACAACAATCATATATTTAGAGGCGCAACTTTTAATTAATTCTAAACGAAAATTCTGTCAATTTGTATTGATCATCTTTAAAATAAATGATTTTGCTTTTTATTTTTCTGATATTTTTCAATATCATTTTCAACTGGAATTTATGTCACTTATTAATTTTTTTTTTATAAAATATTCCTGCACACTATAAAAGTTGCGATCATTATCTGCTTCATATTCGGATTCACGGATAATTAGATAAATTCCTTCTTGTGCAATCATAAAGATTCAGATCATTTATCATTTGAATATTTGTGTATCTAATTTGATTTCACAACCTTTGCGGTGTCATTAGAAAAGAACAGTAAATAGAAATGCGAAAACCTGTTTCTGACGCAATGGGACTTCAGATACCTGCCGTTTTAGTTCAACATAATAACAAGTTGAAGAAGAAGAAATCATTGATATTAATGATCGCTGAAGGAAAGAAAACAAAGTTGACCTTTAAATACAGCGAAAGTCGTTCAATGCAAAGTTATTATGAGAATCATTACAAATAACTCAAACAAAGTTCACTTGTCACAATTAGATTTTCTCTTCAAAAAGGGCATTTCTCCATGCTTCAAAGTTTCATTATTTAAAATTTTACAATGAGTTTTCCACTCAGATTGAAATACGTGAGTCGATTTCAATTCATTTGTTCGTTGTTTTCATTTATGCACTTTTGTCACGAGAAATAAAATAGCAAGAGAAAAAAAAATTAACCGTTAAGAAAAGCACTAAAATCATGTGGATTAACATTTATAATCAAATCGATTTAGGAAATGTGAATATTTTTTGTATTTTAATTTAAATTAAAATGTACACCGGATATTAAGAGATAGAAGAAGATCAGTGTTAACAACTTTCCTATGTTGCTTTCCTCTACTCTTTCTCTTCTTTTTCTTTCTACCTTTTATTCCACTTTTAACGCATTAAACTCGAGAAACGTGTGTTAGACATCTGAACTGAAAGGCCGCACGATTAACACTGAGCATCAGACGATTTTTAATTTTCTCTCTTTGGATTTATGCATTTATGTTAGTGTTTCTTGCTCTCGAAGATCATTCCAACACATAAACAGAGTTGAGAGTAATATGCAAAATGTTTTTATCGCGTGCTACCTGTAAAGGAGTTAATGCCGGATACTAAAAAAATATAAAATTGTGGTTTTTATTAAAAAAGATTCATTTATTTATTCGTTATTTAATTAAAATCAATGCTTATAAAATTATTGGAATCTTACACAGTATAAACTTAAATTTATTAATTTAGAGAAAAAAATCATTTCGGGAAACCTTTTTGAAACCGTCTACTATTTGAAGTTGAATTTTTCTCGCCGGAAAGCAGATTCAATAAACGCGATGTACCTGGCTGTTGAATTTCTAATATTTCTAAATCTGCAACTCTTTTTGAATCGCTTGTTAAGCTTTTCGCATTGTCGTTAATTGATAAAACTCTTTCAATATTTTTTATGCAATTGAGGTCAGAAATTTTTATGATCTCCAAATTCGGATTTTGATCAATATACCTTCCGACGAAATTTTTGAGCTCTGAATTATAATTGAAGTGATTTAAATTGTTAATCTTCACTGATTGCTCTGATAAATTATAATTCATTTTCGGTTGGCCTTTAATTTCAGGACTAAAGTAAAAAAAAATTAACAATTTTTAATAAAGAATAAATTATAAATTCACTTACTCTTCTTCGTAAACCAAAAACTGATTTTCATCTTCTTTCATTTCTATTAAAAGCGAACTCTTCTCGTCATCCGAATTATCATTCTTTTCTTCAATATATTCTATGCTCTCGTCAGTTAAATCATCTACAATCATTGAAAACATTTCGGAAAATATTTGTTCTGTCTCAATAGCTTTTCTTTTAATTGACGATGCAATAATAATCGATGAGAGGCACTGATGACAAATAAGTTTAGGAAATACGTCGGACGATGATATCTGCATAAAATTCAAAAAGAATAAACATTAGAATTCATTTGAAGGAATTGAAAATAACTTACAGTAATTCCACAAACGAAATTAATTTTATCGCTAATTTTTCCTCCATCCATTATAGAAAATACTGATGTGAGGTTTTCTTTCGTCATACAAATACGGCACATGGACCTTAGATCGCTCATTTTTACTTTTGAATTGTTAGAAATGTATTTATTCTTATTTATTTGATATTTGTTTTATTTTAGAAATTTTGTACAAATGTAAACAAGTTGCTGAATATCACGCTGAATTGAAATTGCGCCATCTATCGGCATTTTTAACTTTTTCGGAAAGAACTCTTACAAATAGTGGCGCATTAGCATATAATTCAAATCAATTCGAATTAGTTTGTTTTTAAGAGTTAATTAAATAAATTTGACTGTCAAATCTTGTGATTTACTTTTTTGTAGCAACATTTTAAAATCCGTTAAGGCGACATCTCCCAGAAATTTCAGGAAGTGAAAGCTCGGGCCCATGTTTATGATGTACTCAGTCATCATTTCCGACTTTGGTACGTTCGCGCGGATTTGACCTCCCCATCAAAGTTTTCCTCACTCCCTGATAAAAAAATCACTCCCTGATATTGCGATGGTAGCGCCGCCAATGGTTGCATAATGAACTATCTATCAGAATGGTTGCATATTAATGAACTTTATTTTAATAAACAAAAACAGAATAATTAGAATGAAAAGTTTAAAGTTATACTCACATATTAGAACAAGGATTCAATTCAAAAGGTGTTTCAGCAGTTTTGAAACAAAGCTACCCTTAAAGGAAAATAAAACTCACTTCATTAAATTCTACATGCAAACTCTTGGTTTGTTTACAAAAATTCGCAACAGAAGACTTTTATGCTCATAAATTCAATTTTCAGAAATCAACGAAGCCAAAGCATGTCATCTCTTGGAATCTTGTCCATCGCTATCTAGAGATTCGCTAAATATTTCTGCTGTTAGAGAATCGGCTGAGTTTTTAAAGAAACACAAACTTCTGACGGGAAATCAAATTTATCTTAATCCTACATGTTTACTTTTGAATAGCAAAGCTATGTCAAATCGCTTTAACGTTCTAGTTGAATGTGGTTTCACAAATTATCACATAAAAGGATTACAGAGATTTGTGTCGATAATGAAAATGAGTATTAGCCATCTAAAAGCCAATAATTACATCGATAAACACACAAATGTTCCGGAGAGATTATTAAATTATTTTGACATACAAATTGAAATCAATAGACAGCAAGACAAAACGATTTCATTGGCATCTTTACGAGAACTTATTATAAAACTTTACCTTGAAGAGAAACTTCAAGCATCAAAGGAGGAAGTATCAAAAGTGTGGGAAAAATATTCAAACTTGCGATGTAGAAGTTTACATTCAATTGTAAATATAATTAATTTGCTGCAGGATAAATTAGATTTAGATGGAAAGAAAATTATCAGCAATGGATCTTTACTCTTTGCGTGTCCTGATAATTTCAATAGAATTTTAAATGAAATTCCTTCAATTGCTGAAGTACCGATGAAGCAATTGCTTAAAAAACGACCCACCATAATATTAACAAATGTTGACTCGATCAAAGGTGTCATCGAAGAGATAAAATCATTTGGAATTATCGAAGAAGCAATTTTGACGAGCCCGAGAGTTTTAAATTTAGCACCAGAAACTGTTTCTCATCGTTTAAATGAACTCAAGACAATTAAGGAATTTAATGCTTTAAAAGGAAATCCTAGAATACTTACGCTTATATATTTTCATAAAAAAGTTCAATCAAGACTTGACTTTCTTAAGGATATCAAGATGAAATGTTCATCAATTCACCTGTTGATTTCTGACACTTTGCTTTTTGAAAAACATACAAGAAACGGTAATGATAAGACAAATGGTAATGAAATTGTGAACTTTGTGAGTAAAGCCTTGAAACAAGATAAAGAAAATGTTAGGAAGTGCTTAAGTAGACATCCCTTTTGGCTGTATATTCCGGTATCAAATGTTAAAAAATCGCTTGATTATCTTTTTAAAAAACAATTTACAAAAGAAGATATCGCTGAAAGTATGACAATACTTATTTATCCAGTAATGCGAATTCATCCAAAGTTATGTGAGCTCCTGAATTTAAAAAATGTTCAGGAAAGTAGAGAAAGTGATGATAATTTAGTTGACGATATTGATTTTTCAACGTTATCGAATAGTAAAATTTTGAATCTTTGCCTTTACTTCATCGAGTTTGAGAATCACTTTAGTGGTGATGGAATTTGGGAAGTGAATAAAGAAATGAATTCTTTCTATCTGTAAAAATAAATTTTCATTGAAGATACTTTAATAAAAGTTAGAAAGACTTATAAAAGTTTTTTTTTATTTTGATTTTTCAATCTTATCCGAATTGAAATTCATGGGGGCAGCGCACTTTCTATGCTTTATTTACTCTATCAGCGTAGCTTCGAGGGGCTTACAAAATTTAGTCTTTTAAGAATAATTTTTTTCGGAATTTACTTTTAATTTAACTAATCAACGAGGACTTTTTCCCGTATCATCGGGTCTCAAAATATAAATTTAACTTCTCCTGGAACTACAAAGCCAGTTCAAAGTTTAGAAAAATGGTAGAAAACAGCGAAGAATCAAATTTAATATTTTTCGACACATTTTCTCACGATTTACACGAAGTTTGTATTTGTTTTTCATCTGTTTAAACATTGATTAATTTAAAATTTAATCTTTCCACAGAAGTTAAACCTAGACTTAGTACAATTTCCAAGTCCAGTATACATAAATGAAATCCGCATAATTCCTCTTGGGGCTCGCGTCCAAGCTGATTTTCCAGGTGAATTAAATTTTCTTTTCATCATTGTATCATCTCAAGAACATCTTTTACTTCTAATAGGAGGTGGCAATCGATTAGGGGCAACAAATCCTTCACAATTTGATATCGAGTTCTTCGTTAATGATTTAAGTGTAAATGTTGCAAGTACATTTGAGCCACTTGGGAAGTTTTCATATAATCAAAATGAATGCATAAATTTGGAGTGTAAAAATGATGATCAGATTCGTCAAAAACCAACCGATGGATTAGTGTTGAAAGGATGCTACACAACAATAACTTTAGCAGTATATGGAAGTGTCATCACATATGATCGATTGCATATTCCTGGACAAGCTAACAACAGTGGCAATTGCAATTCTAATAACGATGTTCATGTATTCTCAAACGACGAAGCAAATGAAAGTGATAATGGGGATATTTATAACAACCAACGTCATCATAATGATTTTCAGGATCAAAATTCATCATGCGATCCAACAGTTTCATCAACAATTGCTGATGATTTAAAGGACGATGAGCAACCAAACATTTCTCCAATGGATATTTATTCACGATCACCAAGCAAAGAGAATGAGTTCACAAAATGTAAACGAGAATGGTCAAATAGTCCTGATGGAACATTTCAAAAGAAAAAGATTCGCGTGTCTGGTTCTTGTGACTCCCACCGAATTCCGAGATCTCCGCCACTTCAATCACCACGAATTTCACGTCCAACAGATTCAGATGAAGATGTTGTCAAGAAGGAAGAGGATAATGATGCATTAGCAACAACTGTCGGTGATTTATCAACAACTTATTGTCCATCGTCACCTTCCATGGCAAACAACACGCCGATAGAATCACCGACAGAAATGGATGACGATCTAGTTGAACTCGAACCAATTCTTAGTGACGATGATATCAGTGATGATGTAAATGGAATTGATGACATGAGTGAAGATTTGTTTGCTCAAGAATTTGGAATCAAAATCTTTAATCCTTTCGTAAATAATTTACGAGTTATTGAAATGACAAAAGATGAAGTGAAATTAAAGAAAATCGTTGACTTGTTAACGACAACGTGCGAATCTTATGCAAAATCTTCAACAAATGTCAACAACAATGAAAATTGGATAAATCTTTGTGAGCAAATTAATCAAGCTTTTAATACTTTAAGCAATCAAAATGAAATTGTTGAGTTGGTAAAATGTTTAAATCAATCAACATTGGAAATGTTTTATTCATGCATCAATATTGGATTGAATTATTCACTTGCGATTCAACATCAATTTCCTGGATATAACTTGCGACATATTAAAGCTGGAATTCGTTTACTTGAATATTTAGCTTTGTCCGAGAATTTCATCTCGTGGCTTATCAACGACAAGTGTTTCAATTTATTTTGTCATCTTTTCAATTTATTCTCAAAACAACTCATTCCAATGCCAATTAAACAATTGATTGCTCGACTCATTTATCGTCTCACCGACACTAAAATGGGAATTAAAAGCTTTCTTGACTTTGAAGGATACAAGAAAATCATTGAAATGATGAGTTCAGCAAGTGATGTTCGATTATTATACACGCTTAAAGCAATTCTCATGAAACTCAACACAAATGAAACATTATGTGCGATAAAAGATAATTCAATTGACATTTATCAGAAGATTAAAGCAAACAACAACGTTGATAATGAATTCGATCAATTGACGGAACTTGAGAATCTTTTCAGTTCATTAATCGATGCGAGAAAGTTCGACATGGTCCATCCAAAGAAGTTTATTCCAATTGCAACACAATTTGAGATAACTGATTGTGTGTCGATTGATTATGTTGAGATTTACAAGCAACATAAATTTATGAAAATTATGACAATGTTGTGGGAGGTGAAACATTGTTTAACACAAAAACTTCTCCTTTTGATGGTCGAATATTTGAGAATAATGGCGAAAAGTGGACGTGAAATTTGCTTCATTGCAAATGATATTCAAATAGCAAACAGTTTAATTAAAATGTTGATTGAAGTTCCATCTGATGCATGCGACATTGCAATTGAAATTGCATATAAAATTGAAGCAAAGTTTTACCTCGATTTAACATCAAAATTGACAACAAATAATGACGACGACATTAAACTTTCTGAATGTTTATATTCACTTTACGATTTATGTGTTGGACCTGGACGAAGATTTGTTCTTGACTTTATTGCAATGGATGAAAATATTGTTGTGTTGTTTAATTTAATCGAGAAAGAGAAGAAAATCAGTTTGATGCATGGATCGCCAGGATTTAAACACAAATCACCGGTTTTAAGTTCGTGCATTGACATCATCGATTATGTCGTTCGTCATGTCGATAATTTGGATTATTTAAAGAAGTTTGATAGTGTTTTGTTGAATCTTGTGAAGCATCACGATTCCTTTGAGCCATCTGTCGCTGCGATGTTACAAGAAATGGCAGTTTTCCTAAAGCCATTGGAGATTGAGAAAGTCTTTGAGTATGGCGACATTGCACCGTTTCTTGATGTCATTAAGAGAAGTTTGGAATTTCTTACGACATTTCCCGGCGATCTTATCATGACGTTAAGAATCTTGAAATATTTGATCATCGAACAGGAGAAGAATGAATATAAAGAGTTGAAATATGATTATTACGCTATTCAACTTTATCATGCTGATGGCGTTATGACATTCTTATCGATTCTTGAGAAGTTAACGACACATCTTGATCAACCGATGATTCATTCATATCTGTTGGGATCAAATCAAGGAAATCTCATCATGCAAGTCATTTATCCAACTGTACAAATCTTAAGGAAAATGATGGTTCAAGTCATTCGATCGAGAAATATCAATTTTCGTGATGTAACAGCAATTGAGACACTTCTGAAGACGTACACGCTCGTTCAAAGTGTTCATTCTCGTTTTTCGATATTTCGTGAAGCAAAAGAAGTTCAAAATGAGATTATTAAGATTCTGTTGACATACACGCAGTCATTGACACCTGATGGAATGACAACGACAAATATTCATAAAAGTTTGTGGACACAAATGATTGGCGAAGTTGTCAAATATTCACTCAACGGTCCATTTCATTTCATACCGGGATTGATGATGTTAAGTGAATTGTTGCCACTTCCACTTCCAGTGCCAATGCATGGAAATGAATTAAACAAACGTGAAATTCAAAGACTCATCACAGAACGACAACTTTGGAGCGCACATTTGCATCCTTTAAGTCATTTGTTAACAGAAATGATTCAAACATTCTGCACGAGTTCATCTGTTGAATTGTTCAACATTCTTCTTCGTGTTTGTGTACAATTATCAGATCTGGCACCAAATATGACATTATTAGTAGCAAAAAGTGTCGTCGACATGATTTTAGGCGAACCTTTGGCTGTTAACAAAGAAAAAGAATCAACAATTGGATTGTCGCGACTTTTTAAATTTCTCGCTTCACTTACACGACATGCTTGCATTAAGATTTCCATTTTCTCAATTTTAAATGGAAAATTATCTGAACTAATGTCACAAATTCTTACAACGATAAATGATGAAAATTCTGATCATGTCACGACACAATTTCACATTTTCATGATTCTTCATAGTTTCTTTGATTGTGAAATTTCACTCGTGTTTAGTTCAAATCATCATCCGGAATTGGTCTTAGCAAGTGGACTTCCAACAAAAGATCTGATTATCCAATTTGCGAATGATGTGATTGAGAATTTCTGTAAAACTTCAGCTGATAATTTAACAATTGTCGCTATACGATCGATGATTCTTTTATCCGAACATGACGTCACTTTTAACATTCTCAAAGGAATTCTTTTAGCGAAAAAAGATTCATTTGTTAATCGATTGAATGCCATAGCTGAGAAGTGTAAAAACGAAAGAAAGCAAATGGTTTTAATACCAGAATTATTCGAATTATTTCGAGCACTACAAACTGTTGAACCAAACGACATCTCATCGATTGTTCCACAACGAAATTCTTGTCTATCGATTGCGGAATTGTCAAACATCTTTAGATGGAATTCTGAGGAATATGTAAACGGCACAAAGATTCATTTCCTTGAAGTGTTTTCAGCGCTTGTGAATGAACCAAAAACTGAGAACGAAGACGATGACACAGCTGAAGTTGTTCACAGTCTTGCATTAAAGAATGACTTGGAAGCGTTGCTTGAAAAACTTCGCGAGTTGTCAAAAAGCAATCAAGATAATGCCACAAACGTGGTCTCGTCAGATCATGAATTTAATTTACCTCAAGCTGAAGGAATTGTCTCACAATTTTCATCACGTGTTGCATTTTATCCTAATGAAGCACTCGATGAACTGACCATCGATTATTGGCTTCTTAATGGGTGCGACGAAGATGAAGTCACACAAAATGATGTCGTTCAATGTGATCTCGATGAACTCGTGCGACAATGTTTCCCACCAGACACCAACATTGGATCCGATTGCAAACGATTATTGACGTTGTCATCATCGCCACAATCGAATCGTGAAAGGAATGTGTCGGGAATGTGCTTCAGAACACGACGAGTTGAAGTTGTTGAACCCACTCCAGGACGACCTGAGAAGAAAATTTATGGGAAATGTAAGTTGAGCAAAATTTAATTCATAAACTTTTTTAAGTAATTTTATTATTTTTACAGTCTTGCCGAGAGGTCGCGGCTTTTCAAGAGGTTCAACAACACGTGGCGATATTTTCAGGTCACGTCCACCAAACACATCTCGTCCGCCATCACTTCATGTTGACGACTTCTTAGCTATGGAAAGTGGACAACCAAGTTACAGTAAACGTGAAATAATTACATCGTCGAGAGGTCGCGGTCGTGGATCAAGTTTTATAAGTCGTGGTCGTGGAATTTCTCCTTACAAGTGAGTTCTTTAACATTTTAAAGTATTATTGTTAATAAATTCTTCTTTTACTTAGTTCTCGAGGTCATTATGGGTACAAATTGAGTTTCCGAGGAAGATCATTACGAGGTGGCATCAGAGGATCAAGAGGATATCCACGATAATTATTTAACAAATTTTAACACTTAGAAATAAAAAGAATTTCAATTAATAAAGATTTATTCATTACTGTAATTAAATTTTCTTTTTTCTACAATTTAAATTTCTTTGCTTGATGATTTTTCTTTTCAGTTTCTGAATTTCGTTCTCGTTTTCCGCTTTTATTGAGTGATAAATTATCTTGAAGTTTTGTGAAGAAATCTGATGAAGATTTTGTGGTTTCCGTGGTTAACATCTGAAAATATTTATAGAGATGAAGTTAATTTAATTAAAAATTTTAATTTCTTTACCTTTTCAACGTTTCGAGCTTTTGTGACTTTCTTCATTGTAGTTTTGCTATCAGTCGACTGCTTTTTAAATTTATTTTGTTGAATAATTTTCTTGTGACGTCTTTCTCGATTTTTATCGGTTTTTGTTCTCTCATCAGCTCCTTTCATGTCACCTTTAGCTTTTCTTTTAATTTCTTCAGGTGCAAGCAAAGTCACGTTGCTAACAACTGTCGGCGTCGCTTCTTCCATTTCAATTGTGGGAATATTTGTGATAATTTTGAGTTCGGGTTGAGCTGGTCGAGGTGTATAGTAAAAGTTGGATAGCAAATCTAATTTCTCGAAAAGATCTTTGAGCTTTGATCGCAGTTCTTTGTGACTTTTCGGCTCTTCTGGTTCTTCTTCATCTGGATTTAATTTGTCGAGTTCTTGGATGAATTCTTTCTCGTAAATTTTAGCAAGCGATTCTTTACTTTTCTCTTGATTCAAGACAATTTGTTTCTTGTATTCCATTTGAATGTCTGATGGTTTCACTTTACGTTCAACATCATCGAATGCTTTATCTTTGATTCTTTGTCGAATGATATCTTCAAGTTTCAAAGTGACTTCTTCGGTTATGATTGGAGCTGCTCTCGTAGTCGAATCGAACTCGAGAATTTCTTCAAGAAGAGAATTCTGTGGACGATTATCAGCTTTCACTTCTCCTTTCATTTGCCATGGCCTTTCATCTAACATCGAATTTTCCATATGATCAATTTTCTTCTTCAGCCGTTCCTGTTTCAACTCATGCGACGATTTTGGTTGATCAGAAGCTGCCGCTGGTTCGTCTTCTCTTTCTTCTCTCTCACCTTCATTATTCTCATTCTCGTCTTCGAAAAAGTCAGAATATCTCAAAGATTCTTCTCTATTCGTTTCATTAGCTTCAAAGAAATCAATTCCGTCTTCGTCATTTAAATTGGGATTTTTTTCAAGTTCTTCTTCAATTTCCAAAAATTCTTCCATTTCACTCAGCTTGAAAAACTTATCATCAACCACAGACTTTCTCATATTCTTTTTTTTCTTTATCTTAGGAGAATCTTCTTCCTCATCTTCTTCATCACTTTCATTTTCATCTGTGTCATTTCCACTTTCATCATCTTCATTCACTTCACTTTCTTCATTCATTTCAGAATCGTCATTTGAATCATCTTCAAGAGTTTCTTCATGATCTTCAATTCCACTTTCCTGATCAGTGTTTAAATTATTTGTAAGATCAACTTTAAATTTATCAGTATTTGATGCTAGAAATCGAGAAACATTCTTAATATTGCCTTGCAAATTCTCATCGTTCTGTATCTCCAATTGTTGCCATATTGACTCATCATCCATTCCATCAATGATCAATTTCTCCAATGCTTTCGACTTTTGCCTTGAAACAATAGTTCTACTATATGAATAAATTGGCTCAAGAAGTTTTTCTTTTATTTTCTGAGCTATTTCATTTTGGATTCTATAAAAGAAATAACAACACACGTGTTAGTTTATTTAAAAATTAAAATTCGTTATAAATCATCTTACTGCAGAAATGCTTCTGGATGACGAATAACATCCTTAAATTCTTCGTGAATTTGCTTCAAATTTTTGTTATCCATTTTAGATTTTGACTTATTTAAACTAAATTTTTAAGTAAAATAACATTTAGCGAGTTGCTTGTTTACAAATTTGTAATCTTTCTCAGAGGGGTTATCAACTTGCAATTCAAATTATCAAAATCAGTTAAAGTTTATTACGAAAAGTTAATTCCAATTGAATTCAATGAATAAAAACCCATTTATAAGTATTGAGAGAATATATAATAATTTATTTCATGATTTCATTGTTGCGATTTATTACTAATATTTATGAGTTAAAAAAGTGCTTACTAAATATTAAAAATATAATAATTTCTTGAAGAAAAATAAAATACCTAATAAAGAAAAACAAACAAACAAAGATATTGTGTCGTTGTGAGAATAATTTCATTACTTTATATATTCAAAGAATCGAAATCGTTTGTTTTCTAACGCTATCGCTATTGTGATGGATTACTACTACTTATGAAACTCTGACAATTCGTCCGATCAGTTTTAATTATAGATGGATAATCGTGAACTCCACCAACTGTATGTCTACGTCTGATTGATCTGCTTCCATTGGAATGTCGGCGATATTTTGCACTACCGTTTGCGCTACTCATTGACTGTTGATTACCGCTTGTGTTTGTTGTATCATGTAGTTGACGACGTTTGTTAATATTCTTATCTGTTTTCTCATCTTTCGTTAATGACTGCCTGGATTTATCAGCTTTGTTTGCATTACAACAACATTCATTGTTGTAACTTCGTTGACTTTTGTAATTCAGTGAAAGTGATCGATTTAGGCTATACTTTCGTTCAAGATGTTCAAGATTAGTAAGAATTCTGACAAAAGAATTAAAATATAATTTCAATCCATAAATTGTTTCGTTAGTTTAAATCTCACCTGTTGACTTTTCTTAGAACAGAATCTTCTAAGCGGATAACTGATCTCATTCGCACGCGATGATTGCTTGTTGTTGACGAATCAGTGTCATCAGATGAGTATTCATTTTGTTGTTGTTCATCGATTTTATCATTTTTCGATTTATCGATGATTATGGAATTATTCGTTGATTGTCTTATGGGTTTAACACGAGCTTGAATCAACGGTCGTTCAGGAGATTCGTCGGCAAACGGAATGTTTTCGCCTAAAGTCAAAGGTAAACCAGGATGTTGTAAATGTGACATCTTACTAACAACATATAAGCGTGGATTTGTTATTTGACTTTTATTCGATGGAGCTGATTCAGTTTCAGATTTAATATCTTCTCTATCAGATGAATCGACAGATGAGTTTCGAAGCGATCGCAATTTATTTTCCAACATTTCTGTTACAGCTGCAGTTAGAGACGATGGTGCTGTGAATATTAATTTTATTATAGTGTTTATCAATTAAAGTTGTCATTCTTATCAGAATAAAAATTATTAATTAAAAATGTGTAAGATTTGCACGCAATAAATTATATTTAATTTAATAAGCGAGAAGATTATTCAGCATCACTCAACTCAATTAATTTAATAAGAAATTCTTACAATGTTCTTACAGAGAGTTCAGTGAATAAAAATGTAATTGTAAACTGGAAATAATATTCAGAATAAAGTTTACATTGTGAAAACAAGAAAATAAATAATTAAAAATTGTTTTCGTCTCACCATTGTCACCATTTTCAGTGAAAGCACTATCAAAGTCATCTTCAGATGATCGCGGTGTTTCAGCTAATGATTCGTTACTTTTAACCTTCAGCGATTTATTATTATTATTGTTATTATTATTACTATAACGAAGATTCTTTGATTCAGCAGACTGTGTAGATGGAAAGATTAAAGATGAATTAAAGATCATTAAATAAAAAGATGACTTTTATTTTGAAAGTTACCGTAGTTATGCTGTCTAATGATAATGTGTCTGGTGTTAATGATGATGAAGTGCTTCGTCGTTGTGCTGTCTTTCTAATTTTTCTATTTGCTGCTTGAACAATATTTGCTACAAAACGCGATGAACTTTCCTTATGTGAGTCTCTACTTAAAGCTTTACAAAGAGAAAATATTTTGATCATTAAAATATTGTATAATTAAATATTAACTTACGTTCTATCTTGCAAACATTTTCTAGCAAAAAGTCTGCCGAAGGCAGTTCCGATCCGGAATCATTCGTTGATTGAACATTTTTATTCTTCAATTTTGGAAGCGGATCGTTTTCGAAGAAATATCCATACTGACGATGATTTATTAAAGAAAACAATTAATTAAAAAATGATGTAAGAAACATTTAACACAACTCACATTATTAATTAAAGATTCCACAATCTGACATTGATGCTTCATGTCTTTCACTACCATCTCCAAAGAGTCGTTGCATTTACGAACAATCGATGGTCCAAATACGATAGCTGTTGATGCAAATTTAGGTTTTAATTAATAAATTAAAGGAAATAATGTTATGATGATTTTATTCACCGAGATTTCTTGGTTCCATGAGATTCACAGTTGCATTCTTACTGACCACTGTCAAATGTGCTATAAGATGTTTAAGTGTCTCGTAGTTATGTTGTGGGAGTTTTCTTAATAATGTTCTTAATTCATGAAACCTTTGGACTTGATCGGAAATTTTATCAGCATCAATAAAACTTCCATAAAGTTCGTTGGGAAGAATTGGTTCGGGAAGACTTCGTATGAAAAGTTTCAATAAACTCGACACTACATTAACATCTTCCCATTTTGGATCGCTTAATGTCTGCTCATCCATTCCATTACGATTTATAAGCTCATTTAAATTAGCTATAGCTGCAGTATTTCCAGGAATACGATAAATTCCAACAATGTTTAAGCCTTTGGTTTCAACAATTTTCGTACATTTTGCTACCAGTAGAGGCACGTAGAAATTTTCCTCCGACTAATTACAAGATGAAATTTGTTTAAGTATGACATTTTTTATAAAACTTAATTACAATTTGAATGGGATTAAAAATGCCGACGAAAAATTCGATCACAAAAATAGGCGAATGATTAAAAAAGCGTAAACAACAAGCAAAATTCGACCTTATCTACGTCATTTGTTAGAATAAATTTCGATTAAACTTGGACTTGTGTTTACATATTGTTTTGTAGCATTTAAAATCAATCAATCGAATTTTTCTATGTAAGGAAAAAACCTCCAACCAGGTCTTTGACTGTTTATAAAAATAGAGAATATTAAAGCACTTACTGGTGTACATTGTGATAAAGGCGAACATTCCGAAACAGTTTCATGCGCGGATGAAGAATCTGATTGTGGTTGCATCTTCTTAAATTGATTTGTTACAAAATGCTTCCATGATTTTTGTTTGGGTGAATGAGTTTCTTTATCGGAACCATCACGATTCGATGAGTTTAAAGATGAAGCCGATACAAGAAGATTTTGTGGTGCTTTTCGACTCTTCGTAACTGGAGATTGTCCCGAAGGTGATCGTGCATGACCAAAATGATATTTTCGTTGTAGTTTTGATGTTATTGGCGATGGATTATCGTCGCTGCTATGAATAAGACTCGATGCCTGAATAGATTCTAAAGCTGCAACTCTTTGTGGTTCCGCTTTTTGTGCGCCGATATTCGAACAATTTTTCTATAGAATTATTTAAGTTTAGGTCAGAAGTTCTACAAACATGTAATTTAAATTAATTATCTTACCGGATCTTGACTGACATCTTCTTCGTCTTTCTTCGAGACCGCCTTTAAACAACTTATCCAATCAAGCATGTCTTGTTGTGTCTGTGTCTGTAGGAGTAATTCGCACTCGTTATCGCATGCCTCGGGATAGTGAGCTGATGATAACCGAAACACATTCTTTCGTTTCGTATAATTTGCTTCTGTGACATTGAAGTTTGTTAAGTCAATTGTACCACCTCCAGAATCAGGACTCTGTCAATTAAATTAAATTATATGGATTAATTTTGATTAACTTATAACTTTTTCTTTTTTGCTTTGTCATTGAAAGTATCTTTAAAATGATACCCATGATCCAATTGAATTCCATCGTTTAAGTTTCCAATTTTTTATTCCGTTTTTAACGTCGTTCCACTGAACACCACAATTATTCTTCTTTCGAGGTGTCTCTCTACTCATAATAACAATTTAGCTTTCAACTGATTAATTTTCAACTTCACATTTCCAAACACACAAAAAGTTCTCAACGGAAGAAATCCGCCCAACTTTTCATTTCAATATTTTGATAAATATTTTCATATCATTGATTCGGCTTACAAATCAAAATCATTTCAATTTATTAATTACAGAAAATAAAAGAAACGTGATTTGTTTTGAATAATTATTTAAAGTACACAAAATGACATTCGCTTTTCATAAAAACTTATTCAACACTGATCAACGTTACTGCAATTTAATAATAATTTAATTTGGTGGAAATAAGAAGCGAAATATTCGCAAATGATTCATTATCAAAGAAATCACAAAAACAAAAACACAATTGAAGTTATTAAATCAAATTCACAACAACGAAAGACGAAAAGGAGCTGCGTTAATGAATTGTGAATCTTTTTTCCATATTTTTAAGGTAATGTTATCCATGTTTATGGCAAGTAGGTAGGAACAGTTTAGAAATCGCAAATAATAAAAAAAATTTGCGACGTGAAATTCATACGCAATACTCACTTGACTGATTTTACTCTCTCGCACTGTTGTTAATTTGAGTACATTTTTCTTCAGTTCTCCATTGTATGTACGCCAGGAACGATCTTGGGATTTCTGTGCAAAAGCATAAAATAGAATAATTAAAAATAATCCAATGAAACTTATTTAAATCACTTACTCTTCCATTAATTAAAGTGACTTTAATTTGCAAAATTCCTTGTTTTGTGATCTCAACATTTGCATCTGATACTTGGTTACATCGGAAATATCCAAGTGCTTTAATTTTAGATCCTTGGCTGTAAATAAGAAAATTAATTAAGTAAAGTTTGTAAAACGAAATTGGGGATTAATTTTGGGATTAAACTCAAGCCAGTTTTTAATTATTTGGAGTTATGATCAAATATTTATGTCGCAATAAAAGGTTGTGGATTTGTAAAAATTGGTGTGGAGTGTGAATTTATTCAGCGATTGAGATTGTAGTAAATTAAATTAGAATTTCTAAAAATCTTCATTTGTTTAGTTTCATTATTATTCGTATTACAATCGCAATCTCTGGTTTATGTGCTTGATGAATTTGATACAAAGCGATTTTCTTAATCAAAGTTAGAACAGATACTAGATTAGGTTATGCTAAATGTAGAGTGAAAGAATGTGAGGAAATCTGAAATTGGTACGACTGTGATGGCGAGTTAAGTTCAATCTATCAAGAAAAATGTATGAAAATTGACGATTTCGATAAATGTGAACAAAATTTATGTTTTGTTTGTGGGTATTTGTGTTTGTGTTCTAAATTAGAAAAGCTTTTTTAAAAGCTTCAATTTTAATAAATTTCTTCGTGTCAATTGTTATTATTAATGTTATCAAAACAACCCATTTAAAGTCTTTTAAATGAAGCAAAATTTCTTTAAAATTTCCAACCAAGTAGGATTTTAGAAAGTTAGAAGTTATTACATATTTACAAAAAGAAAGTAAAACTATAAAATGTTTCAAATGATTTGAATTTCGCCTATCTTAACCTTTTATAATTTGGAAAATCATGATTCATAAGAATTTGGTTGTCAGAAACTGCCTGAGGATCTTCAAAGATTCGTCGTAAAAATTGAATGTCGACATTAAACTTTGGAACAGTCCATCTGGGATAAACACTAAGTTTTGGTTTTGATTTTGTTTTATGAGAAGAAACATTTAAAATGGCAAATCAAGTTGAATTTAACTTACCTTTTCAATTGTTGCGTTTCATCTTCTTCAAGTGCAGACGATGCAGAATTTTGTTCCGAATAAATTGGAAGTTGAAACTCTTCATTCTCTGTTGCTTTCAAGTATGAAGTTCTTCTTGTTTTACGATCATCTTCCTCACTTGATAGTCGATTAGCATTTGCCTTTTGTCGTAAGACAACAGCAGCAACTTCCGGTGAACATCGAACAGCCGTCAAATAAGAATTCTCACGAACCGGCTTCGGTCTTTCTTTTTTATAATTCAATTCACTATTCTTATCAACACATTCTGTCTTAATAGATTCTGCCGACAATGATCGCGTCTTAGTTGTAATTCCTTTAAATTGCTGTTCCTTATCATCTTTGATTTTATCATCAGACGAACACCGCCACGATGAGTCACCGCCGCTTGCTTTAGATTCGAATACTTGACGTCTTAAAGCAACATTAGATGCCACTTGTTTTGTATTTATTCTAAAAATAAATCGAATTCATCATTTCTTTGAAAATTTTTCAAAAAGAAAAAAAAACTCGAAAATGTTCATCACAAATTTTTCATTTACCTGCTAAGTTCGCTTTTGTAAAGCGACGTTCGGTCAATTCCGTCTGGTGAAAGTGGGCGTCCAGATTCAAACTGTTTGGCTCGTTCAGAGACAATTCGAAGACCTTGTGATGGAATCGGGGACGTTCCAATTCGTGTATGTCGAAGATCTTCACTGACAGTCCTCTCAGAGGAACCTTCAATGACACTGTTACTGCTTCCTGTAAATGAAGATGTGCTCGGTTGTGAATCTTGCACATAATAAGGTGAGGTGGGCAATGAGAAGTAAGCACTGTTTGGACTTCTTAAAATAGAGCTGCGATCCTTAAAAAACTGTTCACGCAGAGCAAATCGACTGCTTTGTAAATCAGAAATTTCTTGTGGAATTGTTTGTGGTTGTCGAATAAATTCCAATGATTTTGCACAATCATCATTCGTCTCTGGCCAATTTGATTTCAGTCGATTTGTTTGATAAATAAAACTTCTCGGCATTTGATTTGCTTGTGATGATGAAGTTGATGGTGTTGATGATGCTTCAGGAATAAAAGGCTTTGTCGGTCGCTTTAGAAATTCTTCTTTTTGTTCAATTTGGTGTCGAAGTCGTGACATAATGGCATCTTTCACTTGTTGATTGGAACTTATTGAAGGAGCAAATTGACTTTGACTTGAATTGTTGTGCAGTACTCGAGGTTGAACAATTGCCATTTTTGGATTATGTGCTGGAAACATAAGACTTTGACTAACTGTTGGCACAAGAGCACTGTAAACGGATTCTTGCTTTTCCGTGACGCTAGGCAAATGAGGCGGTTGATCACGACGCTTCGAAGGCATGACATTAGATCTCACTGGAAGTTGCAATTGAGGACGTTGATTTGTTTCGGGATTATGAGCTGTATCGCTAAAAAACTGAAAGAAGAAAATCGATTAACTATAAAATAATTTTTATTCAATATTGAAGACAACTTACAGTTTGTAAAATATCATAGCCCTTGGGGACGATTTGTATGACCAAAGTTTTTGGTGTTTTTTGTATCGTTGCAACAATATCAGCAAATTGGAATTGTAATGATACAGGAATTCCATTAACAGCAATCAAACGATCGCCTTCTCGAAGTCCTGCATAATCAGCTTCAGATTCGGGAATAACTTTTTTGACAAAAACTGTGTCCATGGGTTGTGAAAAATTGGAGAGGCCACTTAATGCTAGCTTTTTAGCAACTACTGGATCATGGATATCAGGCGGATAGACAATAAAATGTCGCAATGTAAAGCCGAAAGCACCGTTTTGACGGTTTAGCACGATTGTTCGGGGCCCATCCATTGATAACTGCCAATATCTGAAATCACCACAATTTTATTGTAACTTTAATTATAGTTCCCGAAATTAAACGAAAACAATGAATTTGATTATATGCGAAAAAAATCTTCAAGCAAATCATTTTTTTCCTGCGTGTGGAAGTTAATTGGTTTCAATTGTAGCTAAAGGTAAAATTTATTTGAGATGAAATGTTCCATACTTAAAACTTTGTAGTTCTGTATCTTATTTTAAAAATATTAACATGTTCTATGTGTGAACGTGATTCACGATGGTAATATTTTAATGATTATATATCTAAAAAAAGGTTTTTAAAAAATACCTACTAAAATATTCACAATAATAAATTTTCCCCACTTCTAGAAAGTGAACTTCATATTTTTGCAATGAATTTGCACAAAATATCAGAGTTTTTCATAATAAGGGCATCTGTTCGACAATTCAAGACACTCTATAATTGCAGTTTCGATATGTTCCACTATTAAAATGAACTCATGATGCTAAAAAAACTATTTTTTATTATCAATTTATTATTTTTGTAAAACTTGAATTCGCTGAAGAATCGAAAGTTTCGCTCGGCGAATTGAAGTAGAGCAGGGTCTATTCAAACATATAAAAATTTTTCGTTAAAACGTTTCTCGTTTATAACGTTATTCCTAATGGAAATGCTTTTAAATCTATTTAAATTTATAAATTTATATCTCATTTGTGTACACACATTTTTAACTAAGTAACACATTTTCGAGATATTCATAAAAATTCAATAAATTAAATCCTGATTGAACAAAATTTGAAAATCTTTATATCGTCCAACAAAAATTTGTTTTAAAAAGAATAAATTAATTCCGAGAAAGAGAAATAGGGTGAAAGTACCTTAAACGGTTACAAAGAAAATGAGTACCTATCAGGGGTCGGAAGC